AAAGAAGAAAAATGATCGAATACTTGAGGATAAATACTTAATAAAAATATTCCCTTTCTTTTCCGTGTCCTCAGAAGTACTAATCATAGACTCGTGGATTATACCTTTCCTTTTTATCTATCTATTCATTTATTCATCTATCCATTCTTAATAGACATTCTGGATAGATTATACCAATTCCTTTTTATCTCTCTATTCATTTATTCATCTATCCATTTTTAATAGACATTCTGGATAGATTATACCAATTCCTTTTTATCTATCTATTCATTTATTCATCTATCCATTCTTAATGGACATTCTGGATAGATTATACCTTTCCTTTTTATCTATCTATTCATTTAATCATCTATCCATTCTTAATAGACATTCTGGATAGATTATACCTTTCCTTTTTATCTATCTATTCATTTATTCATTTATCCATTCTTATTAGACATTCTGGATAGATTATACCTTTCCTTCTTATCTATCTATTCATTTCTTCATCTATCCATTCTTAATAGACATTCTGGATATACCTTTCCTTTTTATCTATCAATTCATTTACTCATCTATCCATTCTTAATAGACATTCTGGATTTTTTATACCTTTCTTTTTATCTATCAATTCATTTATTCATCTATATATATTCTTAATAGACATTCTGGATATATTATACCTTTCCTTCTTATCTATCTATTCATTTATTCATATATTTATTCTTAATGGACATTTTGGATAAATTATACCTTTTCTTTTTATCTATCTATTCATTTATTCATCCTTCCATTCTTAATAGATATTCTGGATATATTATACCTTTCTTTTTATCTATCTATTCATTTATTCATCTATCCATTCTTAATAGACATTCTGGATAGATTATACCTTTCCTATTATCTATCTATTCATTTATTCATCCATCCATTCTTAATAGATATTCTGGATAGGTTATACATTTCCTTTTTATCTATCCATTCATTTATTCATCTATCTTTCTTTATAGACATTCTGGATAGATTATACCTTTCCTTTTATCTATCTATTCATTTAATCATCTATCCATTCTTTATAAACATTCTGGATAGATTATACATTTCCTTTTTATCTATCTATTCATTTATTCACCTATCCATTCTTAATAGATATTCTGGATAGATTATACCTTTCCTTTTTATCTATCTATTCACTTATTCCTCCATCCATTCTTAATAGACATTCTGGATACCTTTCCTTTTTATCTATCTATTCATTTATTCATCCATCCATTCTTAATAGATATTCTGGATATATTATACATTTCCTTTTTATCTATCTATTCATTTATTCATCTATCCATTCTTAAAATAGACATTTTGGATATATTATACCTTGCATTTTTATCTATCTATTCATTTATTCATCTATCCATTCTTAAAATAGACATTCTGGATAGATCATACCTTTCCTTCTTATGTATCAATTTACGTATTCATCTATCCAGTCTTAAAATAGACATTCTGGATATATTATACATTTCCTTTTATCTATCTATTAATTTATTCATCTATCCATTTTGAATTTAGGTGTACCCAAATACCAGACTCATTTGTTTTGAAAACAATCTTATCTTCAGAAGGTCAGGAAAATTTTGATCAAAATCTATAAGTTTCTCTTAATTTCATGAACAAAATACCAAAACACAAATCGACCAATATGAACACGTAGATAGTGCTGGACGTGTTCCTATTTTTTTGTAATCGTTCATTCCTCGTTCTAAAACAAGGGCCTTCAGCTGGATTGTTAGTTTCTAGTTCGCTCATTTTACAGTAGTTCCATCCCCGTTCTGTTCTTTTCCGTTTTATGTATTCTTGATCGAGAGCTCTTCCATTCGTTTGTTAACAGGGGATTATCGTTAACTTTATAAGAACGATAACGATTTTGATTAAGAATGATATCATAATTTAGAACGTGTTCCTGGCGGAATGATTCCAGACAATTCTTTTTAGCCACTTACCGTTACTTCCACGTTAGTTAAATTAAGGCTAAGTTCCAATATTTTTCATTTTAAGCGCTGGCTTTTTTCAGAAGAATGGCATCGTTCTTGATAATTCCATTCTTTCTCGTGAAAGAACAACGCACATCCCTACACACAGAGTCATTTATTTCTAGTTTTCAATGTCCTTCAGAAATATGTAGATTATTGTAAATACGCTATATATATATATATATATATATATATATATATATATATATATATATATATATATAAAAGAATATAAAATATTGGCACCCGTACTTATTTATCAGTCATATACACATCAACCATTCTCAGAAATAATAATTAATATTCATAATTATATTATGTGTGTTTACATGTTTAAACAAAACATTATTAATTGTCATCAAATCATGTTTAAAGAAAAACAAAAAACGTTAATTTTATTCTCTTTATGTCTATACATATATACAATATTTATAATTCTGAAAAAAGTATGTTTGAGCTTTTTCGCTTTAACCTTCAAAAGTAGGGTAAATATTTGAAAGTGAGCTCTGCCTCTTTTAATAGAGATTTTTAAAAATATTTTTTTATGTGACGTTCAGACCCACATATATATATATATATATATATGTGTGTGTGTGGTTAATATTTTTCCATATAGCCTTTTATTACTATATAATTATAACACGATACAATACAAAATATTGGGATTTTACAACTTTTTCCAACATTCTAAGACTAACGCTTATGAGTTTTCCAACATTCTAAGACTAACGCTTATGAGTTTTCCAACATTCTAAGACTAACGCTTATGAGTTTTCCAACATTCTAAGACTAACGCTAATGAGTTTTCCAACATTCTAAGACTAACGCTTATGAGTTTTCCAACATTCTAAGACTAACGCTTATGAGTTTTCCAAAAACTTACTTATGTGTTTATCATACAGGGTTACCCACATAGTATGAGATTTCAGCGACGACCGTCAAATATTAAAAAGAATAAATATGTTTTTATATTATAAAATCTTGCTTCGCTACAAACTATAGAGAGAAAAGGAGAAGGTTGAATTTATCTGAAATTTCATGGTTTGACTTTGAGACCTCGTAAATCCTTTAGTTTAATGTTTACCCGTAAGTATGAAAAAGAAAATATTAAATCACGAAACATTGTTCTACATTAGCTCTTCAATAAGAGAAATTATGATTTCAATCTTAAACACATTTTCTTTAGTCTAAGTAGGCTTTTCTCATCCCTTAAAAAAATCAAAACTAGAGGAGCTACGAGGTCACAAAGCCGTAGCAGTAATCTAGATTGGACCTCTTCCTTCCGCCTAGATCACAGTGACTGGTTTCTTTCCTTGCTATTTTATTTAATAAACGATAAAAGCATATATCTAAGGCATAAACCTTAATTTAACCTTGGATCGTAATATGTCTTTACAGTTTCAGCCTTCGTGGGTAACTAATTTTCAATTTTTTACATTTATGGAATTTTTTTTAGTTAATTCAAAATATAAGAAATTAATGACATAGGTACAAGGTTACCTTATACAAAAGATAAAATTAATGGACAATCTGAAACCTTATTCGACCTTTCAACTTAAGTATAGCCTTTAAAAGTCTCCTCTAGTAATTTGGTAAATAAAGGAATTGGTTTAATTTCAAGGTAACCAAGATTTTGATAAAAGAAATTCCGGACAGTCGTCTCTGAAGTCTCATTTCTTTTTGACTAACACTATATATGTGTAAAAAAGCTTTCTGAATTGAGATATGATTGGACAGGTTTATATTTATTGTAAAAATCTGAAATCCTGCCTAAGTTGAAGCCTCCAGCTGACAATTAGATGTAGTTTAGGGACAAAAACAGTTGAGATCTGTTTGTTTTATTTAAAATTGAAGTTCTCAACAAAATATACAAACTAGGGGAGGGGGGGTGGGGGTAGACTGGGGAGGATTGAATGAAGGCCAGGAAAAGAGACTTCCCTAGGCTTCTGTGTGTGATGTGCCTTACTTTAAAGGGACTGTAAGCGTAATTTAAAGTGACCCTCCATACAAAGATGGCAATGCCCGATTTACATCGCGACAATATCCTGATCAAAACTGTGGAAGATAATGTTGTTTGTCTCTCTCGAAATGTGTTTAATTTAATATATTCTACATTCTTTCTTCAAAGTAAGAAATGCGCAACTTTGCAAGCCACTTTTGAACAGAAACCACAAATCAAAATAAACAGTTTTCAAAATCAAAAACATGGATTTCTAATTAATGCTTGATCAGAAAAAGCTTTAAGGTTATACCGAAATCGGGTATTCCCATCTTTGCTAGCTGAAGGACACTTGATATTACACGTACAGTCTCTTTAACATAAAAGCTTTTAGTAGAAAATATCTTCAGAGATATCTTTTTATAGGTTTTAATATTATACATAAAACAAATATCATAAAATACCAGTAACCCTTGGATTACCTAATTTGGTTTGCCTAATATGATACTTTTAGATACACATATTTTTTAAGTCTTAAAGTCGTTTATTTAGTACTACCTGTATCATTTTGTTTGGATTGTTTTTATTTTTATTTCTTTGTTTTTATAATTGTTTTTTTTTTGTGTGCATAAATTTAAGATCTAAGTATTTTTATTTTGTAAAGTTTATGGTTGGCATACCTACTAATTAAAATCAACAATTACCAATTACGAGTATTTCATATAAATGCTAATACGGTGCGAATCTTAATATTATATTTTAGCCTTAAGATCAAAACTTTTTTAAATTCTTAGCACTTTAAAAACTATTCTAAATAGCTTTAAAAGAGTGCTTTACTAGCTAATTAATGTCCATCGTACATCGTAACAGTTAAATTTCTCCTTTGCTTATAAATTGTACGTTGAAAAAAATAATTTACAACGATTTTCCTTTTCTTATTTTCTTATTTATACACTCATTAGAAATAACAAGGTGAAGATAAATTGATATATTTTGAGAGCATGAATATTATGTTTAAATATGTTGATAAACGATAGCTATAATTTTTAAACATAAAATATCTAATATATATATATATATATAAGAATAAATATATTTAAAATACACTATACAGTGCTTTCCATTATAAAATAGAACAGAATGACGACCTATCAGGCTGCCATTTTAAGGCTCTCAGTCTATATCAGTTATTCGTTGTTGCACCCCTTTTTAGGAGAAAGGGGGGTGTACCTGACCCCTTGGACCCCCCCCCCCCTGGTTACAGGCCTGGATGTATTCATGTTAATATTCTAGTTAAAAGAACTCATCACTTTCAGTCCGGTCCGGTGCAACCAGCCTAAAGAAAATGTTTCGATGGCGGTCGTCTTCCTTGTTCTGCTTTATTTCATAATATTTCATAATATTGATAGATATTAATAGATATTAATAAATATTTTATTTAATGTCACAGAGAAGAGCCACTCCTCTCATAACCCAGTGTTTAGGACCAATATCACTCTCGAAATCTGAAAATATATTTATTTAATGTGTAAAAGGGTCCTCAACGAAAAAAACACCAAAATCTAATTAAGTTTTTCAAGTTCACAAAATAAGAATTAATCAGTTACCTATAGATCCAATATAATTTATGTCCGTTCTTGCAGGTTTTCTGTATATAGGACACTCGTACAGTCTACTGTCCTTTCCTAGAGGACAAATATATCATAAAAAGGACACTCGTACAGTCTACTGTCCTTTCCTAGAGGACAAATATATCATAAATAGAACACACATACAGTCTACTGTTCTTTCCTAGAGGACAAATATATCATAAATAGGACACTCTACTGTTCTTTCCTAGAGGACAAATATATCATAAATAGGACACTCGTACAGTCTACTGTTCTTTCCTAGAGGACAAATATATCATAAATAGGACACTAGCACAGTCTACTGTCCTTTCCTAAACGACAAATATATCATAAATAGGACACTCGTATACAGTCTACTGTCCTTTCCTAGAGGACAAATATTCCATAAATAGGACACTTGTACAGTCTTTGTCCTTTCGTAGAGGACAAATATATATATCTGTATATATAGAGAACACTCAAAAAAAGAAATGAATCATATTATATATTCATGAACAGCCTATTCATTGTACTGCACAGTATTATCAAATTCATACATTGCTATTCTTAGATTTGCTTTAAAGGGAGAGACTGGCTAGACATAGTAGTTATGCTGAGAGTGCAGCATTAAAAAGACATTTTCCCGGATTCATTTGAGATCTATGAAACGTTTTTACAGCCTGCCAGGGAGGGGGGCGGGGAATGGTCGAGAGCCAGGAGAATTATTACATTTTGGCTCTAGTTAAACAATTATATACACCATAAAATCGTCTCAAAGGTCTAAAATAAATCCTGAAAAATTTATCTACAATACTACACTCTCAGCCTAACTACCATGCAGCAAGATATACCTATGTACATGTACCAAAAATAATGATTTACAATTCTTTACTGTTCTATACTTTATAGTATGCACAGTGTACACCAAGGAGAATTGAATAGAAGGAGAGGGCGATAGTGTTTCCGTTCACTTTGCTGTGACGTTTTTGGACTGCTGAAGAACTAGTTTTAGCTTAACAATTATAACAAAGGCAGCCGATCTAATGTAAACAAACATGAGTTAGTATACGGTGAATCTTCATCTAACGCCAGAAATGCCAGATGTTTGTTTATCATTTGTGTTATTGTTTACAATCTTTATTATTGTTGTTACGCAAAAACTAGTTCTTCAGCAGTCCAAAAACGTCACAGCAAATTGTTCGGAAACCCTATCGCCCCCTCCTTCTATTCAATTCTCCTTGGTGTACACTATTAAAACTGTACCTGCGGTAGTATTTATAGCGTACATATAAATAACTGGCATCTGTTCAAACAAAACTTTTAGTTTAGATTCAACAAGCTTTCCTAAACAACGATATAATTAAAAACAAATGAAATAAACCAAGACAATATTATCAAAACAAAAATCAAGATTTAAAGGGACTGTGAGAGAAATAATTCCAAGTGACCCTCCATGCAAAAATGTCAATGCCCGATTTACAACGGTACCCTTAAAATCTTTGTCTGATCAAGTTTGAATTAGATATCCATAGTTTTGTTTCTCTAATGTGTTTATTTTCATTTGCGGGTTTTCTGCGAAAATGATTTGATCCTTTCTTTCTTATAAGAGACACTGGAGAAATTCACATAACTTAAACACTTTTTGATTTCGAACAACAACGTTCTCTTTAATATGTTTTAACAGGTTAAGGTTTCAAGGGTACTCTTGTCAACTTTAATGGAAAAACCTTCAAAATTATCGTCATCTATTTATTTACTCATATGTATGTTCCATGGATTAAAAAAATTACGTACTAAGAAAACAAAACAAAAAAATTAATAATAAAACATATATTTGTCATATTTGTGAATAGTATTCGAATCCACAGAATTGTTCAAACGATTTTACAGACAGTGACCTGTTTTTCTATCAAGACTAGCGCCCTCTAAGAAGAGTCCGTGAATATAAACTCCCTCTGGTGGGGAATCATGAATATCCTCTCTGGAGAACCTGGTTACCAAGTTCTAAATATTAATAGAGGGGGTTAAGAATCATAAATTTATCCACTCTGGAGAACCTGGTTACCAAGTTCTAAATATTAATAGAGGGGGTTTAGAATCATGAATTTATCCCCTCTGGATAATCTGGTTACCAAGTTCTAAATATTAACAATAGAGGGGGGGTTTAGAATAATTAATTTATCCTTTCTGGAGAACCTATTCACCAAGCTATTTCTAAATATTAACAATAGAGGGGGTTGGTTTAGAATAATGACTAACTTCCCTAGAAAACCTGGTTACCAAGTTCTAAATAATAATAATAAAGTGCAAATAGATTTTCAAGTACAATACAATTATACCCTAAATAAGCCATACATCGAAAGAATTCATCAAATGTCGTATTCTTCACTTTCTGATAATGGAATGTTGCAGATGTTTAGTTTTTTTTTTAATTAAATGATTATATGGAGCTCTAAAAACTGTTCCCGCATATTCATGGCTATTTATTTATTTTCGCAAATACTGAGATTTACGTAAAGTAGTATAAAACCCATTGAAAAATTGTCAAGACGATATTTGATACATTCTTTCGATCTATTGCTCATTTGGGGTAGGTGGCAACAGAGAAATAAACTAATTATACACGACGTCACAATTGTCAAATATAACAAGGAAAACTAAATTTTCTCACGTTAGTTGATATGTTTCTCAAGATTAAATAAAAAAGCGTTTATTGAATGCTTTAGAAAACATTTAAGAATAATTATTTAAAAAGTTGAAATTTTTTTTTGAAGTAGTCTGAATATCTATAACATGCTGTACTAACAGAACAGGGCAGCGTCGTGTCCTATACTTAAGTTTTACATATACTATTAAATTAGGGTGAAAAATAGTAAATCGGGGGAATTAGGGCCATGTAAATAAAAATTGATGCACGGAGGGCAGGGGGGGGGGGGGGGGCGCAAAAACTTGTATAATATAGGATGGACCCTGATTACTTTGCATTTTTATGATTAAAGGGGGGGGGGGCCAATTCGACACTTTGTGACACCAAATTTTGTACAGGCTGCGTTTGGTCCTAATAATTGAGATAGAAGGCTTACATTTTGCATGCAGCCACTATTTGCAATAGTCATCTACATAGATCACGAAGAAAATTTGTGATCGGAGGTCATTGACCTCTATGAACTCAGAAAAAAACAGGAAAATACAACTTTTTCGCTCTATTTCAATTATTATAATTTAATCAGACTTGTTTTCATATTTTTTGCTACCACATAAGTCATGTGCTGATATTGACATATATCCCCGACCGCCATTTTGAACTCCCTTTGATAATGACCTCGAAAAATGGTCAAAATATTAAATCAATGAAAATTTGGTGTCACAAAGTGTCGAATTGCCCCCCCCACCTTTAATGCTAAGGACTCGATAGAGTTAATATAATCTTCAAATAATGATGACTTCAAAGATATTAAAGTCGTGTTGAAGGTCGTCTTTTACGCACACTAGCTTTATGTAAACTTTTTACAAAAAAAAACTTAGGATCAATTGAATGAATAAATATTTCCAATTTGTCGATTAAATTATTGCAAAGTCTACTATTAAAAGATATATTTTCATTTGTTGGTTGGTTCAGCCATAAAACGTGAACAAAAAATAAAAACAGCAAGCGGAGTTCAAAATGCGGGGCGTGGAGACAAAATGGCGGAGACACGAAGACGTAGCAAAAGGTATGGAGACGGTTTGCGGGGCCTGGAAGTCATTCTGCAAATCTGGAGACTTGGAGGTCATTTTTGCAGGACTCATGACGTCTCCGCACCCCCTCCCTCATACAGCTGTACTGCAGATCGAGAGTGTACAAATTCTACGTTGCCATCTATTGTAGTACTAGAATCTATTTGATATAGGGGGGTTAGAAGCATGAAAATCCTCCCTGGATCATCCAACAAGTTCTAAATATTTCTAATAGAGGGGTGTTAAAAATACATATTCTTTTACAAGCTGCGCTTAAAGCTGTTCTCTATAAATTGTCCAAATTATTATTTTATTTTAAGATTTTTTAGTTAAAAGAATTTTTTTTAAATCCTGACCTGACAAATGACGCTGTCTAGAGCCCAACCTTTATGAAGCCTTGTAACCTCCTGACGCATAGCTGTGAAGAATCCCTGGGGATTAAAGAATCCAGTAATCCAGAAAACCTGAATAATAAACAATCCTTTTTCTGGTAGAGCTATGACTCGACAGTCGACGCAGACTGAAACAACCAAGCCTAAAGGGCTAGGTGGGTTCCTATATTTGAATCGTTCGTTCCAAGTTCTAGAACGAGGGCTTTCAGCTTGATAGACGATATTTTGATGATAAAAAAGACGATCTTATTGGAGATGGTGTAACTTTCGACCTACGCACATCCGCTATACTCCACTTCTGACCTACGCCAAATCCGCTATACTCCACTTCTGACCTACGCCAAATCCGCTATTATACACTTCCCACTGCTAGCCAGTGGTTATACAGCTGTAAGTTGGACATGTGGCCCCCTAGCCCCCTAGTCTGTCCTATCCACAGCGCTTAGCCAAGAAATTGGCTTAACTTAACTTAACCCTTAAATAATAGAAAATATAACAGCCGTCGTAGGTCCGATTTTTCAGTAGGTCGGAAAGTTAGTAGGTCAGAAGTTCAGTAGAGGGGATATTGCTTATAGACGACGTAACTTTACCCATAAGCTGGGTCACTGCACCTAGTACAGTTTTTGATTTAAAAACAAGACAATATTCAACATTTTTGAAAAATCTTCTTGTGGAATCAATCATTTCAGACTGTGTCAATCAGATGGAAATTTTTGAAATTATGGAGACATGTTTCTTTTGAAAACACTCTCTTTAAAATTTGTTACTTTACAGTGCATGGTAGTCGATTGTAATAATATTATCAGACTACTTTTCTATTGAAGTTTTCTTACATGCTTTATTTAGATTACAAGTTTACAAGCAAACAAAGGAAAGCTTTCAATTAACATTTCTCTTTGTTTACATGTTTATGTGTCTTAGCTGTTGGTAGAAATCAAATTTGAAGTAAAAAGTCGTCTTCATATTGATATACACGACGACGAAATTACCTTTGGTCGTCCGTAGCAGCACCACCGTTTGAACTGTCCATCCCTCTCTAGAAGCTCGGTATACCAGAAACCCAGGGTAGTTGACATCCAGGAAATCTTCTTCCACTTCTCAGGAACCCTGAACACAGTTTAATGAATTTGAACGGCCTACTGACGGTTCAAATTTGAATTGCTGATTCAAATCCTGACTTTAATGTTTAACTTCGAATCGCGTCGGTTCAAATTCAACAAATTCAACATTTATCTTGTCGCATCATGCATGCCATAACAAAAACTCGTATTGGTAAAACAAACAAATTTTCCAGTATCATTAGAATAATTTTGCGCATTATTGCGCTAAAACTTACGGTATGCATAGCAATAATTGTGCATTTTCTCAATAACTCAATAACTAAAAACAAATGTACAGTGAAACCCATAATAACGAATACATCGGAAGAATTTATCAATTGTTGTTTCTACAATTTTTTAATGAGTCTTATACTATTTCTATATATAAATTTGGCTTGTCTGTCTGTTTGTTTGTCTGTTTGTTTGTTTGTATCCAATAAACGTCAAAACGGCTGAAGGGAAGGTTTATGAATGATCAAAATTTCAAATATTTGTCTCCATCAAAATTCGATCTTCATTAAATTTTTGAAAATTTTGAAAATCCACGAAATTTTTTGTGAAAATCCGCGAATTATTTTTGTTTTGTTTTACGATGTACACAAAGAGAACATGTTCACAATTAATTTAGAAGATGGGCGCGAAGCGCCCTCTAAGGCTAGTTACGTAAATTTCAGTATTTGCGAAGAAAAATAAATAGCCATGAATATGCGGGAACAGTTTTAAAGAGTTCCATATAATCATTTAATTAAAAAACTAAATATCTGCAACATTCCATTATCAGAAAGTGAAGAATACGACATTTGATGAATTCTTTCGATGTATTCGTTACTAAGGGTTTCACTGTAGTAAAAAGTATGGATGAGACGATACAGACTTTGTTCCCAATTATCACAATCTTTAGAAGACGACATGCCTTTTTAAGGTCTTAAAATTTACCTCGCATCGTACATGGAGTCCAGGGATGTTTTGAGACCCTCGCTCATGATGATAGTTCCTTCTATTGCTAGTTTCAGGTCAGATAAAGTATTCCTTACCAGGGATATAATCTAAAATAATAGGGACATAATCTGAAATACCAGGGATATAATTTTGATTACCAGGGATATAATCTTGATTACCAGGGATATAATCTGGATTAACAGGGAAATAAAGTTACAATTAAAAAATAATTTGCATGATATATTCACTATTGTGTGAAACCTCATGCCATGGATCAACTGGTTTTGTATCCGAGCCAAACCTTTAAAATGTCGAAAAATAGCAATTTGTTAAAATTGTATATTTTAATGATTGAAATGTTTATTAAGTGCTACAAACTAACAGAACATTTATTTGCATCTAGCTCAGTAACATTATAGTTCGGGAATGCCTTGTTCGTGAATGCCTAGTTCACTATGCCTAGATCACACAATGTTTATTTTGTAATGCCTAGATAACATTAAGCCTAGATAACATTATGCCAAGATCACACAATGCCTAATTTGTAATGCCTAGATAACATTAAGCCTAGATAACATTATGCCTAGATCACACAATGCCTATTTTGTAAAGCCTAGATAACATTAAGCCTAGATAACACTATGCCTAGATTCATAAATGCCTATATATAACATTGTGCTTACATTTCTGAGTGCCTATATATGCCTAGCTTTCATAATGGCTAGTCTGGTCGGCCAGAGGAAACATATATATAAATGTATTGTTTTTTTGTACAGATTTTATTGTATCTCACTAAAGGAATCACCTAATCACATTTGTTATATTTGATATGCTGACCTTCAAACTTATCTTTTTTATTGTTAGATTCATCGGTATTTTTCCACAAAATTTTAATGTTTCCGCTTATTGAAAGTCCTCCGAACCATAAAGAAAAAAAGAAAAAAATTGCAAATTTCCAGAGAGTTGTTGCGGATTTTTGTAAAAATATTCCCGGATTGTATTTTTTCCTCTCTATTTGATATTTTTATATCTCGCTGAAATACATTGTCTATAGGCATTCAATGCACTCATATGTTATCTATAGGCATAATATTATCTATAGGCATTCATGAATCTAGGCATTGCCTTGTCTAGGCATTAAGAAATGTAGACATAATGTTGTCTAGGCATTCATGAACTATGCATTAACGAACAAGGCATTTATGAACGTACATAAGGCATTCGAGAACTAGGCATAATGTTACTGAGCCGAACAAACCTTTTGCATTCTACCAATTTCTTGACGTAGAAATATATTCATTGGAAGCAGTCCACCCATTCGTTCCATAGCCTCCTTTACTTCATGTTGGGTATAGTCCCTTAATAAAAGAAACATGTGTCACATCTTAATATTTTTATAATAATTTTTACATATTTTTACCCTTTTTTTGGCATTTTTTTAACCCTCCCTAGCACTCAAACTATTAAAGTTATCGGTCACATCTTGAAATTTGAGTAATACAAAAAAAAATTTACATTTTGTTAACCCTTTTTTAGGCACTCAAACTATAAAAGTTATCGGTCTAATTTTTTTTCAATGAGCTGGCCTTGAAAAATTTGGCTATGTACAGTAAACATGCGTTTCAATTCAACCATATGCCTTTTTATCTAGAATCTATGTAAAAAATGCAACTAAAGTTATTAATATGTTTTCATGTTTTCGCTTTTGTATCTTTTTTATACCTAAAAGTGTTTATATTGTCAAATATGACTATCTTTAAATTTGCCCTGAATTTGGCAATTTCCGAAAAGCAGACTAAACAGTCGATATAAAACCAGAAAAGAAGAAACAACCATGATATGAGCTGAAAAGATCAGAAAACTGTTTGACCCGCGTACCCCTGTGGACAAAGTGAGTGCAGAAGAACCTTGCATTCTTTATGTTAAGATTGTGACCAGATCTGATTAATATACTTCTATAATTTTCATACCATCGATTTATTAGAGAAAACATCAGATAGAAAAGCATAGAATGCTATATGTATGCGATTCTACCATCTCAAGTTACCCCTGTACATCATTTTATCAGAATAAGTATTCATTTTCCAATACAAAAGTCACCAGAAAAAAAAGACAACATAACAGCTGGAAATAAAGCCCTGAGTTTTAGATTCCTGGAACTTTTTTTCCTGAAAAAACCGTAACCGCCAAAAAAGTTCTCTGAAAATTTATTTTCGGAAAAAAAGTCCTACATTTTGGCACTAAAAAAGTCATGTGGAAAAAGTCCCTGAAATAAAATTAAGTCCTACCATTTTGAGACTTAATTTTCATACAAAAAAGTCCCCTGAAAAAAAGTCCTTTTAAAGTGGAAAATGCATGGAAACAAAAGATGTTTACAACTATGAAGAAAGGGACTTGATATTAAAAACACATGTGAGTAGATTCAATCTGCAGTTGTATAGAAGAAAAGTCCTTTAATGAAAGCGTCTAAGACTTGACCTCATGGGACCTTTTTTTCTTTAGGACTTTAATTCCTGTGATCTTATTTCCTGAGACTTTATTGGCAGCCCCCATATTATTTTATTATTTTCCCCAAAGTTTTTATTTCCAGATTCCCAGCCTTTATAGATAAACTAAGGATAAAAAAATTAAAAATTGAAAAATTAATTTTTGTAAAAATTAATTTAAAAAATTAAAGATACTATTTACTTATTTACCTTGGTAGCTTAGAGAGCATATCCTCAGCTAGTTTATATACAACCTCTTCTCTAGTCTCACCCTGCAGTACAGTACATTACAATACTGTACAGTTCAGTACAGTACAGTACATTACAGTACTATACAGCACAGTACTATACAGCACAGTACTATACAGCACAGTACAATACAGTACAGTACAATACAGTACCGTACAGTACCGTACAGTACAGGACCGTACAGTACAGTACAGTACAATACAGTACACTACAGAATAGTACAGTACAGTACAGTATATTACAGTATATTACAGTACAGTACAGTACAGTAAAGTGCAATTCTATGTTATCGAATTATTTTGTTTTCAAGAACCTGAGAAGCTCCAGCACCGCTTTCTTTCGGTTGAACATTCAGAATTTCATCCAGGATTCCCTGATATAGTTTTAATGCTTCAATGTTTAGGAAATATGAAGAATTTCCTTAAGATTTCGACAAAATTATTTTAAAAATAATAATATGGTTTTAATTTATAAAATAAAATTGACATCACAAAAAAGGCAGAGTTTTGTAGATTTTGCTTCAATAATCAAACATTTTAAATTAAGTAGGTTGACAAATAAATTCAAAAATCAAAGACGACTTGAAAGTCGTCTTGCTACTGTCATGTTCCGACAAAATACCGCTCTCAATCATGTACATTATGTTTAAAATTATTTTTAGACCAATTTTTGAGACTTCAGTAGTTCAGTAAAGCTATTTCTTATAAGAAATTAAAAAAATTTATTTCTTTTCAATTACTTTTCAGTAAAAGAAGTTAAAATTGAAAACATCTGTTCCAATCGAACATTAAAGGAATTGACTATTTGCCACAATCTCAAATTGTCTAATCCCCATATCTGTGCAACTTGATGGCGTAAACCTTTGTCATTGAAAACGTAGATTATTTGATCTACCAGAATTCATGGTTTGAAATATCTAAGGTTTACACCATTGGCTTTGCAAAGATATAGGGTTAAGCAGATCAGAGCTTGTGGCTAAGATTCAATACCACGAAATTATTCCGTTTAAACCTTTATACTTTCACCTTGCCAGTATTAATTTGATATGAAATATCCGCATTTTTATGCAAACCGAATACTTCCGGAAGATCTTGAAGGGGCATATTTCCGATAAAATTGATGTAATCCTCCAGATTCTTAGCTTCCGGAACAGGATATCCTGAAAGCATATCACAAAACATGTAATAAAAGGATCTTTGTATAGGCATACAAAATAAACAAAATTAACGGCTGTCACCGTTAACGTACCGGGCAGTAAAAAAGATGGTCCGTGTTTCAAAAAAATCAAAAATAGCCCATAATATTTTTGTTATTAAAGCTACAGATCTGAAAAAGCCCTTCAAAAATGAATGTAGAAACATGTGTCATATCTTAATATATGTGAAAAACAAAAAAAAATATTTTTTACATTTTTCCGATCTTTTTTGACATTTTTTTCAAACCTTTCTAACACTCAAACTATAAGTCTATTATAAATTAAAGTTAGCGGTCTAATTTATTTTCAATGAGCTGGCCTTGAAAAATTGGGCTATAAACATGCATTTCAACCCTATTAGGGCCTTTTTCTAACTATATATAGATTTTTCTAGCTATCCATAGATTTAGACGCCCCTGCAGCCTTTATAGGGTTAATCTAACATTGTTAAGATAAAACTATTAAGATAAAACTGTTGAGATAAAATTGATAAGATAAAACTATTAAGATAAAACTGTTGAGATAAAATTGATAAGATAAAACTTAAACAATTTGAATGAATACAAATGTGTGTTTACCTTCATAAAATAAGAATCCAGGCCTGATAAATATGATTTAAGATTTCATTTATAACAGTTTAATGTAAGTTAAAGTTTAAAGTAACGGAACACTGATCAAACACTAATTTATCTTATATCTTTGCAATCTGATATCGTAGACCTTTCATAATTCAAACTATGCACTCTGCTGGATCTAACAGCCAAAGTTAAACTATCAAATGTATACATACACAAGGAAAAAATAAATTAAAGTTTGTTTCAAATCTTCATTTTATTTCTTAATAAAGAGGTTACCCACAAAGAATGAGATTGTAAAGACGACCTACCACTCTTATAATCTGACGATTTTAAGGTTAAATTAAGTTTTATTCCTTGAATATAATTTTTTAATCAAATTTTATCGGTTTAATTTAATTTTTCGTTAAATCTATTCCTGAGAAGTTTATCAGTAAACCAAACATTTGTGATTGTACCGAGCAATCTTTTATCAAAATCATCCGTAACTCGTCCTCCATACTGAACCTAAAAATTAAAAATAAATATTTTTAGAAAAATATCTGTGTTAAAAATTAGTATTAAAGTATAGTATTAAATAAAATCTAAGTGTCTTCGGTACTTTGAGGACAACGGTAGAGAACATTAGACAAAGAGCTGTATTGAACAAAATTCTTCTTATTTAAAAAAAAATCATTAAATTAACATATAATCAATTAAAAAACTGATATGAACTATAGATTAATCATTGTTACAGTTAGATTCTTTAAAATTAAAATAGAAAGTCGTCTTCATTGTGTTGATATATACGACGACCCTGACTTCTAAATTTTTAACAAAAAGCTTACTTCGCCAAGCATGAAGCAGATAGTGGGCCATGATATACCACGCCTGGGGTCCAAATCATCTATACACAGTTTTATTATTAGTTTTATTTTTTTCGTATACGAGATCGGTTTCCTAAAAGGGGACTTCCCTAGTGAAAACTTCCCAAATGTGCAATTTCCCAAGCGGCAACTTCTTCAAGGTTACGTTAGGCCTTCTGAGGCGCCTTAGGCTGCAATGGGGCCGAGCGCTGCGGCTAAAGGATGGGCTAGGGTCCGAGCACTGCGGATAGAATAGATTTGGGAAGTTGCCGCTTGGGAAATTACAAATTTTGGGAGGTTGTCACTTAGAAAAATGATATCATTTAAAAGTTGTGGCTTGGGAAAAAGAATCTAATGTCTAAAAAACTAATTACCTAAATGGTTGATGATAAACTGTGTGCTAGCCTTGAAATCTGCATTATTGAATTCATACGGTATATTCCATCCTAGAGGACCATACTTCTTCCTCTCCTAGATATTAATAAATTGTAAAGTACAGTATGCAGGATGCAGAGGTGCAGTACAATGTAAAGTACAGTATGCAGGATGCAGAGGTGCAGTACAATGTAAAGTAAAACTTGAAGTTTACAGCAAGGTAAAGATTACACTTCAACGGTAAATGAATTCTTATAAACTAGATATTGGAAACGCAAATATTTGTTGTCAATGTACATTGTACACACCACTCTAAAATTTGCATGATCCGTGCCGGTACTATGCGTACTGTACATGCATTCAGTCATACTGTCCAGTCTGGCTACCTAGTGTAAACCGAGCATGTTTTATGCAACAAATGTTACCCGGCAAGATCCCAGCAATTAAAAAATTAAATTTTTACAATATAAATTTCTCTCGTACAGCTGTAAATAGTACTGTAGACAATATACATGAACAATAATCTAATAGGTTTTAGTTTAGAGCAGAAATAAATCTACAACAGCAATTGTACATGTAAATCGTACATACAGTAGTAAGTATACTTGTACAGAAGTAAGTGTACCTGTGCAGTAGTAAGTATACCTATACAGCAATAAGTATACCTGTATACAGAAGTAAGTATACCTGTTCAGCAGAAAGTATACCTGTACAGCAGTAAGTATTCCTGTACAGCAGTGAGTATACCTGTACAACAGTAAGCATACCTGTACAGCAGTTTAAGTATACCTCTACAGTAGTAAGTATACCTGTACATCAGTTTAAGTATAACTGTACAGCAGTTAGTATACCTGCAACAGCAGTAAGTATACCCGTACATCAATAAGTATACCTGTACAGCAGTAAGTATACCTGTTCAGCAGTAAGTATATTTGCATACAACAGTAAGTATACCTGCATGCAACAACAGTAAGTATACCTGTACAGCAGTAAATATGCCTGTACAACAGTAAGTATACCTGTACAGCAGTATGTATATCTGTATGGCAGTAAGTATACCTGTACAGCAGTATGCATGAATGCTATTGAATAGAGCAAGGTAGGCCAAGCTTGATGGCTTGAATAGTCTAGAACATCTTGACTTATATCAGCATAGGTTCTCTAAACAAAACAAACAATTAAAAAAAAATGTTGTTTCACAGCAATGGATGACAAAATTGGAAAAAGTCAGCAGTGAATTGTTGCACTGCCATGTCTACACTCGCTAACTTTTTTTTTTTTCAATATATGTAAATTGGAGAACAATTCTTCTTTTTGATTAAAATAAACAGCAAAATTTTAAAAGATTTAATTCGATCAGTTTTGGAATATCTATTTTAGTATATAGGAAACACACGGTATAAATTCTGTACAGTCGTTTCTGAAATCTTATCCTTTGTTGATAACCTTTGTGGAGATAAAGAGTTAAGAACATTTTAATCTATTAGTTGTAGTTAGAGTTGAATTAAAATCTAAACGTAAAGGGTCTCTAACTTTTTGTTGATTGTTTTCCATCTTTAAATGACTTGTCTGCTGGTTTCTATGTTTATCTGATCTTTCAGGCCCGATTTTTTTTGTATCTTACTTTACCAAATGGGAAGGGTTATGGCCTCGGGTCGTTCAAAAAATTATCGAATTCCTATATCTTTGCATTCTGAGGTTGTAAACCTTTGATATTTCAAAATTAGACTTTTTTATCCAACGGAATTCTAAATCTAAAATATTTCTTTTGCTTAGAATTTTTATATTTTTAAACATCAACTTTTGAAACTGTCAATTAATCAATGTAATCTGAATAACTAAAAATTGTTATTATAGTAATGTTTCCAGATAAAAAGAACGCGGGCGGCGAAGCACCCTAAAAACCAAGTTTTAGAAGATTTCATAATTGAAATGAAAAAGTGTAAAACCTTTAAGCTTGCTCGAATCCCCTGTGGAGGATCGTTGGTAAACTTGATTGACATCTGGAGCAAACCAAGGGGAAAATCCTAAACATAATCAGTCAATCAAATAAGCAATCAATTAATTAGGTAATCAATTAATAAAACAATCAATCAATCAATTAATCAATCAAGCAAGTATTCAATAAATTAATTATTTATTCAATTAATTTATTAATTCATTACAAAGTTAATCAATTAATTGAATAATCAATTAATTGAATAGTCAATTAATCAATTAATTAATCAATCAAGTTATCAATTAACTAACTAATTGACCAGTAAATAAATTAATTAAATAATCTAATTAATCAATCAATAAATTAATCAATCAATTAACTAATCAATCAATTAATCAAGCAAGCAAGTAATCAATAAATTGATCAATCAATCAAATAATCAACCAATTAATCAGTAAATATATCAATGAACCAATGAATCAATCAATGAATCAAATAATCAGTCCAGTCAAAGTTTACCTTGTTTACTTCTGTAGTAATCCACAGTCTAAATGCTGGATTAGGGGTCTCTGATTCTTGTAAAATCTGAACAATATCTTCACAAATCTCAACTGAAAAAGGGATACTTAAGATTTTTGGGAAAAGCGGGTGTTAGGTAAAAGTAAAATCATTCGTTGGGATGTTTAGAAAGATGAAAAGTTCCCTGTATGATAATTGAAGGACTGCAGTATGGTTTTGGTGAATTATATTGGCGTACAAAGCCTAGGGGTGTCAGAAATGATTTTTTTTTGCAGTTTTTTGAAAACGTCCAATAAACCTAAAAAAGTTTAATTTTGATAAAACTTTTTGTTCTGGATGATTCCAAATATCTATCTAAAACTTTCTTAAACCGGCATATTTTTTCTATATTCATTTAGTTAAGAGTTTGAGTTAAAATAAGTATTAATAAATATTGCTTTATATCGAGTAGATATCCTTATACATATCGATGTGAAACCTTTCAGAAAGTAGGAAAGATTCTGCAGAAAAAAGTTGCCAAACCAAACAGAATTTTTATTTTGAACAAAAATATTTAGAACTTATATAGAAGCTTTTCTGGGTTGCACTTTACTCTAGTTTTGCATTATTTTCATTTGTGTATAACAGTATAAAAGAGGTTCCGTTGATGGTTTAAAACTAAACAGCTGATGATTCATAGGAGGGAGGAATGGCAAAAACACCAATTTGTAATTCCCAAATCTTTTTATGGAAAGTGATGGAAACAGGGTATACAAAGTGCTTCAGGGTACAGGGTACTACAATGTACTGCAAAGTACTGGGCTTTACTGGGGTATACTGGGGGGAGGAGATACAGAAACCAAACAGAATTTTTTATTTTTAATAAAAATATATAAGTAGAGTCAGAAGCACTTCTAAGGATGTTTTCTTTATAGTTTTGCACTATTTTCATGGACAAAAAAGCTAGTTTAATACTAATCAGCTGATCACTTAATCTGCATTGATAAAGTTATACATTTGAGTGCAATAAAAAAGGGTGTTTTTGATGGAAATATTATTGTGTTGTTGATGGCAATATTATTGTGTTGTTGATGGCAATTTTTATAGTGTATTGTTGATGGTAATACTATTGTGTGTTGTTGATGGCAATATTATTGTTTTATTGATGGCAATATTTGTGTGTATTGTTGATGGTAATATTATTGTGTGTTGTTGATGGCAATATCATTGTGTACTGTTGATTGTAATATTATTGTGTGTTGTTGATGGCAATATCATTGTGTGTTGTTGATGGCAATAATATTGTGTGTTGTTGATGGCAATACAATTGTGTGTTATTGATGGTACTAATATTGTGTGTTGTTGATGGCAATATTATTGTGTTGTTGATGGCAATATTATTGCGTGTTGTTGATGGCAATATTATTATGTTGTTGATGGCAATATTTTTAAGTTGTTGATGGCAATATTAATGTGTTGTTTATGGCAATATTATTGTGTGTTGTTTATGGCAAGATTATTGTGTTTTGTTGATGGCAACATTATTGTGCTGTTGATGGCAATATTATTGTGTTGTTGATGGCAATATTAATGTGTTGTTGATGGCAATATTATTTTGTGTTGTTGATGGAAATATTATTATGTGTTGTTGATGGCAACATTATTGTGCGTTGTTGACGGCAATATTATTGTGTGCTGCTGATGGCAATATTCTATATTATACCTGACAGATGACAGTTCTGTAGCATAACCCAATGTCCTTTAGCTAAACCTTCAGCTAGCATATTCCTTGCAGCCTCTTCCTGCCCTTGCCCCATAGACAGTGCCTTAATATTGTTTCTTTGCTTTAAACTAAGCATGAGAGTTCATACTTAAAGATCGTCTCTGATCTTTAATATTAATTCAGTTAAAAGTTGCATAACTTTCTATAAGCATTCCATGCTTTTGAACTCCTTCGTAAAAACAGCAGACCACATTTGGGAAATGTTAAGTATTTCGTTTTTTAAGTTAAGTCAAATTATAAATCTAATTTAGCTAATAATATTGACTGTTTTGTTCAACTTTTTAACAGTTTTACTAAATACTGGATAGGACTGGTTCTTAATTGTAAATGCTTTCTTTTTTAACAAATATACAATGGTCATCTTATATATAAATACAATGATACACTTAAACATCGTAAGGAAAAGAAGCTATCAAAAAACAGCTTCTAAATTTATGTACTCGTAAAGTTGTGATTTAAAAAAGCTTGACAAAAATAATAACTTGAGTAGAAAAGTCGTCTTCATGGTATTGATATAAACGCCGACTACTGTATTAAACCTGGCAAGGTTGTCCAAGAGATCTGGCTAAACCTTCTATCTGTGTGGTAGGGTCGGAACCTGAAAGTGCACATGAAAAATAGTATTTAGTATTTATGTTATTTTCTATAATTACGAAGATTTAGCCTGAAATTTAAGTTAACATCGATAAAAAATAGATTTTAAGCCGAGTTGTAACAGTTTCGTAATTATTTGATTTTCAAGCCACTAAGCTGGGAACTCTTAAATGGATATCGAGATCACATAATGTCGTCTTTCTTTTCTCCTTGTTATATTTGTCCCCCTAAAAATATATTTAAAAAGCAACAAATCTACAGTGATAACCAAAAACTGTAGAGTAAGAAGACGACATTGTAGCCATACCGAAGTATGTTTGATGTTTTTACAAAGAATATAGCTTTACTAGTAAGTTACTAAACCACTTACTAAGTGAAATGGGTCTGTTAACAATGTACAATTGTTGTGCCTCATGTTCATTGGACTATTTAAAGTCATAAATTGTGTTTAAAAGTCGCCTTCCTATTCCAAAGTTTTCTGGTTATCACTGTAGCTACACTGTATTTTCACCGGCCCAAACCGGACTTTCTTAGAAGTATCTCTAGTTTAGAAAGGCAGTTTATTTCTGATTTATTTCTCAAAGAGTTCAGTTGTTTAAATACAGTTCAGTTCCTGTCTCATTTCCTGCTGTCTCTATTTTCATGATTTACTTCCTGTAACTTTTTGCCCTCTATGCCAATTTATCCTTTGTTTGCCATTCATCCTGTCTTCTTGTCTTCCTTTTAGCTACTAGCCTTACTTCCTGCTTTACATCTTACATCACTTTTGCCTCTCACTTCCTGCTGTCTCTCATTTCCTGCTTTACTTCCTCCCTTACTTCCTGATTTTCTACTTCCTGTCTCCATGTACCTATGGATAGAAGGCAGAGAAGAGGGGTTTTACAATCTGCTTCTCCCAACATCCCCTCCAGATCTAGGACAGAATTCTCCAGGAAACTACTACCCAGAGATTGATATATATACTTTCGTGCCTAAACAAATATATGTACTTTCGTGCCTAAACAAATATATATACTTTCGTGCCTAAACACATATATATAGATAAATAATAATAAAATATATCTTTCTTATTATAATTGTAGCTTCTAAATTTACAATACAGGGACTGTAAGTGTAATTTCAATTGTAATGCCTGATTAACAACGGTTCCCTTTAAACTTTTATCTAATCAATAATGTGGAAGATATTGTCGTTTTTTAAGTTAAAAAATATGTTTTCCTGTGGTAGAAATGCGCAAGTCCTTATAGTAGATAAACCACAATTGAAAACAATCAGCTAAAAAAATATCTTATTCGCACTTGATCAGACAAAGCTTTTAAAGGTGAAGTTGTTAATTGGATTCTTTGAATAGAGGAACACTTAAAATATGCTTATAGTCCCTTTAAAAGTAGTCTTTTGAATCAAACTTCATAGAAATAATGGTTTTCCGAAATAAGTAAAAATCAAAATCAAGTTTTGAAATTCCGATTAGGCATAAACCTTTCCTGGGGTCATGTGGGTTGCCACAAAAACTTTGATTTATTATTTCAGCAGTTTGACACTTTTTAGACACAAACAGACAAATAGACACACCAAATTAAGAAATACCTATATATATAGATAGATATTGAAATGATGGACTTTGTTTTTTACAAACAAAAAGTAAAAAAAGTTTTTAAAAAACTCTCAGCAGCTGAAAAGGTAAATTCATTAAAGAGAAATGATTATATTTTAGCAAGGGGATAAATTAAAAAAACATTCTTACACTTTATTTTTTGTATCAATTTGAACAAAATGGCGATTTGTCCCTTTAACTAAAGTTGAATTGAGTTTAATTATCAGAATAATGCCTGAATACTGATCATGCAATGTTTTGATTAAATTAATGCAGTAGAATTTGCTGCAATATCCCATCAAGTTTATTTTAGAAACTTTTTTTTCGCTTTATGTACAATGGCCTGGCATACAATTTTGAGCCATTGCATTGAAAATGGATTTTCGAAAACTATTTACACTTTTTTCAAAAATCAAAATAAAGAGAAAAGACTGAAGCGTGCGATTTTTGCGTAGGTGCAAAACATTTCTTTATAGAATGATTCTAATACTAGATTTACATATAAAATAAAAAAATAAAAATTGTGTCAACAGCCTGCTTATATCCCCTTCCCAATTAAAAGCTCCAAGATAAAAGTGCATTGGTATAAGCAGTATAGTTGACTACCTGAGAAAGCGTCCTATCTGGACACCAAGATCTAACCAGCAGAAGTTGATGAAAAACATCTAGAACATAATTCATGATTTATTTTGCTTCATGCGTTTTCATATAGAAATATAAAGCATTTATCCAGCAAAAATCCGCTTAATTTGAATATAATTTATGTACTTTTATCATGCTAGTTCTCTAATTCTCTTTATTATAATACTTTTCTGTTAAGAAAAACCAGCAGGGGTTTTCAGTATTAAAAGTTATTTAATAAGATAATTTTCCTTAAGTATCAGAATATTTACAGAAGATAATTTACCCATAGGATCAAAATAATTTAATGAGATAATTTACCCAAAGGATCAAAATACTTAAATAAGATAATTTACCTAATGTATCAGAATAGCCACATGGAAGTTTCTCCTCTTCTGGCTTCTCTGTGTCACACCAAGTTTTCCAATCTTTCTCAGAGTCTATCACCTAAAAGAGGATGGCTACCTATTTTAGAAACAACAAAGTACTCAACTTTAATTTGGGCTATACAAATTAGAAATACAACCAAGCATAACTTTTAATCAATTATATTTTTCCTTGAGAATTTAAGTTTATATAGTTTACAATCAAATTCATAAAATAAAAAAATAAATTGATTATGAGTCATATTTATATAGTTCACCATTTAATTCTCTGTCTGGATGTTTAAAACTTTTTTTGGAAAGGAAATCATCATTATTGCATAATCATCTGATATATATTTTAAATACGTTTGAGCAAACCAATTAATTTTAACAAAAATATCTTATTTTGAATAAGGAATAGTGTTTTGCAAGTCTTACTTGAGACACAATTCTTAAAAATTTTTATCAGCATACTTATTTTTTTTATCAGCATACTTACTTTTTTATTATTGTATCATTCAAAACACAGAAAATTTCTTATTCAAAAAAATGTTATTGCAAGTATTGCAAGTATTGCAAGTAATGATATTACAGTCAAACCCACTGAAAAATTGTTTAATATGATTTAGTTTTCAGTGTTAAAGCTATATCATTATATTAATATAATGAAGATGACTTTCGATTTTAATTTTGATTTATATCAAGCTTTTAAACAGCATGGATACACTAAAACATGAAATGATTACTGTAAACTTGTGATTCGAAAAAAAGTGTTTAAACAATTTAAACTTTAATAAACAGTCGTCTTCATTATATTGATATAATTGCTGTAGTTTAATTTTTGAATTAAAATTTACTTTATCCAGCAGTACAGAGAATGTATCTAGTCTACTGAGCTCTACAAGATTCAGCCAGATGATATCCAACATCCATCTATATGGTTTGGGCTAAATGAAGTGAAATTAGTATATTATATAATATTGATAATTTTACAAAAAAAATACCTTGACAGAATTCATGTTGAGGGACGCCCCTCCTTTTAGCAGGAAAAGAAACTCTTTATGTGACACTTTTCCAAGATACATATCAATCTTGAGTGTGAGTAGCAGGGTAAACAGAAACTTGTGTTGCTCAAACAATCCCTGTGATGTATATTTCCAAACAGACTTTGTCAAAAATTCAATAATGTTGTCTATTCTTTTCTGGACAACATGAGTTGGCTTTGATTTAGTGACTGAGCTATCAAATATACCCAAGAATTGTTTTAAAGCTGTTTGATACATTGGACTTACATTGCTCATTTCCACAATTAGAAAGTATAGTATACTTCCTCTTGCTGCCACAGGTCTAAACTCTTCTCTGGCAATATTTATCTTTGTTTCTGTCTCTGCGGCAACTTCCAACTTTTTATTGACTTCCGCTGCAGTTGTTTTAGTTTCTTGCAGGACAGATATCAATTCTTCATCGTCAACAAGGGAACCTTGAACTGAGTTGAGCTTTTCTAGTAAATTGTCTTCCAATTCCCTTACTGTAGCTTTGTTTTCAATAACATCTTCCACTAGTCGAATTCGCTCGGTTTCTAAATCAGATTTTTCCATTCGAATCACTCTACCAAGCAACTGGTCTTCCAATCCTGTAAGTGTTACTGTGAAATCAATAATAGCAGTTCTTGCACTGATTTCTGGACTGTAAGCAGGATTTGGTAACTTGGTTGTAATGTAAAGACAAAATCCATCAATCAATTCCATTTCTCTATCCCCAACCATGACCTTATCAACTTTTCCAGATTTGATAATATTGCCCTCCAACAAATTATTCAATACCGGGTCCAGCTCTTCTCCTATATCTTCAATTAAAAGAGGACGGCCCAAAGATAAACAATCCTCAAGGTGAGTTCTGAAGTACTTGTGCTTTAAGTTGGTAACCTGTAAATCATTGTACTGATTTTTGCTAGTGATCCAGTTTTTGCCTTGGCCCTGAGGATCTATCAAGAGAGGATAGCTTCTTCCTTTTGTTACTATAGATGCATTTTGTAGAGAAAGTTCATCATTAGGAAGTCCCTGCAAAGACCATTCAGACAATTCATCAGTGTCTACTAGCATAGTAACAACATTAAGATCCTTTGTAAAGTAAATATTCTTCTGTTTAAGCAATCCTTTCCATATTCCCATTAGTTGCAGTCTATATTCCTGATTAAATGGCCCTGAATAAGACAGAAATCCACAGGCCAGTAAAGTGTCTCCTATCAATCTTCCAAGCTGTTCCTTTAAATCTTTACTTGTTGATGTCCATCTGTCCTTTTCTCCAGCCAAACCATTGATAAGTGTACTTGCAGAAGTCATTTTTCTGCGGCAGACATCAGCTTCATTTGCAAGTTTTTGTTTTTCCGAAACTGCTGCAACATACATTTCTTTGCATTTTTTTAGCTCTTTTTCTTTCTTGCGTAATGTTTTTTCAGCAGTTGCAAGTTCTTTACAAGCAATCTTTAACCGACTTTCTTGCATAACTAGATTGAGTTTGAGTGGAAGAACTTCTTTATTAACCCCAAAGAAAAATGCCATTGCTTTGGTCCAACACAGTAATCCTGCCACATCACTACAAACCCTTAGTGCAGTTCCCATGTTATAATCTTCCATTGTCAGATATGGTTCTAAAAGTTCCACCATTTCATCATTTATTATATCTTTCGGAAAGTTAAGAAGTTGTGAAAGGAATGTTGTACTTGACATAACTTTTAAAGATTCTCCCCAGCTAGGTAAGGGACTGGGAACAGTTGGATCACTTTCCATCTTTAATAGTTTTTTTCTGAACAGTATTAAAACAGAGTCCATAACCCTCATAATTAGATGAGGAGGCCTCCCTAGTTTTCTAACAGTAGCAATATTGGCTGGTTTCAAAGTATTCAGAGCTTCTTCTGCCTCTTCTAAAGCTGGTCTTGCATCTTCAAGCTTTTCTTCTGCGATTGCTTTCTCTTCTTCAATTTCAGTCACCATTTTTTCACAACCACTTTTTACCATTTGAACTTTGTTTTTTACAACTTCTGCATCCCTTGCTGCCACAGTTACCTCTTCTAAGACTTTTTCTGCTTTCTGATTGGCAATTTCTAGATCTTTTTCCATCTCTTTTAACTCAATGCTTAGAGTTGCAACATTTTCTGAAGCTTCTAAAAGCTTTACTAAGCCTGCATCCATTCTTTCAGACATGTCCCCAATCTCTTCATATTTTCTTGTATATACATCTTTGTAGCTGCTTATGAAATTAAGAAAAGATTTTGGGGTGACATGAGTTGAACGCCTAAATCTTTGAAAGTAAGTCTGGCAAGACTGGGCAACAGAATCTTGAACAGAAGCCATCGTCTTAAACAGCCCCCGTTTAGCATCTTGAGAACAGTTAATAGGGAAATCTGATAAAAAGTGAGAAGCTACTGAAACCAATGCTTCTCTTGGCCAGGCTTGAAACCAGTCAATTGTGCAACCAGAAATCAAAGCAGGAAATTTCAAGGCTCTTTGCCTAAATGTTTCTCCAATTGGAGAGAAACAAAGAACAACATGCAGGTTGAGCTTCACTCGCTCTAAAAACCATGCTATAGTATTGTCTGGAGTAGGAGGAATTCTTGGACATTCTCTTTTCATTGCAGGGGTCAGCTCAGTTACAATTTCACCTTGCTCATCTTTTGTAAATATTTGAGAAGCAAGACCACATGCTAAAACATTATTTACATACTCCAAAAATGACTCATCCTTGATATCCTGATCTGTGAAAAGAAATGTGGTTTTTGTCCCTGTAACACCACAAAGTCTAAATAAGACCTTCAAATCTTCTATAAAATTTGTAATTGTATAAGATCTAGTTACAGATATCTGATAAGTTTTATAGCCAGCAATAAAAGATGCAAGTTTAGTAAGGGATTGCTTTCCGGACCCACCTACTCCTACAAGCATTATGTTGCCTCCTGGATTCCGGATGACTCTTGAAATTTTGATCAAATGTGTGATTGCATCATCAAAGAAAACAAGGTCCATGTTAGATCCCCTCATAATATCATTATACTGATCCAAAAAGAATGAAAGTCTCTCTGCTAATGTTTTGAAGCTTATGACAGGTTCATAAACCTTCGGGAGTTCATTCTCACCTTCTCCATCCTCTTCCCCTGTAGGTTCTGGTGCATCTCGCATGAAGTCAACAAAATACACCATACTTTTGGTGATCTTGGTAAAACATTTATCAAAATGGTCAGAGACTAAATCTTCCACTGCAGTAACAAACCACTCCTTATCTGAGTCATTTACAAAGCGGTCAGCAAGAGTACGAGAAACTTCATTATTCCAAAGCTGCATCAATATAGTTTCACTGGATATAACAGAAGATTGTGTAGATATCATGCTAAGCCAGATCCTACTAAGATCTCTTAGATTAAAAACATAGTGAAACTTTGCTGGGGTGGGCAAGAGCTTTTCCTTTGTGATATTCCAAAGTAATCTTGTGACTGGGATAAGATCTTTGGCCATTTGACAAACTTCTGGTTTAAATCCTTGACTAACTTTGAAATGGGATTCTGCTATGACAGAAAATATTCTATCAATTGCTTCATCAGATGGAATTGTACAATTAAGGATAAAGAAATGTCTCTTCATTCTCTCAGGGATGTCATTCCTTCCCCCTCCAGGATGGATCATGGCAGAAATAAACTGCATATCTGTAAATGTGCAATAATCTCCTGGCTTTTCAAGACTGTAAAAACTTTTTTGCTCCAGAAGAGTTCGAAACAACTCATTAGTTACTTGATCTCCCCATTCATTAACCTCTGGTTGGTTAAGATCATCAATGAAAATTGTAAGAGATTTTCCAATTGGTGGACCGTAAGTACTCCCCATCCGTTTGTCCACTGCTCCCTCAATTGTTTTCTGGAACATCTGTGGTGTTGTGGTTGCTGAAAAGTTGCTTTTTTTGAAAACATTATACTCTGGATTGAATTTGCTCAAGAATGAATTGATAATACTGGTTTTGGCAGAGCCTTGTTCACCTGTAAGCAACACATTTTTCTTTAATGCTGAACAAGTTGTTAGAATAAATTCAGTCCTTATGGTGCTAACATTAGGAATAAGAATATCTCCATAGGTGTTGGGATTTATATCTGGAGGAATGTATGTGTCCAAAACAGAATTCCAATGTGTCCAATTTCCTGTATGAGGGTTTACCTTGTAATTGAAAATAGAATTGTCCTCTTCTGGCAAAGTTGGCATGTTCAATGATAAGTTCTTTTTGATAAATTGTTCCAGCTTCAGTCTTTCAGGGGTCTCAAGGAAAGAACCCAGTGCCCAAATCAGACTGAAAATGTAGCTTTGTTCATAATCATTTTCATCAGGATCTTCTATTACAAAGGCTTCCTCAACTTCTATTTCATTACCATCATCATCATACTTTACTTCAGGTTTCATACTGGATCTGCGTTTCTTCACTTCTTCCTCATCAACAATCTGAAGACAAGGCAAGATTCCTTCTAGGATTGTAATAAGAGCTTGAAAGACATTAACCTGCAATAATGGCATAACAAAGTTTAGATTTGATATGGCATATTTCCAACTGGTTTCAAAGCTTGAATTGAAAAGCATTTGCATTGGTTTGACATGTTTTTCATCAAGATTGTGCTTAAGAAACCAAGCTGTCAGCTTGGGTTTCCAATCCAGACCAGAAGCTGACATGTAAATCATTCCATTTCTTGAAACAGTAGCTGGGGAAGCATTGTCTACATCTCTAGGCTCAAACACAATCTTGACATATGTGGGAAGGTTCAATCTATCACCATTGGCAAGAGTTAAAATTTTGGAATCATCAAGCACTGAGTTCAGATTTTCAATCCATATAGGATCAACTGGTCCATCTAATACTAGCCAGAAGTGTTCATTTCTCTTTCCACTAACTTTCAATGTTTTTCTCCACAATGCAGCAAATATTCCATCACACCAGTCATTTGTTGACACATCCAGTCTGCCAAACATTTGTGGTGCTGTGATAGATTTTGGATTTAGTCTAAATTCTTTATGAATTTCTCCTAGAGCAGTCATTCCATGCATTAAGGTTTTGATACAGGTTGTTTTTCCCGCCCCTGAGGGTCCCAAAACCATCATTCCATGTCTAACTCTTTGAGTTTCATACAGCTGTATCATTTTAAGTGCCCATGGTGGATGATTTACAAGTCCTTTGCCATCTAGCTCCTCCTTCAGAGCCTCTTCCAGTTCTTTGTATCCTGACTTTTCAGTGGCCTGATTTGGAAACAGATCATTTATTAAAGAAAGAAACAAGGGTTCATCTTCATCCACCAACTTTGAAACATTCATGTCCTTCAAAATTCTCATTACGGTCATTGTTTCAGTATCCTTGGCATTTTCTCTCTTGGCTCTTCCAAGGGTTCGGAGAACAGAAAGAATGTTACGAAGACCAAAATCATAATGGACTTGCTTTGTTAATTGTTCTTCACAAAGCTTGTAAAGTGTAAAGAATTTTCTTGCTAAGGTTATATTTTCTAGAAACCCGCAGCTTGCGAGTTTGACTCTTATAATAATTTGTCGATCTGGAACCATCATTGCAACATTTCTAAAAATAATCCAAATAAAAACTAAATTAAATTTAAAACAAATTAAACCTGACCTAAATTGCATTTTCAAATTCTCTGGTAACTCCTGTCTTCCAGCATACGTTGGATTCATGGTGATAAATATTCCAAACTCTGGATTCATATCAACAATTTCCCCATCAGTAAATGTGAATTTTTTTTTCTTTTCTTTCTTACATCCAAGTATGACCGCACACTGTTGTGCACATACTGAAAATATTTTTATTTTGAAAAAAAACCGGTTCTGGGAAAGAGTTTTAAAAAACAAAAAGTACCTGATAACACAGGAAGAATGATTCGATTAAATTCATCAAAGCAACCCCATGATCCTGATTGTGCTAATCCTTTAAATATTCTTCCAAGACCTTTATAATCCATCTGATCAGAACAGTTGAAAACAACACAGTACTTTCCTGAAATATTTTCCTTTTGAAAAATAATTTTTGATTTCTTTGTTTTTTTTTTAACTTCATTACCAAGTCCTTTAGCCATATCTTTTACTGTTTCTGTTTTCCCTGTACCAGCAGGACCTGCAGGGGCTCCTCCCATACACATACCCAGGGCCTGTACAGTATATGTAGAGTAAATCAAAAATAACAACAACAAAAAAAGCATTACCTGTGCAAGCGTTATGTAGCATCTGTCTGTTAAAGGAGTAATAACCAATCTTTCTTGACATCCAATAAACTCATTCTGATAAATGAACGAAACATCAGTAATACTGATGCTCATTATCTCTTCCTCTAGTTTGAAATAGAACCTAGCTTGTTTAAGCCACTCAAAATCAGAAATTGTTTTTATATTCATCCTAACCAGCATATCAAATATATCTCTTTGATGCATGTGTACTGTTATCAAGGTTTCAAATTTTGTTCTTTCAATTTTTGTCAGATTTTTTACTGTTTGACCAATCAGCATGTTAAGCATGTCCAGGAACTTATTGTTTGTGTCTGACATAATTTTACGATCAACTTTACAATTCTGAAGTGCATTTTCTGACTCCTTTGTCCATATCATTTGAATTCCCAAAATTCCAACTTGGGCCTGGAACTTTTTGATGAAATCCAGCATATCAAAGTTGCTTTCGCTGATTATGTGATATGCACTTCTTATTATTGAGTGCAATGCTTCTTTTGAAGATGTTAATAGAGACATTAGCCATAGTTCAACACTTCCCTCAGCCCTAACGCTTTTTTCCAAAAATACAATCTCCTCCTCTTTAGATAACACTGCAATGATTTTGTTATAATCGGATGGATCAAACTTGACAGAAGCAATGTTGTCAAATATTGATAGAAGATGTGCTTGTATTGTGTGAGAATCTGAAGCTTGACCAAGTATTTCCAAAAGAGCTGGATCAGATACGAAAAAGAACCTTGGAAATAATAACCTTTTCTTCTCCAAATAACCTGTTAAAGACTTTTGACAAATTTCTAATTGCTCCTGAATATTTGGCAAGGTTTGTTTTAAGTAATCATCTCCTACACAACAACTCACTACATTTGTTGTATCATGAGCCCGTTGCATTATCTTTTGCCAATTCTTGTCAATTCTATAAAACCTCTTAGCCTCTTTGGGCAATTGCTTGGCTATGTCTCCTCCAACAAAAACAGCCTCTAAATATACCCAAAGATTCTGAACTAGAAGCCATCTCTCAAGAACTTCATTAGTATTGGATAGATCTTGGACCCATTTTTGAATCTGCTTCTTGAATGGAGCATTGTATCTGTTAGACAAAAGCGAGCCTAAGATCATTAAACTATCTTCTACTTGATTAACTGAATCTGCAGTTGTATCTCCTCTAAGTAGAAGTTCACCCCTATTCTTGAAAGTAAGAAACTCAAGCTCCTGAGAAGACCATTCAGAAACCACAAGCTTCAGTTTTGCCTCAATATCTTTTTCTTTCATGGCAGAAATACAAACATCTTCTATGTCCTCTTTATTTTCTAGGAGAGGAGCTAGCATAATGTCTCTCAAAGAAAATCCGATTCTGTCAAATTCAAATTTATATTTAGTCATGTCCTCAATTCTTTTCCAATGTCGTTGTTTCATAGCCTTATTTGACATAAGTTCCAGTATTGGACAGATGTCTGTAAAGTCATCAATAACCTTTTTGAGGTCATGAAATGCCGGCCATTCTTTGAGTCCTTTTGGAAGTTTTCTGCATCTATTCTGATACTCCATCAGCTCATTGCTAATTTCCTCCACATCAATAGTTTTCCAAATCATTGACTTATATCCCTCAACGCTATCAATGACATCATTGTACAGCTTATACAACCTTTGCAGGAGATTTAATTCTTTTTTGATGTTTTCTATTTCTGTCTGATCAGTGTGGGGAAGACCAAAAAGATCTTCTCCTACTGTGTACGAGGAATGCTTTCTCCATAAAGTATCAAACTGGGACTGGAAGGATTCAAGACGCAGTGAAGCAACATTAGGAGATAAACCAGGTTCCATCGGACCTTTATTATTGTAGTTTTCAACAAATGAATCACAGTCAAGCTGAAAAAGTTCAATGCTCTTGATCAATTCTTCTTTAAAGTGTTCTTGAACTTCCAGTAAAAGTACATATGTTTGCATAGCCTTGTGTAGAACAGTATTCCAGTTTTCTTGTAAACTTTCTACTTCATTAACATCTTCTTTGGTCATTTGAAGGCCATACTTATCCATCATAACAAAGGCATTCTCCACTACTTCAATCTTCATATCTAAATCTATTTCAATTTCTCTGATTTTTTTTTGTGTTTCCATAATAATTCTGATGTCATCAAGATCATGCATTGGTCTATCAAGCTTTTTATCAAGATCATTGATTTGTCCAACAAGTTGTTTCATCTCTCGCTTGTATTTCTTATGCATTGCCTTTCCAAGCAAATTTATCCACTGATTTATCTCACTGCTAACCGCTGTTCTGAACGATTTGGTTGTCACCAACATTTTACCGTAGGAAAATTCAGAAGTCTCAGAGTTGAGTTCTGCCTGAATAAGGCTGTATTTTTTCAACTCTTTTTCAAAATCATAAATTCCAGGTTTAGCCTCCATAAACTCTAATAGAAACTCTTCCATGTCTGTTGTCCAAATCTCTGAAAACTTTTGCCATCTTAGATTGAAGTTTGAAAGTTCAAGTCTCAATCCTGCAATTATTCTTGATAAAGATTGTTAATAAATTAATTATGAGAAAATATTTCTTATTTACCTGACAAACAAGTCGATAGCTGGGAGAATGCCTTAGTTACTTCTTTATTTTCAAGAACCATTGAATATAAATTATTTGGTTTTAATTCTGTCATAGCCTTCTTAATCTTGACAGGGTTATACAGGCTTGATTTTGATCTAGAGCTTTTCACAGCACTCGGAGGCTTTGTGCTTGCCCTTTTCTTTACAACCAACTTCTCCCATTGGCCAACACCCTAGGTAATTATAGGTTTGTAGCTTTTAAGGAGCTGTTCTTGTAAATTACATGATATTTGTTGTATTATTCTTGGGTTAGATAAGTTTAAGATAATTTCTGGGCTGAGCTCTACGGTTAGCACAGGCTAGGGGCCGGGTCCAAAAACCCTTTCTCTAAAAAAACTAACATTTACAAAGGGAAATTCTTTTGCACGTTTCATTTATTCTGGAAGTGGAATATCATCGTTTTCTAGCTTGCAAAAATTGTTTAATTCTGATTATTTTCTCAATTGAATTTGAAGCAAAATTGCGCAATACACAAATACGGAAAAGATCAATAGATAATAATCAATTTTCAAAGAGAAAAACAAGGCTTTTAAAGGGTACCTCTGTGAATTAGACATGCCACTTAAAACAACGTCCACAATCCCTTTAAACAATAATATATTACTAACCTTTGAGACGGAAAGAATAAGAGTTCCAGCTGTTACTAGAATAGACTGAATCTCTTCAATTGACGGTTCAACCTGAAAGTAACTAATTACCCCCCAAAATCTCCATTTTCTTACACTAAACTTTTCAATCTTTGATATTTTTAACTACTATATCTGTTAGATCAACAACTTAAATTTTGAAATAAAAATATTAACATCATCAGGTAGCAAAGATATTGATTTTAGAAAATTAGAGATTGTCGACATGGGAGGACTCCTATGGGATTGAAAATGATCTTGGGGAACAATTGATTTTTGTCCTCAAATGTCCATTAATTAAAAGTGCCATCAAATGAAACTAGACAGATTTTTCAGCTTCACTTACCAAAATATTACATGCCAGTGATAACCAGAAAACTCTGGAATAGAAATACGACTTATATCTCTGGAAACATTTAAACCGACTATATGTGCCGATGGCGGAGATGTCTGGAAAATATTTTTGATTTTATAATTCATATGTTCGACATCGGTTTGTCGAAAATTAAACTTTGCAGGAATCATATAAAGTTATGACTTTAAATAGTCCGATGTACATGAGACACAGATATGTAAATAGTCCAATGTACATGAGACACAGATATGTAAATAGTCCAATGTACATGAGACACAGATATGTAAATAGTCCAATGTACATGAGATACAAATATGTAAATAGTTCAATGTACATGAGATACAGATATGTAAATAGTCCAATGTACATGAGATACAGATTTGTAAATAGTTCAATGTACATGAGACACAGATATGTAAATAGTCCAATGTACATGAGATACAGATATGTAAATAGTCCAATGTACATGAGACACAGATATGTAAATAGTACAATGTACATGAGACACAGATATGTAAATAGTCCAATGTACATGAGATACAGATATGTAAATAGTCCAATGTACATGAGATACAGATATGTAAATAGTCCAATGTACATGAGACACAGATATGTAAATAGTCCAATGTACATGAGACACAAATATGTAAATAGTCCGATGTACATGAGACACAGATATGTAACGATGTAAATGAGACACAAATATGTAAATAGTCTCCATTAACTTGATAAGTGATTTAATAAGTTACTATAAAGTTGTAACACTATTTTCTATGTACCTCCATCAAATACACTTAAGTATTGCTATAATGTCGTCTTCCTTTTCCACAGCTTTCAGGTATTCACTCTATATTGCACATGGTCAAACAGTGAAAACCAGAAAACAGCTGACTTATCCACCTTTTCTTTTTCTGTCAATAAGAATCAGGATTTGCAACTGAACTTATTTTTAAGAGTGCTTTGAAAGTTTAACATACTATATCAAAATTTTTTATTTCTGCCAAGATTTCAAGCAGTATGGATACAAGTATATACATGAAAACTAGGAGAAGCTGTCAATTAACAGCTTCTCATTGAGTATTTGTAAACTTTTTATTTGAAAAAAGTATATAACTTTCATACAACATTTCTTAAGAAAAGGATGAAAAAAGGCGATATTATTCCACAGTTTTCTGGTTCTTACTGTATCATAATTATATTATTTCTAATTGAATATAGTTCACCTCGACATTAGGGATTGCTAGAACAGTTTCCAGTTCAAATGAATGTGATGTTTCATCGGAGTCCTCAAAGTCAAATATCTCTCTAAATAAAAAAAGTTATTGTGTTCGACCATTATAAAGATGTAAGAGAATGTTTGATCGAAGAAAACTCTGAATTAAAATCGAATAAAACTTATATAGAAGCTTACACAATTTTGATAGATACAACGTTTATAGAATCTCATAACACTTTGATTGAATCTCATAAAACTTTGATTGAATTAATAGTTGGTGAAATAGATTTCTGTGCATGGATGGATGAAAGTGCTGTCAGATAACAACCCCTGGTTATAAACCCAGACAACACCAAACTTTTGCAATAGAAAATTCCGAGATTTGATCGTAACAACCCGATCATGTCCTGGGGACAAAAAATCTCGTTTAAACAAGTTTTGTTAACGATTTAAAAATTAACGGTTTTGTCGTTTGTTAACAGACTCTTCTGTTAATATTCGAAAACCTCTGTTTCGTCATCGCTACTTTAGGCCCGGTCCTAGCTGAATGTTGTTCCTTTTTAGTTACATTTTGATACACATTGCACAACAATTTTACTAGAAAGGGATTCACTTGACGTACCGGCCCGTTTTGCCTTATATAGTATGTATATTGTAAGTGTACTGTACAGTCCGCGGTACTTGAAATGAACTAGAGTTTTACAGTAATTGAGGAACATTTTTTCCACAGAGTGGGAACACATTAACAGTTGCATGATATATAGGGTTTGCAATCAAAAATACATTTTTTATAGCAATGAATAACATAATTTGTTTAAATACCTCTTGCTGCTTTCAACTATTACTGTTGAAAAGAATTTAGTGAGAGCTTTCAGCGCATTTCTTGAAATGATTTCTAACTTTTCTACAATCTTCCGGCTAAAATTTCTTCTGATATCCATACAGGTCTTGTTCATTGCTATATTAAACTCACTATCCCTGAACATTTTTAGTATTATTAGTATCATTATAGATAGCAATGTAGAATTTTCACACTCTCTTGTACTGTACTGTATTCAATTACGTCACAAGTGTTAACAGTTTTATGTGTCCGACAAAACTATTAATAATAGTGATAAAAATGCTTATATTACAGTGAAATAAGTGCAATTATGTGTTCTTTAGTTTCTGTTTATAAACACTTTTTATTTAACCTTGGAAAACATGGCAACTAATGGGAGAAAATTTCGTTTTCTTTGTTATATTTGACACTTGTAACGTCATGTATATTTGGTCCATTTCTCTGTTGCCACCTAATGTACTTGATAATCTATTTGAATTTCGTCTTGTGTTCACTAATAAAACTGCGTTGTCACTAATAAAACGTGTTGCCATTGTTTGTCCAAATTTGCTTGAACGGAACGGAATTGAGTCTCAGCCACAAAGTCCAATTTTATAATCAATATATTTTTGAAACACAATGTCGTAAACCTTATATATTATAATCCATGAATTCAGTTAAATCAAATAATCTTAGTTTAAAATATCAAAGGTTTTCTGTGTGTAAGCGTTCCGGCACTCAAAAACATTTTTCTGTGAAAAGATATTAACCAAGTTGTAATCATAACTTAACAAATTATGGTTTTGAGCGTATTTTGAAATTGATGATCAATTCTTTTAAGGATGAAAATATGTTTTTTTTTTCTCGTTTAACCTGACTTGAAGAAAATCGGAGGAGAGTCCTCCACTTTTCTGTAATATTCTAAAATAAAAATACTTCAAAATAGAAAATAAAGAAATTTCGTAGAGAGATGTTTACCTGGAACTTTTGTCTTCTAGATTATCATTCCCCATTCCTGGCATGGATTCTAAAGTACATATTTTATAAAATATAGGAGCTCACAACAGTCATCCCTATCTTCAAATCATTTACTTAACCCTATATTTGTCTAATGTAGAATTTGGTTTTTTGGGGGGAGGTATTTTTTACTTCACTTTACAAAAAAGTGAAGAAGTTTAAGCAATGCAGTGGTAATCGTTTTTGAGTGAGTAAGAAAAGCCACAGGGGGGGGGGGCTAGAACCACTCCCCCCCCCACAAAGTGAAAGGCTTAATCATCTCTTGTTAAGTTTAATAAGGGAATTTTAACTGACAAGGACCCCTTGATCCGACCTTGTATCGTGTGTCAAGTACTGGCCCGACCTTGTAGCGTGTGTCAAGTACTGGCCCGACCTTGTAGCGTGTGTCAAGTACTGGCCCGACCTTGTAGCGTGTGTCAAGTACTGGCCCGACCCTATCATATATGCAGCTCGGTTTCAAGTTTGATGGCGCGGCCAGATATTATACAGTACCCGGCTTATCATTGGCCTATTTGGCCTACCCCACTAGTTTGATGGCCCGGCCAGACATTTTGCAGTACCCGGCCTATCATTGGTCTATTTGGCCGACCCCACTAGTTTGATGGCCCGGCCAGACATTATACAGTTACCGACCTATCATTGGCCTATTTGACTCAACCCACTAGCTTAGTTTATCGTGTAATGGTTGTTGGTTGTTACAAAAGCTTAAGCAACATTTCTAGAGTAAAAGTAAAATATGAAGTTTATTCAAATGTTTTCTGGTTCTTTCTGTATTTATTACAACAACTAGCTTAGGAATCCAGCCTCGCCCAGGTTTCTCTTATTTACTCTCGCCGTTTTCCCGCACTTGGTCGATTTCACCGATCCAATCAAATTAGAATCTCAAAACCAAGTTAATAAAATTCCTGTGGCGCTCCCGAGTTCCGAATCAAAATTTAAGGCAAATCTGCCCAGGGGTTCCTGAGTTATGATCGGACAATCAAACAGACAGACAAACAGAGATTACACCTTTATATAATATAGATGTGTGAAAGTTACCCATTGCTAATGTGATTATATCTTCAACAGCTTCTTCTATCATAGTATTCTTCTGCTGCAAGGTAATTGTTCCTTCCTATATAGTAAACTAGCTGGATTTTGAAAAAGCTTTGGAAACAAATTTCAAATGAATTGAATCATTGCAACAAACTCTGATTTCTTCATTCCTTTATCTCTCAAAGGTTTACACCATCTGGTTTTAGAGATATAGGTATTAGAAAATTGAGATTTGTGGCAAAGACTCAATTCCTTTGATAAAAAAAAGAATAAAATTCCGCCGATTTAATCTAAGCTAACACAAATGTAAGCGAAGAACTTTATGATAAATATTAATATTGTATTTTATTAAATTTAAGGTCATCACTATTGTTGATAAGTGGTCCATTTGCTGTCCAATATATGAAAGTTCATACAATCAATCAATTCTAAACATTTGCACGCTGGTTCAAAAGAAGATACATATTGGCCATATGTTTATATGCTACTTTTAGTTAAAAATTCTTGAAAAGTTTAAGTTCCATAATTATATATTTCTTATAGCGACACTTTTTTTCCAAGTCAGACTCCTAAATCCGAAATTATATAATTATATGCGATTTTTTTATAATTTTTTTATTTGCCCTTTTATTAACCTGGCATTTACTTCTCACTAATGATAGAAATTTCTCGAAAGTCCAAGCTTTCCTGCAAACAAAAATCATTATTATTAGCTTTATTATAATTAATATTATTATTATCACTATCAATATTGTTACTTGTTAGGCAGGACATAAAGTTCAACTCTATCCATACTCTCGAGAATAATATTTATTCTATTCAAATATATATCATTTCCTCTGTCGATTAAATCCTAAAAAATGAGAGTATTTAGGTGAACTAATACCTAGATTTGAAGAGAATCCTAACCTGAAAAATGTTTATTTGTTGTAGACAGTTTTCTATAAAATCTTCATAATCTCGGGACACCCAGTTTATACTTTCTGTAATGTTTTCATTTTCTAGGTTTTTATTTTTTGGAAGGTTTTAACTTTTGTATATTTAAAGTAGAAACGTTTTAATTTTAAGCTATTAAAAGGAACTGTGATTGTAGTTTTAAGTGATCCTCCACGGAAAAATGGCTATGTGCGATTCATAATAAAACCTTTGAAAGCTTTATCTGATCAATATTGTGAAAGGTATTGCCAATTTTTAGGTTTAAAAGTGTTAAAATGTGAAAACTCCTATATAAATTCCTGCAGAAGTAATGCGTAAGTCAATTTTGTATTGATATCTAATTCATACTTGGTCAGACAAAGTTTTTGAGGGTATAATTGTGAATCGGGCATTAACATCTTTGCATGGAGGATCACTTGAAATTACAGTCCCTTTATGTAAATCCTAGCTCGTATTTCTGCAATCACTGAACAATAGCAGGTTTTGTGATTTTAAGTCCGATCGGGCCATCTTTGCAGTTATCCACCGGATTTAGTCGCAAATTAATATTTTCTTCTGCCTTTATCTTTGCAACTTGGTTTCGTAATAACAGTTCAAACTACTGTGAAATCAAAAGCAGGTTGAGGAGATATAGGGATTTGAAATTATAATTTGTGGCAAGTTTTCAATTCCTTTACACTCATATCGAAAGTTTCCATCTTAAATAACTTCGTTGGATATCTTTAACGATCGAGGAGCGAAAACACAAAAAGTTAACTATCGTTCTATGATTGCAGAATTTCAAGTCAGCTGATTTTTTAAAAGAATTTACCGCCTCATTTTAAAAGTTTCTACTGTGGAGATACTCACAATTCTGACCTTTGAAATAATTAAATAGATACAACAGTGCGTTATTGTACTGATTTTTAAAGCAAGTGAAAAATTTTCAGACAATTTTTTAAAATCTTTTTTAGCTTATTTTTTTTCTGAAACAAAGTAAACCATTCTGAGATTTGGAAATTTGTGGCGAATCTAATATCAGTTGAAAATTTTGATTTGTGTTTTTGGATCCGGATCCGGATCCAGGAACCCAAAATGTTGCCGATCTAACGGATTCGATTCCGGTAATTAAGCACTAAAATAAATTAATTAAAATAAATAGATTTAGAAGAAGAATACAGTCCTAGTCCCAAGTCAATAGTTGAGCGTATTGAGGATAGAAAGGGAGCAAACAGTTTCCTCCACTCTGGAAGAACAGAGCTACAGGCATTATCATATACTCGGAGCAAAACCTCTACTCTTGATCTAAACCAATAATATGTCAATATAAACTACAGGCTTTATCATATACTCGGAGCAAAACCTCTACTCTTGATCTAAACAAATAATATGTCACATTAAACTACATGCTCTATCATATACTCGGAGTAAACCTCTGCTCTTGATCTAAACAAATAATACGTCAGATTTAACTACAGGCTTTATCATACCCTTGGAGAAAACCTCTACTCTCGATCTATACCAATAATATGTCACATTAAACTACAGGCTTTATCAGACCCTTGGAGTAAACCTGTACTTGTCACATTAAACTGAAGTTAAATTATGTATTATTCTAAAATGCAGCAGGGTTCAAGCACATTTCTGAAGAACTCAGAAAACAATTCTTTAAAATCCATGTATTATTATAATCTATTTTTTTAGGTCAGGTGTAGAATGAAAACTAGACAATTTCACAAAATTCCGCGATAATTCTAGTGCGCCAACCAGACAAACCGCAATTAAAGGAATTGAGTCTTTGCCACGAACTCAAATTTTCTAATCTCTATATCTTTAGAACCTGGTGACAACCTTTAATATTTCAAACTTAGATTATTTGATCTGACAGAATTCATAACTTGAAATGTCTAAGGCACACAACATTGGATTGCAAAGATATAAAAATAAGAAAATCGGAGTTTATGAAAAAGAATCAATTCCTTTACGCAAAATTGTGAAAAAGTTCTTTACAAAAACTGAAGTGTATGTTCACGGTTATTGGTTAAGAAACTCAATTTGTAGGTCCACTGTAAAAACGGGACACCCTATTGCAAACTAATAGAGTAACGTGCACTTTACCTTTATCAAAATGAATGGAACTATATGCGTAATTTCAAGTTATCCTCTATTTGTAGATTGGCGTATGAACAGAAATGAATGGGGAGGGTAGACTTGCCACCCCTGTCAAGCTCTATATGGTTAGTTTCACACAAAAAATAAGGTTTATAGTTTATATTAAAAAAAACTAATTCTGAAAACGTATCATCCCCAAAAGTAGGAGTTTTGAACATCGAATTCGCGCTTAAACTCAGGTTTTACAGATCTTTAAAAAGTTTAATATGTCTCAAATGAATCCGAAAGAAGTTTTCCACAACACTGCATACTCAGTTCAACTACCTTACATAGCCGGTCACTCCCTTTAATAGGTTGCTAGAAAGTCGGATTAGAGTTTGTTGCAAGTTTTCCGATTAAGAACAGTACTCTTTCAACCTTGGACTGATCAAGATCGTCAGACTTCTCCGCACTGACGAACAGAAACAATTTGTTTGCAAACTGTTTTAGATAAAATAAAATATTATTATTCACTTCACGTGGAAAAAAGTAAAATTTACTATTGAATTTTTTAACGTAAAATATTCAGTGATTTCAAGGGACATAAGAACCCGATCAGCTTACACTGGGTTTTATATGAATTCAAGCGGTTTTAGATAGATTCACACACATAGATCTCTGTACTCGATGAACAAAATTTGTTGTTCAAGGGCGCCATTTTCATTCGGGCATAGCTATCTTTGCACATTGACCCTCCGTCACCTGAAATTCCTCTTAAAGTCCCTTTAAGCACAACTCACCTATATTCATAGAAGAAATTTTTCTTTTTAACCAAGAGTTGGTTTATACTTGGTAAAGGAATATCTAGTTTCACCAACTTCTCATTCTCCTAAATTACAGAGCCCGAACAAACAAATTTTCAAAATAAACCAAAACATTTTCAAAATTAACAATTGGCAAAAGAAATCCGACATTTTTTATGCTTTTATAAGGACATCAAGATAAAAAATTAAAATCTTCGTAAAAATGTATGTATTTTACCTTTAAAAGACTGTAGAATCCATTATCAAAATTTATATGAAGGTTTCCTTGTTTATCTTCCTTCAGTATTTTTTGGGACATCTTGCTCTCTATCTCTCTAGTTAGTTTATAAATAGAGTATTTTTTGCGGACATCTTGCTCTCTATCTATCTAGTTAGTTTATAAATAGAGTATTTTTAGGAATATCTTGCTCTCTATCTATCTAGTTAGTTTATAAATAGAGTATTTTTAGGAATATCTTGCTCTCTATCTCTCTGTAAGTTTATAAATAGAGTAATTTTAGGAATATCTTGCTCTCTATCTCTCTAGTTAGTTTATAAATAGAGTATTTTTAATAAAATCTTGCCCTTTATCTCTCTAGTTAGTTTATAAATAGAGTAATTTTAGGAATATCTTGCTCTCTATCTCCTCTAGTTAGTTTATAAATAGAGTATTTTTAGGAATATCTTGCTCTCTATCTCTAGTTAGTTTATAAATAGAGTATTTTTAGGAATATCTTGCTCTCTATCCCTCTAGTTAGTTTATAAATAGAGTATTTTTAAGAATATCTTGCTCTCTATCTCTAGTTAGTTTAAAGATAGAGTATTTTTAGGAATATCTTGCTCTCTATCTCTCTAGTTAGTTTATAAATAGAGTAATTTTAGGTATATCTTGCTTTCTATCTTTCGTGTTATAGTTTTTAGTTTTTAGAGTTTTTAGGAACATAAAATCTGTGTTTCTTGGTGGGAATGGAGGGTTTTAATTTATTATTGGAAATTTTTTTATCCGTTGTTTTTAACAACTAAGTTTTTGGCTTTACAGAGACTTCTCGCTAATATGAAATGTTAAAAAATATTATTTTAACGTTCTAAACAATTAGGGCTTTAACGCTTTCCCCTTTCTAAACTCAAAGAGCAAAAATATTGAGGGGGGGGGGAGTGGAAAACACCTTCGCCACCCTATATTTGACAACAATAGTCCAATCAGGAATGGGGGATAGGGTGAAATGTCCAAAACCTTATAGAGAAAATTAGCCGGCCCAATCAGGTTAAATTTTCAAAGCCAAAAACTGACCCAAAAGGACAAAAAGGACATTACACTGCACCTGATTGATGGATTTCTAGAGTTCCAAGCTGTTTGTATCTTGAGTTCATATTGCATGAGCACTACACCAGTATCATTAAACTGTTTTACTAGTTTCAAATATTCAGGCATCTTTCGGAATTTTTCCATCCCATCAAACTGAAGGATAAATAACCTTCAAATAAACAAATGTTTTTTTAGCTAATTTCCAAAGTTGTTTTTGTTTCAAATAGCAAAGATTGAGACTTAATCTTTGAATAAACTAATGCAGTTTTTTGTTATACTGATTTCTAAATTTTGTTTTTGTTTCGAATAGCAAAATAACCTTCAAATAAACTTTTGCAATTTTTTTTTATGCGGTCAAAAAAGTAAGAAAGATGTTTTTTTCAAATTTTTTTTTTTTTTCAAATAGCTAAGATTGATGCAATTAACTATTAATCAAGATCTACTTATTCATGCATGTTGACGTTTTTTAGGTTCAAACCAGCAAACAAACGGTTAGACAGACAGACATACATACGGTGGTAACCAGAAAACTAATACTAATTTTAATACTAATTCACAATTAACATTTTTAAATAGATATTTTTAGACCAAGATATGCACACTGCACATCCTCACGCAAAAATAGAGCAGTACTTTTCCAATTACTCCCTATGAAACTTAAGCTAGAAACAAGCGCGTTAAGATCTAAAAATGTGTATGTCTAAGGCTACAAAAAAATTAAATGACTTGGTGAGGAAAAACTAAAGCTTAACGCGTTGCAATACTTTAAATCTGTCCAGATTTCAGTAAATAATAAAATTATTATATAATATCCCAGAAAAAAACTTTGCTTCAGGGGATTAATTCACGTTAAAGAAATCAACACTTTTAAAAATCATATTTTTCTGAAAACTAACTTTTATCATTTATTTTTACAAATGTTTTCCTAAGATGTTCCACAAGAGATCTAACCCAGTAAATATTTCCAGCTGCCGAGGGAAAGTTCCTAAATGGAACAGTTTAAAAACTTTGGAGGAATCGAACAAATTTTGTGAAATTTCGTTTTCTAAACCAATACTGATAATGGAAGGCTATTTAGTTTTTTTTAATGAATAATTAAATGGAGCTCTTTAAAACTGTTCCCACCTTTTTATTCCTATTTATTCATTTTTTCAATTATTGATATTATGGTATAAACCGTTGAAAAGTTGTCACGACGACATTTAATAAATTCTTTCTGTGCTCCAAAGTTCTGGGTTAATCATGTATTTTTACATTTTTTGTGAATATTTTACATTTTTTGAGAATATTTTTACATTTTTTGTGAATATTTTTACATTTTTTGTGAATATTTTTACATTTTTTGTGAATATTTTTACATTTTTTGTGAATATTTTTACATTTTTTGTGAATATTTTTACATTTTTTGTGAATATTTTTACTTTTTTTGTGAATATTTTTACTTTTTTTGTGAATATTTTTACATTTTTTGTGAATGTTTTTACATTTTTCAAAACAAACTTTGATAAACTCTGTATTACTCTTAGAAGAAAAAGAATAAGTTTTTAAACATCAAATAGTGTAATTGATATTTTATTAACACAATAGCAGTGTTTAATAAAATTGGATTAAAAATTCCAATTTTTAAAATCATAACTTTTTAAACAAATATTGCGTTCTGCAAACTTTTATTTTTAAGTTTGATTAAAATTACGATTGCATGAAGCAAGGCTTGAAGTATGATATAATAATAACTAAAAGTTTTAAAGTTTTGAGCACTTTAACTAAACATCAAAATATTTAGGCGAAAATAACAGGACAAAGAATAATAATATTATTCAAGGCCTGACACTGATTTAAAAGAAAATAATTTTAAAATAAACTTTTTAAATTTTATCTTAACATTTTTATTTCTTAGGCGCAACAAATGATATGGTAATTACAGTGTCCTATACATATTTATCATTTTTTTTATCTAAAATATCTTTGCCATTTTCATTCTTGCCTTTTGTTTTCTAGAAAAGCCACAGCCACAAGAAATAAATTTTAGAAAAAAAGGCAAAGATAATTTAAATCTAATTTCTTTCAAAGTGAAAGTCCCTTCGACTTAAATCATATTTATGAATGAACCCACCTTGGAATTGGAGGGTTTGAAGTCTGTTTTTTAAATGTGGAAAGAACTCTATCCATCTCCTCAAATAGAAAAAGAATAAAAAGAGTTTGATTTCACTTTCAAATTATTTCATTTACCTTTCTATAAGTTTGAATCATTCTTTCGTATTTTTCATCCATTCCTTCCAACGGCAATACCTACATAATCTATATTAAAGAGCTTTGTAATATAAAGAGTAGGCATTGGGATCTATACGCAAAACCAGACGCCTCATCTGGGTTCAATAAGAAACCATAGAATGTCGTCTTTTCTTAAACTTAAAAAGATTTTAGAACTTTTAAAGCATTCAGGAAGAATAACTTATGGCTTTTTGTAATAGCTCAAAGGAAAAGAAAAAATATTGCAAAACTGCAGACAAAATATCTATCTAAATCTCTGTGTAAAGTGTACTCAACCTGTACAGTTTAACCCCTCTGTATGAAGTGTACTGCACCTGTACAGTATACCCTCCTCTGAGCCCAAAACTAATGACAGGGTATCGTTACGAAAACCAGTTTTGAAACCCAGGTTTCACGCATGGATTTAGGCAGTTTTGTGGATATCAATATTTTTGTTATAAAATATTATTCTATATAGTTTATTCATATTCTCCATTTTTGTCGTATCTCTTAAACCAAATTCTACAAAATGTTAAGACCCCCCCAAAAAAATTCGAGAGTTTCGTTCAACCAAGGTTATAATGCAAGGAAAGTTAATTGCAGATGCGTATACTCTGCGTACATATTGAAACCATGGTTCTCTCTGGGCGGAATTTGTAAACAAGAATAGATGCATCAGTGTTTGTTTAGTATCCGAAGAGGATAAAAGCGTTGAATTTTGAAAAATTTGTTAATTCACATAATAGTTTCCTATGACCAAAATATTTCATTGATTTTTTATGTAAAAGATGGATCCCATGCCAGGCTTTGACATCCGTCTTGTTTTTACATTACCGCCCAGAGACAGTACACTGCAGTGCAAAAGAATTTGGGATCGATATATAGCTTGTTGTATAGCTAGGCTTGTGTTGTGTGGCATTTAGAGCATTGGATCTCCCATCATTTGGGATTGATATAGATATCTAATTGATAGCTAGGCTTATGTCCCTGTGTGGTATTTAGAGCCTGGGATTCAGTCCTAGTTGAGTTTGATAGCAGACTGATTGTACCTGGATAAATACGTTTGAGAACGTGTTATGGAGTAGGTGTTTACTACACTGATGCATCTGTTTTTGTTTACAAACACAGCCCAGCAAGAACTGCTTTCAATATGTACGCAGAGAATACGCAACAGCAAATAACTTTCCTTGCCTTATTACCTTGACCTCCTCTATATAAAATGTACTGCACCTGGACAAGTTTCTCAAATCTATTTATGTACTGGAACGCATGAGCAGTGTCCCAAACTCCATCATAAGTTGTTTCTAGTTTACGTTGAAGCCTGGAAATTATATTTTAAATGAGAATATTTTAATCCCTGTTTGATCTTAAATGACAAAAATAAACCAATTACCTATCTGTCATGTCTTCCATACGGTTTAGAAAATCTCCGTAATCCTGTCAGATACATCATTAAAATCTATACATTGTTTTTACTCTCAATACCTATACCTCGACACAATGCTATGATCTGGGGAGAACAATTATTTTAAATAGAAAAAACATCAAACAAAGGATAATCTTCAAAATGGAAGCCCTAATTTTATCATTTCCACAAACATGAAATAGAAGGCCACTTAAAATAATTCTTTAACAGTCCTTTTAATTATTTTTAAATCATGATATTCTTCCTTGTCATACTGCATATTCCTGAAATAGAAATTCTTCACATTAATAAAACATAAAAACAAATTCTTAGCTAATATAATTTTTTACTTTTTGATAATTTAATCTCTGAGCCGTACACAAGTTCTAATTGGTCAGAGCCCCTGCCCCCCCTTGTGAAAATGGCGGTTATGGTTCCCATGAAGGTTTTATACCCTGCATGTAACAGTGGGGCTCATTAAACCGAGGAATAAGAAGACTCCACGAGACATGACAGTTTGTAAATGTTTTGATTGTTTTCTTCCACATACTGTATTATATATTATAAAGACTTTTTGTAGTTTATTTCTTTAAAATGCTTAACTCATATATATTTTACTGTGAAATCAATTTTATTATAATAAAACTGTCATATAAAATTGTTATGATATTCTCTTTAGTATTAAACAACTGATCATATTATGGAAGGAGACATTTTAAACTATTCACCAACTGTCATGTTTCGTGGGACACCCTGTACTAAAACCATAACTTGAGCCTAGCAGTCGTCTTCCTATTCCACAGCTTATGGGTCCCACTGTATCCATATTAAATTTGATTTAGCTTTAATTTTTAGTTCTTTGGTTTGCAGTTAATATTTATGCATTCCCTCACCAACAATTAACCTTTTTATTAAATTAGATACGGGTTATTAGGATTAATTAGGGTAAATTAGAGGTTATAAGGATTAATTAGGATTAATTAGGATTAATTATGGTTAATTAGAATGAATAATGGTTAATTAGGGTTCATTAAATTTAATGAGGGTTAATTAGGGGTATTTATGGTTGATTAGGCTTTATAATGGTTAATTGGGGTTCATTAAATTTCGTGAGGATTAATTATGGTTGAGGGTTAATTAGGGTTAATTGCGGTTCATCAAATTTAATGGGGGTTAATTAAGGTTAATTAGGGTTAATTAGGGTTATTTATGGTGAATTAGGGTTAATAATGGTTAATTGGGGTTCATTAAATTTAGTGAGGGTTACTTAGGGTTAATTAGGGTTAATTAGGGTTTATTTATTGTTATTTAGGGTAAATTAAGGTAAATAGTGGTAAATTAGGGTTCATTAAAAATATGAGGGTTATATAGGGTTATGTAGGGTTAATTATGGTTAATGATGGTTAGTTATGGTTAATTATGTTAATTAGGGTTAATTAGGCATAATTAGGGTCTATTAGGTTTAATATTGATTAATTAGGTTTAATTTTGTTAATTAGGGTTAATTATGGTTATTCATGGTTAATTAGGGTTAAAAATGGTTAATTTATAGGGTTCATTAAATTTCATGCGTGTTAATTAGGGTTAATTATGGTTAGTTGTGGTTAATTAGGGTATATTATGTTTAATTGTGGTTAATTAGGGTTAATTAAATTCAATCATGGTTACTTAGGATTAAGTAAGGCGCTAATTAGGGTTTGTTAGGGTTGATTAAAATTAATTAGGGTTAATTTGCGTTGAGTAATGTTAATTAGGGTTCATTAGGGTTTATTAAGTTTAATTATGGTTAAGTATGATTAACAAAAGTTAATTAGGGTTAAGTAGGGTTAAATAAGGAAAGTTAAGGTTGAGTAAGGTAAATGGGTTAATTATGATTTTTTTGGTTAATTACCTGAAATCTAAATAGTCGTATTCTCTAAGAGTCAGATTTCGTACAGAGGCTTCAAACTTTTTACTATCTTCTAGTAAACCTTCATCAGATAACAGAGCTTCCATTCTGTTACTAAACAATATATTCCATTAAACCTTTATCAGATAACAGGGCTTCCATTTTGTTATTAAACAATATATCAATATATTCTATTAAACCTTTATCAGATAACAGAGCTTCCATTCTGTTACTAAACAATATATCAATATATTCTATTAAACCTTTATCAGATAACAGGGCTTCCATTATGTTATTAAACAATATATTCCATTAAACCTTTATCAGATAACAGAGCTTCCATTTTTTACTAAAGAATATACTCTATTAAACAAACCTTTATCAGATAACAGATCTTCCATTATGTTATTAAACAATATATTCCATTGAACCTTTATCAGATAACAGAACTTCCATTATGTTATTAAACAATATATCCATTAAACCTTTATCAGATAACAAAGCTTCCATTCTGTAACTAAACAATATATTCCATTGAAACTTTATCAGATAACAGAACTTCCATTTTTTAAACTAAAGAATATATTCCATTAAACCTTTATCAGATAACAGAGCTTCCATTCTGTTATTAAACAATATATTCCATTAAAAATAAATAATGAGACCGCCATAACTCTTTTAGAATAAGCGGCGAAAAAAACCTTACAAAATTCCCAATCCTAACAGGATTTTTGGGAAGTTTGAAAAATAAGTTATGACCCTTTCCTGTCATAAAATAAAGCTTTTAGTTTTACCTGAAAAGTTTTGTGAACTTGTTAATAGTAGAAAACATATCAAGAAGATTATTGAGCCTGGTACAGAAAGCATCAAACCGTCCAAATATATATTTCTCACTAAAACTAAACTCTTGGGGCTCATTACCCACTTTGCGGTTCTTTACCTAGATATTGTTAAACCAATTAGGAGCAGAGATGGGCATCATATTTGTAAATAATCAACATTTTTTGGGAACGATGGTGTTGTTCAGAAAAATTAACAAACAATGAACGAACGAAGTGGATTGTTCAGAGATATTTTAAACAAATTTTAAAAACAAACGAAAAGAAAACGAACAAATTAAAATTGTTGATGATCGTTCTCATTTAATGGATCAGTCAGATCGTTAATAAATCTTTCGTTTAAAGGAACTTGAAAAAACAATCGGTCTTTTACTGAACAAAAAAAAATTTCAAACTATCTTTTTAAAAAACGATTGTTTATTTTTAAGGAACGAACGACTTTTTCGAACGAACTGGAAAAAATTGTTTGTAGATAATTGTTTTCTGAAGGATTAAAAACCAGGAATGAAATAAGGTATTAACGACCGATAAACGAGCTAAATTACTAATTCATATATAGTAGGGGACAGTATCGTATAGTCGAATGTATTAATAGATCAGAAGCACTAAGCAATGTTCCTTGAAAAGAAAGAACAAAGTCTACAACCATACTATGTTTAGAGCTGTTAAAATATTGCATACAAAAAAATGTTAAAAAAAGGTTAAAAAATGTTGGGAAAAGGTTGGAAAAAGTTTAGAAAAATGTTAGAAAAAAGGTTAGAAAAAGGTTGGAAAAAGGTTAGAAAAAAGGTTAGAAAAAAGGTTACAGAAAAGGTTAGAAAAATGTTAGAAAAATGATACAGTCAAACCCTTAATAACGAATACATCGAAAGAATCACTTTGTGATAATGGAATGTTGCAGATATATATAGTATAAAACTCATTGAAAAATTGTCAAGACGACATTTGATAAATTCTTCCGATGTATTAAGGGCTTCACTGTGCAAAAAAAGGTTAGTAAAAGGTTAGAAAAAGGTTAGAAAAAGGTTAGAATAACGGTTGGAAACAGGGATGTAAACAAGAGACTTTATGAGGGGGGGATTTAGGTGGAAACAAACGTTGGCAATTAATACCTTTAAGTAGGCATTTCGGTAATTCTTGTTTAGTTTTATGCATTGCGTTAGTTTCATTTCTATCACATCCCTGAAATTTGAAATTTTTTATTGAAATTATTATTTTTATTTCTTTAGTTAGCAAGATCGAAGAATATATTCTACAGGGTGTCCCAATAAACATAAGAATATTTTCAAAATCGTCTTCCATTTTTCCATTTTTTCCAATTTCCATGTTTTTTGGAACACCTTGGTTAAAAGTCGGCTTCCAATGGATCAAAAGATTTTTTTCTGATTTCCAGAAGATCTTTATCAGCAATCAATCAGTTGCAACAATTTCAACTAAAAAAATCCTTACTGAAATTTTGTAAGTGGAGAGAAGATGGAGACGATATTCATTCCAGAGTTTTCTGGTTCTCACTGTATATATATACCTGGTTTGATTCCATATAGTTAAACTTCCATTCTCAGTAATAAACTTTTTACAGCTTCTAATCACCTGAACAAATAATTTAAATGTAAAGGTTCTAGTTTATCTAATTAAAAAAAGCTGTTCGCTTAATCAAATATATATATTTATATATGTTAGCTATAGCTGGTCTACAGCTGGACCAAAGTGGCTAATCAAATTATGAAAATGTATGCATATAACATATCAAGCATTTCAGCTGAAATCATAGATTTCATACTAAGCTCGGGTAAACGGCGGGAGTAACTATGAGAAATATTATAAAGCCAGGTTCTCAGATAGTAATCAATATATTGATTCGTTATTTAAAAGAATTGATCTGTAAATTAACTAAGTGAAAGATTAATTGAACGTTCAATGATTGATTGATCACTTTTTTAATTGGTACGTCAAACGATTGATCAGTCAATTCATTGCGTGAACAATATTAGATTGGCCAATAAAATGATGAATTGATTCATTGGTAAAATAATTTAGTGGTCAATTAGTTTATAGGGCCTTTCGATGGTTGATAACTCAATTGATTGGATATTTGATTAATTGATTAATTTATTATTCATGCTTGAAGACTTACTTGATTAGTTATCTTGACAAGAAGTGAAGCTACTCTTTCTGATGTGTTATAGTAGCTTGAGACATTGTAGATCATCTTAATTATATGAAGCAATCTCATCAAGGGAACCTGAACATATATAAATTATATTGAGCAATCTTATCAAGGGGACCTGACCATATCTAGATTATATATGGAGTAATCTCATCAAGGGAACCTGAACATATCTAGATTATTTATGGAGTAATCTCATCAAGGGAACCTGACGATATCTAGATTATTTATGGAGTAATCTCATCAAGGGAACCTGACGATATCTAGATTATTTATGGAGTAATCTCAGCAAGGGAACCTGACCATATCTAGATTATTTATGGAGTAATCTCATCAAGGCAACCTGAACATATCTAGAATATTTATGGAGTAATCTCATCAAGGGGACCTGAACATATCTAGAATATTTATGGAGTAATCTCATCAAGGGAACCTGAACATATCTAGATTATTTATGGAGTAATCTCGTCAACGGAATCTGAACATATCTAGATAATATATGGAGTAATCTCATCTAGTAAACATATCTAGATTAAATATGGAGTAATCTCATCAAGGGACCTGAACATATCTAGATTATATTGTTTTCCTGAACATCGTATAAAAATAAAAGTACTACCAATTTCCGATTTAAATTCTCATTTTTACAAAATTTTCTCTTAAAAATATTATTTCTGAGTTGTTACTTTATACCTGCATTTTGTATGGATCCTGTAGGTAGATAGCGTGGCTCGATTTCTCTATAGCCCCTGAAAAAAAAATCATTATTTTAAGTCCCTTTAATTTCTGAAAAGTTTTACCTAAAAATTTAGCATTGTCTCTGGCTTCAACGTGGTATTTTATAACCTAAAATTAGTTTAAAATTAAAAACAAGTATTTAATATCTACTTAAAGGGACTGTTAGCAGAATTTTAAATGTGAATTGACCCTCCATGCAAAAATGGCAGTGCCCGATTTTCACTGAAACTGAAAATTTCCTCCTTTTTCGAACTTTAAAATTTTTGAATTTACTTGTGAATGAAAAAAAAATTGGTGCATTTTTACATATTTGAAGAAACATATGTTCAAAATTTTTCTTGACTATGTTTTCTTTTGGAGGGGGATTATTAAATAATTAAATGTTAATTACAAATAAAAAGTTACCTTAACGTTACATTGTTGCCATAGTTTCATAAGTTTACAGTGACCTACCCGCAGGGTAACTGCTACCATCTTGGTTGGTCGAGAACTTTAAGAAAATGGATAAATTTATCAAAAAATATATTTTAACACATAGATCTATCAATTGGTTTATATTGGAATAACATCAATGATTAAATTTTAAAAAAATTATGATCAAATCCTGCCACAAATATGGAATTCGTTGTCACTAGAAGGTCCATTAGTAAAGTAAGACGACACATTCTGATTTTCCAAAACTCAATTTCATCCTGAGGACCTAGAATATGTAGATATGTAATAAATTATGTTATCATGATTAGTACGATCTCTATTATCTATGTTCCGTTATCTATTTTATCTATGTTCATGTTGACCCTGATCGGCCAGTCCGGTCAGCTTATATTTACTTGTATTAATAAATTAGTAATGTTTGAATCGTTGATTTAGACGGACGTTTATAAAGCCTTGAGTTTTGGCTAGAGATAGAGTCAGAGAGACTCGAAATTAGACTAAGAGTCGAGTAATCTCGGGACCTAGATTTATTACAGATATTCATTAAATATAAATATATTGATTTAACAATGTCTCGGAGCGAGCGCTAAAATTCAATTGGTTTAACAATTATTTCCAAAGAAATATGAATTCTTATTTAAACTTTATCGTTTCAGAGCTGTCTGAGAATACGAACACAACCTCTTTCAAGTGGTAAAAACTATATCCAGAAATTCTTAGAATAACCTGAATAACTTCAATAAATAGTTGATAATATGCAGTGTATCCCAATAAATACGTAGTTGGCAATATACAGTGTATCCCATAATCCCAATACTTAATCTGCTTTGTTATTGCCTCACTAAAAATAGTTTATAACCATTATTTATTTGATCAATTAATTACATAAATTTATCACTTTGAAATGAATTTGATGATTTCATTATAACAGCCTCATTAAAAAGAAGTGAAATTGTTACAAATAAAAACGGGATTATTTATTTGGTGTACCGTCCAGTTTTACCGACTATTGGCTGTGTGTATGTTAGAGATGGGGATAGTTTTTGTGAACAAACAAAATTTTAGAAAACAAACAATTTAAAAGACTCAAAGAAGTTTTTACATTCCACTGGAGGGATTCAGATATCTTTCCAGGGGGGTTATAATTCCACTAGAGGATTCAGTTATCCTTTCTAGCGGTTTATAATTCCACTGGAGGGATTCAGAAATCCTTCCTAGGAGTTTATCATTTCAATGGAGGGATTAAGATCTTCTTCCTGTGGAATTATAAACCCCCTCGAAAGATATCTGAATCCATACAATGGAATTATAAACTCCAGAATGGAAATCACCCTGCGTAAAGTTTTAGATTGTAAAAAGCATTTTTTTTAAACCCCTCCAGTGAATATGAATTCCCTCCGGTGGTCTCCAGTAGAATCAAAATCTTACTACGAACTTCCGTGACTCAATTTAAAATCGTTTACGATCATTCTCATTTTTTGATCAGTCAGACGAATCCTCAACGAATGAATTTTCAAACGAAATCTGGAGAAAGACATGATTATTTTCAAACAACGATTTTTTAGATGAACTTAAAAAAAACCGATCGTGTTCACATGCAGACCATATAAGGCAAAATGGGATGGTATTCCTAATTAATCATCCCTTAGCTTCCAGGAACATGTCTGTAGATGAGGAGAAATTAAGAGTTAAGAGTGAAATTATTCGCTTAAGAATCACACACTAGATATACACAGACTGCTCATAAGCTCTCACTGAAAAGTTGTCCCGGCAAGATGAAAAGTTTTTGGCTGACTGCTGACATCTAACGGACACTTATTATATTATAATACCCATTCAGGGGCTAAGTTTTACAATGCTTTTTTTTAATATTAAACATAAAATTTATAAATGTAGTCTTTTTTTGAAGGTATCCTTAAATATTCCTAAATACAGACGACAGTTTATTAGTCGTGTACTCCAGTTATACAAAAAATAAACTGCTGTGGAAAATATCGCATATTCTTGCCTTTAATCTCTGTATCCTCTCTTAACTCTGGTAAGAATGGAAACATTAATGATTTATCCTGTTTACTGGGACGCACTAGTTGTATAGAGATAAGTCTGGGGTTCTTTTGATTAATTTTTGATAGAACATCTTTAAATTTATCTTATTCTTGTAGATTTTTAGTACATGAAAAATTTGCTAATGCAATCTTTTAGATAAATATAAGATGAAAGTACTACAAATACAATACTATTGTATGTGTGATAGTGCAAAGTACAAAGTAGGTATTTAAGTATGAATCATACCTCTAAGAAGTAAAAAATCAATTGATGATTAAATGTAACACCCAAATAGATTACAATAGTACAATAGGTGGGAACAGAGAAATAGATCAATTATATATACACAACGTCATAAGTGTCAAAAATAACAAGAAAAACAAAATTTTCTCACATTAGCTTCAAAGCGCATACAATTCCACTTTTTGGAAAAATAAATATTTTGAAACTGCACGATATTCTTCAATTGAAAGGTTCAATTTTAATGTACAAATACTTTAATGGACGGCTTCCTAAATCGTTTAAGAATATGTTTTGTGCTTTGTCTCATCAAAACCGAACAAAATGCTTAAGATTAGAAAGACCAATAGGAAACGTATTAGAACAATTTCCTAAAGTTTTCCTGCCACAAATATGGAATTCGTTGTCACTAGAAATAAATTGCATGTGGATAAAACAAATATGTATCTGCAATTTGAATGTTCAAGATTAAACTGTTATTCGTGTATTTCTGAATAAATAAATGTGCCATGCTGCAAAGTTCTGATCTAGCTTTGATTTTGATTGAGCTAAATAACCCCCCCCCCCCTCTCTATCTTCCTAATACTTTCCCCACACCTATTGGACGAAACACCTCCAATTGTATGATTTAAAAATTATATCATACAATAACATCCGGGTTTGCCATTAAAGACGGCCAATATTGGCTTGGCAAATACCGTCATTAAAGTGTTAGTTTAAAGAAAATATCTATTTAAAATTATATACTTATGAATGATAAATATATATCCAAGGAGAATTGAATAGAAAGAGGGGGCGATAGGGTTTCCGTACACTTTGCTGTGACGTTTTTGGACTGCTAAGTACTAGTTTTTGCGTAACAACAATAATAAAGATTGTAAGCAATAACACAAATGATAAACAGACATCTGGCGCATCTCTGGCGTTAGATGAAGATTCACCGTACACTAACTCATGTTTGTTTACATTAGATCGGCTGCCTTTGTTATTGTTGTTACGCAAAAACTAGTTCTTCAGCAGTCCAAAAACGTCACAGCAAAGTGTACGGAAACCCTATCGCCCCCTCCTTCTATTCAATTCTCCTTGTATCTATCTAGCTAACCTATTCTCCAAGATTTGATAAAGATGTAAGAATACAGCTGTACTGAGAGTGTACAAATTCTACGTTTGAACTAGAAGCTATTTGGTATAAACACCTATTTTAATTTGTTGTTGAATGAACAGTTTTCTTTAACCTACACTCTACAGTGATTATTCGAAAACTGTGGAAATAGTAAGACAACTTATAACTTTATAAAGTCCAAAGAGCATACACACAGTAATTGTGCAGCGTAAGCTGTCCCATTTCACTAAAGTAGTGATTTTTATAAGTGTCTAGTAAAACTATTTGTAACAACATCAAATACACTTCAGTACTGATACAATGTCGTCTTCTTATTCCATTGTTTTCTGATTATCACTTTAATATAAGAATATTAATCCAGTTGTCATCAGACAAACGAGGCCTTGGATAAACATAAACATTCTAGTTCAAAATGCCAGGGGATAGTTTTTTTCTATTTCTATACTTTCCTGAAAAACATAAAAATTAAAAAACTCAATGTTACTATATTTAATTTGTCGGTATCTAATTGTTTTGTATTGTGTAAAAAATCCAACCTAAATCATCAGTTTCCATTCGTAGTTGTTCACTTTCAAACAGTAACTCCTGAAATATTTAATGTAACTCCTGTTATATTTATTGTAACTCCTGAAATATTTATTGTAACTCCTGAAATATTTAATGTAACTCCTGAAATATTTATTGTAACTCCTGAAATATTTATTGTAACTACTAAAAAATGAAATAAAAAGGCGGCAGAATCTTCACCAAGAAAAAGAAAATTTCAATAATTCATCTCAGCTAAAAAATCATGTAAACATTAGAAATATACAGTTTTCGTCGTATATATTTATAAAATGAGGACGATTTTTTATTTCAATTTTCATGTCTGCCAGCTTTCAAACACATGAATATGGAAAAAGAGATAAATATCAGCTTCTTTATATTTACAAAGTGAGTCGTAAACCTATATTTTGAAAAAACCTTGTTAGAAATAAAGACTATAATAAAAGTCGTCTTCATTGTATTGATATAAATGCCGACTACCGTATGCAAGAAGATAAAAAATATCCAACAAAAAGCATTGTTAAAAAATAATTATTTTTTTTAGTATAACCTGTATTTTTTTCATCCATGTTTTCAGATAGCTTTCAAACCTTTCCATGTTTCCTTCAACTTGAACAAAACTACGGGCATCATCCGCATTCCGGATTGTAAAAGCCTTAATTACAATAACTTGATTTAAATTGCTTAGAATTTCACAATACTCTCATTTGTAAAAGCCTAAATACTCAGGATTGTAAAACCCTTCAATTATAAAAATTAGGATTACAATTGCCTAAGATTACAATATTCAGGATTGTAAAAGCCTTTATTTATAAAAACTAGGATTTTAATTGCCTAAGATTACAATANAATACACAAACAGTTTAGTTACTCTTAGAGAACTTAATACATATACAGTTTAGTTACTCTTAGAGAAATAAATACACAAACAGTTTAGTTACTCTTAGAGAAATAAATACACAAACAGTTTAGTTACTCTTAGAGAACTTAATACATATACAGTTTAGTTACTCTTAGAGAACTTAATACATATACAGTTTAGTTACTCTTAGAGAACTAAATACATATGCAGTTTAGTTACTCTTAGAGAACTAAATACATATACAGTTTAGTTACACTTAGAGAACTAAATACATATACAGTTCAGTTAATTCGTGAGAACTAAATATGCAGTTCAGGTACTCTTAGAGAACTAAATATGCAGTTCAGTTAATCCTTGAGAACTAAATTTGCAGTTTAGGTACTCTTAGAGAACTAAATATGCAGTTCAGCTACTCTTAGAGAACTAAATATACAGTTTAGTTACTTTCAGAGAACTAAATATACAGTTCAGCTGCTCTTAGAGAACTAAATATACAGTTCAGCTACTCTTAGAGAACTAAATATGCAGTTCAGCTACTCTAAGAGAACTAAATATACAGTTTAGTTACTCTTAGAGAACTAAATATACAGTTCAGCTACTCTTAGAAAACTAAATATACAATTAAGTTACTTTCAGAGAACTACATATACAGTTCAGTGAATCCTTGAGGTCTAAATATGCAGTTCAGCTACTCTTAGATTACTAAATATACAGTTCAGCTACTCTAGAGAACTAAATATACAATTCAGATCTCTTAGAGAACTTAATAAATATACAGTTTTGTTATTTTAAGAGAACTAAATATACAGTTCAGCTCTCTCAGAGAACTAAATATACAGTTCCGCTCTCTTGGAGAACTAAATATGCATTTCAGGTACTCTTAGAGAACTGAATATACATGTTCAGCTACTCTTAGAGAACTAAATATACAGTTCAACTACTCTGAGAGAACTAAATAAACAGTTCAGCTACTCGTAGAGAACTAAATATACAGTCAAATTACTCTTAGAGAACTTAAAATACAGTTCAGTTATTCTTAGAGAACTATATACAGTTCAGCTATTTTTAGAGAACTAAATATATTGCTCAGCTCTCTTAGTGTGAACAAAATATACAGTTCAGCTCTCTTAGAGAACTATTTATATAGTTTAGCTACTCTTAGAGGACTAAATATACAATTCAACAACTCATAGAGAACTATATAGTAAATATACTAGCTACAATATTGAAGTCCTTGTATAGACCAGCTTATAGTTATAGTTTTAAAGTCCTTGTATAGACCTTTTAGGTATAATATTGAAGAACTTGTAAAGACCTGCTACGTATAAAATTGAAGTCCTTGTAAAGACCTGCTAAGTATAAGTATTGTAGTCCTTTTGTACCTACCTAGTAAAAGACCGGAGACAAGGCAACAATTCATCTCTTACTTTATCCCTGTCCGTCAAAACAATCTTATAAAATAAAGCTCTTCACTCATATATATATATATATATATCAACTGGAGCGAAGTAAAAAGTAAAAGATAATCTCCGTCCACATACACAATGTTAGGTTACAGCAAATAGATTCTAGTACAATAGATGGCAACGTAGAATTTGTACACTCTCAGTACAGTTGTATTCTGTCGTCACAAGTGTCAATTCAGTTTTTGTGTCCGACACAATCATCAATAGTAGTAATAATTTTAGAATAAAGTGCTTTTCTTACAATAAAATAAGTGCAATTTTATGTGTTCTTTAGTTTTTGTTTTTACACTTTTTTATTTAATCTTGGAAAACATGTCAACTAATTTGAGAAAATTTCGTTTTCCTTGTTATATTTGACAGTTGTGACGTAGTGTATAATTGGGTAATTTCTCTGTTGCCACCTATTGTATTTAATAATCTATTTGGGTTACAGTTTATTACAGTATAATTGTTATTTTTAGATCTACAAGCCTAAAATTGGGCTCATTGAATCAGAAACTGTACACCACTTCAACTAAATATAAATAATTATATTTTTATGCCAAGCGCGGGAAAAGGTGGGATTAATTATAAATACTACTATAAACCTTGCCAGTGGACAACTCCAGGTTCTCCAGCAATTCTTTATCATTAAGAAAAGACCTCCCCGGCCCCATTTAGGATCTCGATCAAAGCATCATTATTATCAATTAAGGTTAATTTTCATTTACAATTTTGTAGCATAACAATAAAATGTATTCCTTTAGACCAAGGTATATACACTAATGGTAGGGTAGGGGAATAGGATTTACTGCATTCGGACTGCAGGCTAGAAGCTAGTTTTAATAAAACAAAAACAAAATTGTAAACCAAGGGCAGGATATTGTTATTAAACCTAGTATCGGAAACCTGGTTACAGAAGTGGGGTTATAGGAATGTTGCAGTTTCCAAACTTTTTGTTACGAAATGTTATATTCCCTTTTTAGTGTGTATCTCTGAAATCAAAACCCCCATAAGAGAGTCCTTCAATAATAATATTTTCATGATTACTGAGATTACTGAGACTAAGTTTAAATTTTGCTCCGAAAAAAAATCAGCTGACCCCCCCCCCCCTGTTGAGAGCTGTAAATGTAGACAGTTTGTGCACAACATAAATTAGGAAATATACAGCAATATACAGCTGTCTAGTAAATCCTGTCCAGGCTACATGGGTGGGCCGGTCCACGTCAATGCTGTATCCTGTCCAGCCTACATGGGTGGGCCGGTCCACGTCAATGCTGTATCCTGTCCAGGCTAAATGGGTGGGCCGGTCCACGTCAATGCTGTATCCTGTCCAGGCTAAATGGGTGGGCCGGTCCACGTCAATGCTGTATCCTGTCTAATTTATCTGTTAGTGAGATACACAAAAATATTGATTACTGGGTTATTGACCAAAACGAATCAATTTTCTAATTTGAAAAAGATTGTTTCCTAAGATGTTCACTGCCTCTATCTGCTGACTTGCTACAGTTTAGGATAGGTATAAAGATGTTACTGAGATATCATCTTTGTTTTAGAATAACAACATAAAATGAATAAATTTGGATATTTTTCTATTTCCAGCATAGTTATATAGCATTGAAATTTTTGGAAATACATAGACTCCAGAGTCAGGGTTTACTCTGCTTAAAGCTTTCAAATCTCAGTTTTGGGTCCATTCATAAGATTTAGGACAGAAAAAATAAGCCATGTTGACGTGTATTAGACACAGTCAAACCTACTGACAAATACACAAACATTAATGTATAAATGTAAATTGACATCGCCGTGATCCAAAAATTCAATTAGGGATTTGTATTTTTCGTCTTTGATATACAGTTGACCTTTTTAGTACTTTTGCTTTTTTTTGCATTTTTCTGATTGCTTAAAATCCCATTTGATAAGGGTCTTTAGCCTGCATGGAGGGCTGATTGAAAAGTTTTATAAGAGGTAAAGAAGATTTTCAATTAACAAATTAGAGCAATTTATTAAACGTTGTTCCAGGAACAAACTTTAATAACAATATGGATTTTTTGGCACATATTTTGGACTTATTTTGGCACATATTTTGGCACAAATTTTGAACTCATTTCGGCAAATACATTGGACTCATTTCGGCACATATTTTAAACTCTTTTAGGCACATATTTTGAACTCATTCCGGCACATATTTTGAACTCATTTTGGCACATATTTTCAACTCATTTTGGCCCATATTTTTGACTCATTTCGGCACATATTTTGGACTCATTTCGTCACATATTTTTGACTCATTTCGGCATATATTTTGAACTCATTTCGGCACATATTTTGAACTCATTTTGGCACAAATTTTAAACTCATATCGGCGCATATTTTTGATCAATTTCGGCACATATTTTGAACTCATTTTGGCACATATTTTAAACTCATTTCAGCACATATTTTTGACTCATTTCGGCACATATTTTGAACTTATTTCGGCACATATTTTGAACTTATTTCGGCACATATTTTGAACTCATTTAAAAATAATAAATATTCAAATTAAGTTACGGACTTGTTTAAAGAAGCAATCATTGGAATATGTTAATTTTGATTGAAAACGAGTAAAATTACTAACTTCCTAACTCATTAAACTTAAAGATGTAAAAACGTAGATAGGATGGTAAAAAGAAACAGCCTTAAACTTGAAAATGTTAAACTCCAGCTATTTTTATTTGTTTTTTTAATTGGTTTTTGTAAAAAATTAAGAATAACAACATTCATCATTGAGTTCGAAGACTCCGAGGACAATAGAGTTCGAGGCCAATAGAGTTCGAGGACAATAGAGTTCGAGGCCAATAGAATTCAAGGACAATAGAGTTTGAGGACATTACAGTTCGAGGCCAATAGGGTTCGAGGACAATAGAGTTCGAGGACAATAGAGTTCGAGGACAATAGAGTTCGAGGACAATAGAGTTCGAGGCCAATAGAGTTCGAGGCCAATAGAGTTCGAGGCCAATAGAATTCGAGGCCAATAGAGTTCAAGGACAATAGAGTTCGAGGCCAATAGAATTCGAGGCCAATAGAGTTCAAGGACAATAGAGTTCGAGGACAATAGAGTTTGAGGACTCAGAGGACAGTGTCTGAGACATGCATTGACTGAAAGATGGAGCCGTAATTATATGGAATTTTATGTATCTATACATTTTTCAAAATGTATAATATTGCTAAAATAATATTTAAACAAAGTTGATTTCCTAACAATTCTTTCTATATTCCACAGCAGACTGTCAGGTTCCCTAACACATTCCATGATTGATAACGAATTGTTAGATATTTCTAACTCATTCTAAATTTAATATTTCAAACTGTTAGATATTTCAGTATTTCTTGGATATTTCGAACAGTTCAATATTTTTAACTTTTTATGAATTGTTATATACATTATAAACTAACCTGGCATCCAAACTGCCCATCATAACCTCTCGTTGAAACGTTTCTTCTCCCAAACTTCTTTTTCCAGAGTTCCTAAAAAAGATTACATTTACCAGATTTTCGTGCTTGGATTGCTATGTTTTTAAAAATGGAAATATCTAAAATTATCATTTGATTGAAACAAATATTGTATACAAACATGCTAAGTTAGCAAGTAACTATTTATTCATGAAATATAACTTACTAAGTTAGAAAGTAATTATCTGTTTGTGAAATAGAACCTACTACGTTAGTAAGTAATTTTTTTGTTTATAAAATATACCTTACTAAGTTAGTAATTAATTATTTATTTATGAAATATAACGAAGACAAACAAAATTAAGCATGTTTCAGGAGAAAATATTTTTGAAAGGTTTGGAACCAAGCTTTTCCTGGAGATCTGTACATTATTCATAAAGGCGTTCACGTAATTTCATGTGACCCTCGGTCGGAGTCCTCCAATCTCCATACAAAGATAGTTTCGCCTGATTTACAACGGTACCCTTGAAACCTTATTCTGATAAGTTTCTCCATTGGTTCTTATAAGCAAGAAATGAGCAAGTCTCTTTCACAGAAAAAAAAACGCAAATGAAAATAAACCATTTGAAAAAACATAAACATTTAAATCTAATTCATACTTCAGAAAAAGTTTTCAATGGCACCTTTCTAAATCGAGGTTTGCCATATTTGAATGGAGGGTTACTTGAAATTACGCTTACAGTCTCTTTACCAAACTAGAAACTTTTTTTTTTTTTGTTTTGTTTTTATACATTTAATAAATCTTTTTACCGTAGTATATAAATACAGATTCCATTCAACCCTTTCTTTGACCCAGTGTCAGTGCTTAGAATCAGTTTTCCTATAATTTAAACAAATTCACATTTTGCAAACCCTACAAGTAAAGAAATGTACTGTTGCACGTTATCAAAATGTCATAAATTTGTTAAACTTTTTTATCATAAAAGTTATATTTAAACTAAAATTTTTCAATGATTGAAAAAATGTCTGAAATATTTATCTTAAAATTTTTATTCTTTGCACAATTTTTTAATACAGTGAGACCCATACAACTGTGAAATAGATTATTAGACTCAAGGTTGTAATGCAAGGATAGTTATTTCATAGGTGTATGCATCTTTTGTACTGCAGTGTACTGTCTCTGGGCGCAAATGTAAGCACAAGACGGATGTCGAAGCCTGGCATGGGAACCATCTTTCACATAAAAAATCAATGAAATATTCTGGTCATAGGAAACTATTATGTGAATTATCAAAATTTAATGCTTTTAACTTCCTCGGATACTAAACCAACACTGCATGCATCTATTATTGTTTACAAATTCCGCCCAGAGAGAACTGGTTTCAATATGTACGCAGAGTACACTCAACTGCAATTAACTTTCCTTGCATTACTACCTTGCTTAGACTCAAGTTTTGATTTTAAATAATTCACTAAATATTAAACACAGCATTTTTCAGAGACAAATTTTATATAATAAGTTGAGTTCCAAGCTTACTGTTTAACTTTCGGTTTTAAACCAACATTGAATACACATAAAACACATACGATTGCTTGAGTATCTTATATTCCACAGTTTAATGTTTCTGATAAACATTACCAACACTTTTGAACCCTTTTAAAAACGCACACAATCTAAAATAAGTCAAAACGTAGCACATCATTTTTAATGTTCGAATATTGTATTTTTTATATTTCTTACTATTTTTCCTGTTCGTGTTTCTGGAAAAATCCACCAATCCTAATACATCCTCCTTGCTCTTGCTGCAGGATCCATAGATTAATAAAAATAACAGATAGTACAGAACACTAGATCATTAGACTTATCTTTTTCAAGTTTTAGGGGTTATCGTTCACAATAACCCTGAGGCAGAAACCAAAATGAGTTACTCGCATGCTCTCTCTCTGTCTTGTAATTAAACGCGGCATTCGCGTAACTTCTTCATGGGTTTTTGTCTGAGGGTTACAGTGAACGAAAAACCTTTAAATCTTGAAAAGACGATATTTAGTGTTATTTATGTATTTTTATTATTCTATGGTAAAATCAATATCAAATCAGTATCAAATTCAACACACAAAAAAATGATAAGCACAAAAATTACTCATCATGACAAATCAGATATTTGTCGATACGCACCATTTTCAAGCATTTAAAAGCATTAATGAAAACATTATTACTTTATTTTAAAGTATATATAAATATTATATAATATAAGGGCGCTTTGTGCCCAGTTTTTATTTCATTTTTTTTGTTGCTCTAAAAACAAAAAGTTTTTTTTAATGAAAAATCTAAGTTTTTAAATTCTGACTATCCATTAACCTTGCCTCAGGTTACGTGAGGCCCAAATAAGATTGGACCGGATCGGTTGAGCCGTGTTAACGTGTAAATTGGATACAAAAAACAAACCAACGAGCATAAAATATGTATGGATAAACATATCCGATTATAAAATTAATATTTGTTTATGAACCAAAAAACCTTACTTTCCTACTTAAAATATTATGATAAAATATCTTTAATTTATCAAATTTGAATTTGATAAATGTAAAAATCAATCACAGCATCACAAACTGCACACAGATTATGGAACAGAGGTTTCCGAGCTGAAAACTTATGGATATTGAGAACGATGCTTGATCTCCTATTTTTATTAATCTCAAGATTAATCTAATCTTTAGTTTGTATTCAGAAAAGTGTACAAAATTCAACTAAAGAGGGGTAAGCAGAATCTCAAGCAGACATTAATCAGATGCCGGTAAATTTGATATTTTGCCCACCATTTAATAAGAAAACTCTCATTAGTCGGAATCGGGTAGGTATAACCCAAAGAGAATAGAATATATTAGAGTGGAATTTAAACAATCCCTCGGTATGAAATTTGTCAGTCCCTTTCGGCCTGAAAGGGAGTTCAAAGTGTACAATTTATGTAAATGTTCACAAATTATACGCATTACATCACACTAATACAGTATGATCCCTGGACATATCCATTCCAATTTCTATGTTTTATAAAATTGTTGAATAACTTTAACCTGTGTATCGTCGTTTGTAAAGTGAATTTAATAAGAAAACTTTTCTATAAAATGAGGTTTTGCAGGGCTCAAAAGGTTATATAGCTCAAATGTGTAAAGTACACCCGCAGTTTGGAAACAGTACAACAAAATGGCCGTTTTACACATTTTTCGAGTAAATTCCACTCTATTATATTCTATTCTCTTTGGGTATATCCCAAAAGAGAGAAAAAGAGCGAGTTGAGCATAAATGAAAAGTCTCCACAGTGGATATTCAGATTAAGCAATCCATGTTAATAGGGTATCGTATCCAATTCTAAACGCCAACTTACTTTCAGAAATTATATTTTGATTTTTTCCTACCGTGGTTCTCCAGGGTTCTCTTGCGGCTAAACAAAAAATAGTTCGAATATATTTTATGTTTTGTTTAAATCTGACAGTTTTAATAAAATCTTAATTTTAAACCTTTTTCGATATTTTACAGGTGTATTTTGTAGAGGATGGGGGGGGGGGTTGATTTTGAAATTTAGTGATGTAAAATTTCACAATAATATAACCATAAACAAATATTTTCGAAAAAATCTGTCAAAGATAAAAAACCATTTTTATCATTTACCACGGTTTTTGTCCATCCTTGGATCTCTATGGGGGTCCTCCCCCCCCCCGAGGATAAAGGGGGACGCCCCCCCCGCCCAGGGGGTAGGGGATAAGAGTTAATACCTGGTAGTAGAAGAGTAAACTTCTCGCAAGATCACTTTTAAATAAATAATCCAGATCATCCAACATTGCAGGATCAGCAAACATGAAATCCATCAGTTCATGGCGCAGCATTCGGCTCACCTGTAATAAACAAAAATAACTTTAGATTTGATGAAAAAAATATAATCAGTCATTTTCAAGTAGTCTTTCAATCTTTCTTTAGCAACCTGGAAAGTTATCTATTTCTCCCCATCTCTTTTTTGAAGCCTTCTCTTTCCTTTTCTTAACTTATCTTACCTTTCTGTCAAATCTTTCCTGTCCGCCGTGTCTTTCCTGTCCGCCTTAACTTACCTGTCCGTCTAATCTTTCCTGTCTGCCTTATCTTACCTGTCCGACTAATCTTTCCTGTCCGCCTTTTCTTACCTGTCTGCCTTATCTTTCCTGTCCGCCGTGTTTTTCCTGTCTGCCTTAATTTTCCTGTCAGCCGTGTCTTTCCTGTCTGCCTTAATTTTCCTGTCCGCTTTATCTTACCTGGACGTCTAATCTTTCATGTCTGTCTTATCTTACCTGTCCGGCTAATCTTCCCTGTCCACCTTATCTTTTCTGTCCGTCTAATCTTTCCTGTCTGCCTTTTCTTACTTGTCCGGCTTACCTTTCCTGTCCGCCTTAATTTTCCTGTCCGCCTTAGCTTACCTGTCCGTTTAATCTTTCCTGTCTGCCTTTTAATTACTTGTCAGGCTAATCTTTCCTGTCCGCCTTATATTAAATGTCCACCTTCTCTTAATTCGTCACTGTATTTTTCCTTGCCTTATCTTACCTGTCCTATAACTAGGAAAGCGAACTCCTGCATAGGATCTATTTCTCCCCGCCTGGCTTTCCTCTCCGCCTCCTCTCTCTTCTTCTGGATTTCTTCCGGGCTCAGCATCGGAACCTAGGGGTATTGTTTAATCGTTTTTGTTAGTTTTTTGTTCTTTTGTTGTTCGATTTTTTTCGTTTTTGGTTTGTTTATGGTTCTTAGAAGTTTTTTTATGAAGATTTTTTCTCAAGTTCAGATTTAAAATTTATTCTAGATTAAGAAATTCAAATGATTAAACAATTGCTCTTTTTACAATTTTTGACCCTAAAAGAAAATATATGCAAAAAATGAAGCAAAAACGAATGTGTTTTTTGTTTTAATTTCGATTTCTTTCAGGATAAAAATTTTGCAAAGTTTATCAAAGCATTCTTTAACCGAATACAGATTTCAAGTTTGGGAAGTTTTATTATTTGGTATTTTTTTCATAGCAAAACAATTAACAACACAACCTAGAGCTGTTGAATTATTATTATTATAAACAAAATTTTGGTATCTTTTATTTTTGAAGTGCTTTGGTAAATTCGACATTCCATGACAAATTTCGAGATACTTTGGTAAATTCGATATAAATATCAAAATTATATCGAAATTCGATAAAAATAACAAAATAAAAATCTTTTGGTAAATTCGGTATGAATATTAAAAAAAATCTAAATACTTTGGTAAATTCAATATATACATACATATATCAAAATAATTTCGAAATACTTGATAAATTCGATAAAAATAACAAAATATTTTTGATTTAACATTTTCGATTTGATAGCTTAACCCTTATTTATACACCTAGGATCGAAAATGATTAAAGAAAATCAAATAATCTAAGTCTATTTCAATACAAGGCATCAGAATGAAAAGATAGGATTTGAAATTTGAGTTTATGGCAAGGACTTAATTCCTCTGAAGATGAATCAAATATCCTTTCTAGGCCCTGCACAGGCTATTTAAACAAGCCAGAATTAAAATTATTAGACTTTATATTGTTATTTTTTAAACCTCTTTTTCTTACCATACTGAATTAGTTTTTGAGTTTCAATTCATTCTAAAATCTGAAAAAAGGTGTGAAGTATTTGTTTTTGTAATTCACATAAAAGAGAGTATAAATCCTAGAAATGGGAATCCTATAAATCCTAGAAATGGGAATCCTATAAATCCTAGAGATGGGAATCCTATAAATCCTAAAGATGGGAATCCTATAAATCCTAGAGATGGGAATCCTATAAATCCTAGAGATGGGAATTCTATAAATCCTAGAGATCGGAGTCCTATAAATCCTAGAGATGGGAATCCTATAAATCCTAGAGATGGGAATCCTATAAATCCTAGAGATGAGAATCCTATAAATCCTAGAGATGGGAATCCTATATAAATCCTAGAGATGGGAATTCTATATAAATCCTAGAGATGGGAATCCTATAAATCTTAGAGATGGGAATCCTATAAATCAAAGAGATGGGAATCCTATAAATCCTAGAGATGGGAATCCTATAAATCCTAGAGATGGGAATCCTATAAATCCTAGAGATGAGAATCCTATAAATAAGTGTTTTTACTGAATGAACAATTTTTTCGAACAAACTTTTGAAAAAAATGTCGTTTTTTAACAAAAAGAACGTTTTTACTGAACTAACGATTTTACAGAATGATCGTCCAATGAAAAAAATAGATGGTAAATGAACGATGATGTTTAGAATGAACGAAACCCCTTATTTCGAACAAACTCTACCTATCTAAACTATCTGAGCGAACTTTTCTCCCTTTTTGAATTTTATAGATAAGATCATAAGAATATGGTTATATTTAAAAAATATTAAAGATCAAATGTAACATTACTTGTTTAAAGTAAATGTTCTGTTTTTCCATTCTTCGTTTTAATTTTAATTCTTTAATTCAGATGTGCTCAGGCTTTCGAATACATCTGATAAGTTCTGATTGTAGATATTCTGATAAGTTCTGATTGTAGATATTCTGATAAGTTCTGATTGTAGATATTTTTCAATTTGTAATGTTCTTTGTGTAAAATGTTTTTTTCTAGTTTAAACAAATTATAATTTTTCCAGAATTTAGCGTAGGTCCATAATCTATTCCAAATAAGTATAAAAAATAAACTTATAAATATTACTAGAAAATGTAAAGTACATTAATTAATTAAAACCTTGTTTTTACGCAACTTGCGTTAATATGTATAAAAAATATTTTGAACGCTAATTAATGTTTTAATAGCATCATTTTCGCTGGATTTCACCCTTTTTGTCCCAGTCTTTAGCTACTACTGAGTTTATTTACCACTACAAACTATACAGAAGGACAAGGTAAATTTATAAAACTTCACTGGTGTGAGTTTGTTTTTATTTTACGCAAGAATATTAGAAAATCAAATTTATCTGATATTAGAAATTCATCGTAAACTGTTTAATGAAAGGAGTTAGAATTAAAAACATCAATGTACTTTAGTTTGGTGTTATATTAATGTTAAAATAATTTTCAAAAATCAAAAACACCATGTTTGTGCTTTTTTAACTCATGTATTTGCCTAAACACAGTGTTTAGTTTGTAAGTGTGTATTTTGGAAATGATGTACAATCCTTTAAGTTCCCCAAGTTTAATTACCCTGATATGAAAAGTTGTTTAATTGAGTAGAATTAGGTGTTTGTTCCCCTGGTGATGGTCGGTGGAAAACTGGTTTAATTTGTTTATTTTTACAACTTTATCCTGCGGATTTTTCATTATTGTGTCTGCAGTAGGTAGGGTTTCCAGCGGAAAAGGTAAATCGTTTCGCTAAAATTACGTATTCCGTTCACATACATTTTTTTGTGAAATTTTGCGGAAATGAGTTTCGCGAAAAAAACGAAAAATGCGATTTTTTCGGGAAATTTCGGCTATTTTGCAATTTTTCGTGAAATTGTCGCATTATTTTATTACGAAATCCAGCATGTTTTGCTTACTTTCGCAAAATTCGTTTTCACGAAAAATTGCGAAAATTTACGCGAAAGTTTTTGTTAGCTGGATACCCTAACTTTAGCTAAACATGTCAGGGATTCGTAGTTTCCATTCAATATATACATTCAATATATACATTCAATATATACAATATACATTCAATATATGCAATATACATTCAATATATACAATATACATGCTTTAACAGAGGCGCAACTGAGCTTTTTTGCTAGGGGAAGGGAGATAGAGCACATAGATCCAGACAACTTTGAAACAGGCTGGGGGGGTGTTTGTGTTAAAAAAAGATTTTTTTAAAATTTATAGGGTAGGGTACAGGGCGGAAAAAAGTCCGTTCTGTGAAAAAAAATCTAAAATAACCCATAATTTTTTTCTGACTAAAGCTACAAATCTAAAAACTATATATTTGAAAAGCCCTTGAAAAATGCATGTAGAAACATGTGTCACACTTTCATATTTGTTTGAAACAAAGAAAACTTTTTTTCTTCATTTTTTTGACCCTTTTTAGGCATTTTTTCCACCCTCCCTAGTACCCAAACTATTGAAGTTATCGGTCTAATTTTTTTTTCTTTCAGCTGGCCATGAAAAATTGGGCTATGAACATGCAATTCAACCCTATACCTATTCTCTAAGGACTTTTTCTAGATGAGGGGGGGCGGCTATACATAGATTCAGACTTCCCAGCCTTTATAGGGTTAAGATTGTTACATCTTTTCTGTTTTTGTATTCTTTGTAGATTCTCTAAAATGATTAAAAGTTTCCCCCCTGTCCAGATTGAATTGTTAAAAATAGAACTGTCTGCTTGATAAAAACATTAAATATATTAAGTAATAAATTCAAAAGATTATTAGATTTGCACACTGCTTAGCCACTGAAACCCCGTTTTATTTAAAGTACCGGCCCGCCTCTTAGGCAGCTAGAGCTAGCTGTACAGAGTACATGTATATGTCAACACGGGTAAGTACAACAAATAAATTATCTTCTTCTAGTCAGAGGATTGAGCATCTAATCTGAAGTGGTAATTTCCGGAATCTGGGCTTTTTCAAAACATCCTTGTTCCAACTTTACAGTCACTTCAAATCCAATCAGGTTTCCCTCGAGTGCTTAGTGCTCGGTAGGGTTTATATTTCTATCTATCTATTCAAATCTTATAATCAGATCAGATATCCACATGTAATGTTGCGGTAAAATTTTTAATTTCACTAAAAAAAGGTTGAAAATGTTCTCAATGTTTTGTTTAGCCCTTTCCCCAATATAAAAATATTACATATTTTTTAATCTCCCTTGACACTTAAACTCTGACTTTCTTTGAAACCCGATGTGGTGTGTGGCAAAGGCTCAGTTCCTTTGTATTTTTTAGTTGAAATTTTAATATTTCTAAATCATCACGAAAATATACATTTCAAATTCGTATCATTGATCATAATATCAATNCCCGAAAAAATTACTTATTTTTGATTATCTATCATTAATATTGATAATTATCCTTGTTCTATGTACCACTTAAAGACTGTGGTTTCTGTACGATAACACTGCCCGTATTTATAGATTTTGATAAAGTTTTGATCTCAACATTTTCCTCCCAGTAAACCAGTACATAAATGCTGATCAAACTATTTAATATTCAATAACAGTTGAAAAGCCGTAGACTAAGGATATACAAATTCTTCTATAGAATGGCAGGGAACGGAAAACAAGTGTCTGTAATTAAGGATGGAAACAATGAGGCAAGTTTTCCCTTATCTTGGTCCAACAGCTTCCAAAGTTCTCCTTTAGATTACAGTAACAACTGCGCACAACGATGCAGTTCAGACGTAAGAAGTAGTTTCAACTCCAGCTTTAATGGCAGTCACAGCTCTGGTTCCAATAGCAGTAACAAATCTGGTTTCAATAGTAGTCACAGCTCTGGTTTCAATAGCAGTAACAGTTTCAGCTTCAATACAGGTCATCACTCAAGTGGTCAAAGTAACAGTTGTTGGGGGAAATCTGGGAGCAGTTGGAACAGTTCTGGAAACTCTGGAAGCAATTTAATGAATTCCTCTAGATATTCTCCATGTTCCTGCACAGTGGATCCACCGCTCACCACAGGAAATGTTAAATTCTCTGGAATGAGTCTGGCCGATCTGACACAGGTGAGATTATTATTTTGCGTGCAACATATTTTTCATCAAATTTTCAGAGTGACTTATTTGGTCCTAAATAATGGTTGAGAATGAGATAGCGCTAAGTTGCTTAGCTAGATTTTTGAAAATTGCAATCCATTCAGATGTGCGTGGAAACCTGATGATGTTCACAGCACATGGTCAACTCTAAAATGAGAGACGGCTTTAGTAAGAATTAAGATTAAATGATTAGTGGTCTAGAAAAGGGTCGACCTAGCTCTATCCTTCATCATAAAATTTTCAGATCAGTTTTTTCTCGTTACATTAATGTTTGAATTTAGAGAGAACTTTCTAAGTAGCCTCTCATTGGACAAATTCGAACCAATCAGGAGCCAGCCTCAATCGGGTTTTACTTAAACTTGAGTCTCTGATTAAGCCGGGTTTTAGTTAGGTTTAAGTTTTTAAAATCTCAGCTCAGGATTATTATTAACTTGATCTATTTAAGGTTACAATAAACCAGGAGATGGGTAAGTTTCAGCCCAGCTATGCCCTTGATCTCACCCAAGGGGCCCTTAACCTTTCTGGTTCAAGAAGATGAGTCCGTAGAAGAAACTAAGCGTATCTGGGTCCCGAATGGGTCATTCTACTGTGTTACTGGTCCAAGAATCATTCCAAGAAATGAGTCTCGTTAGGCTTGTTCTGATTCCTTCTATGTCAAAACATGTTTAACTAGCCTACGATATGAATCAAATTCAAAACCACTGCCTGGCACTTTAATTCATTCATTTAACGTACTGTCCTGGTTTGCCATACACGTCTGTGCGTGTACAGTACAGCTTGCATTAGCTCGTTAAATCTGTTATAATTGTATTGAATATTGTTTAAATAAAAAAATGAAAATTACAAATGTATTAAATATCTTGTCTGCTTGTTGTCTGACAGGTGACAAACAAACAGACAGACAAACAAGCGAAATATATATATTTAAGTAGATTAATACGAAGTTGTCATCAGTAAGTTTAAGACGCAACTCCATTGTGTCACTTATGTATTTTGCTTTCAGCACGCAATTTCGTCAAAAAAAAGCAAGAGAATCATCTGTTACGCGGATTTCCTAGCATTCGCATAAATATTAAGGAAGTTATGAAAGGTTAAAGTTTGTCTTTAAAAATCATATCGAAAAATGTGATAGGTAAAAGAAGTCAGGTCAACTTTTATATCACATTTACGGTAAGAACCAGAAAACTGTAGAATAGGAAGACCAAACAATGATCAAGTGAATTTGATGGTGGTAGTGGTACAAAGCAAATCTTTTTACCAGGAACTTTATAAGTTTTTATTAAGTGAAATATGTGTTTAAACTTTTAAAATGTTTTTTTTGACTGATAAAAGTCGTCTTTCTATTCCAGAGTTTTCTGATTCCAACCGTTTTTTTTTGAAAAGTTAGATAACTTCAATTAAAATTGTAATTTTGCATATTTCAATCATATTCATAACATCTTATTAATTAAAAGAGATCTCGAGGAAAACAATTTTTATTTTATTACCATTAATTGTTATTTAATTATGATGTATTTTTCAGCCGCGTTTCTTACATGATAATATCCCAGTGTTTTGCGCATCGACTGCAGCAGTTTCCCTTTTTATAGCAACTTTTTTAAAACAAGTCTTTGAGTTACTTTTGAGTCTTACTCTTACGGTAAGGCCTCATTTTATGTTTTATATCCATTTTTACTTATTTTATATCAGTTTTTACTTATTTTATATCCGTTTTTTATTTATTTTATATCCGTTTTTACTTATTTTATATCCGTTTTTTATTTATTTTATATCCATTTTTACTTATTTTATATCCGTTTTTACTTATTTTATATCCGTTTTTACTTATTTTATATCAGTTTTTACTTATTTTATATCCATTTTTACTTATTTTATATCCGTTTTTACTTATTTTATATCCATTTTTACTTATTTTATATCAGTTTTTACTTATTTTATATCCATTTTTTATTTATTTTTATCCGTTTTTACTTAGATATGCTCAGAAATGGCGAAGACTTTGCAATTCCACGATTAAAGTACCAGTATTTAAAATCACATCCTCTTTTTATTTTCCGAATCTATGGAATAAATTTAAACCAGTGTTTAAAAATAGTATTGTTAAGAGCTCAACGTTTTCCAGTAATTTAAAATCTTATTTTCTACACAAACTTGATGAAAGCTATAGCATAGATTGTAACTGTTATTTATGCACTGTTTAGTTTGCTTAAACCCAGGGTCTAAGTACAATACCTTCTTATGATATATTGCTTTGTTTATCAAGTGAATTTGATGGTGGTAGTGGTACAAAGCAAATAGTTTTACCAGTAACTTTATAAATTTTTAGTAAGTGAAAGGTGTGTTTAAACTTTTAAAATGCGGTCTCATGTTTTTTTTTGACTAATAAAAGTCGTCTTTCTATTCCAGAGCTTTCTGATTCCAACCGGTTTTTTTTGAAAAGTTAGATAATTTCAATTGGAATTGGAATTTTGCATATTTCAATCATATTCATAACATTTAATTAATGTAAAGAGCTCTAGAGAAAAACAAAAATGTTTTCAATTTAAAGGAATTGAGTCTTTGCCACTAACTCTGATTTTCTAATCCATATATCTATTTAACCCAATGTCGTAGACCTTATATATTTCAAACTATGATTTCTGTTATATCAAATAATATAAGTTTGAAATATCAAAAGTTTACACAATCAGGTTGCAAAGATATAGGGATTAAAAACTTTGAGTAGGGGACAAAGACTCAATTCCTTTGTCTTTTTTTCAATTAGTCTTAACTTTTGTCATACTTAAAATTAAAACTAGAGGAGCTACAACTTCACTAAGTCGTACCAGATCACAGTCATTGTTTAAAAATATCATAAAAACTAATCCAAACAGTTTTTATTTTATTATCATCAATTGTTATTTAATTATGATGTATTTTGCAGCCGCGTTTCTTACATGATGATTTCCCAGTGTTTTGCACATCAACTGTAATTGCAACTTTTTAAAAAAAAATTTAAAAACTAGGTTTTTAGTTACTTTTGAGTCTTACTCTTAAGGTAAGGCCTCATTTTATGTTTTATGTCCGTTTTTACCTATTTTATATCTGTTTTTACTTATTTTATATCCGTTTTTACTTATTTCATATCCGTTTTTACTAATTTTATATCCGTTTTTACTTATTTTATATCCGTTTTTACTTAATTTATATCCGTTTTTATTTATTTTATGTCCGTTTTTATTTATTTTATATCTGTTTTTAATTATTTTATATCCGTTTTACTTATTATTTTATATCCGTTTTTACTTATTTTATATCCGTTTTTACTTATTTTATATTCGTTTTTACTTATTTTATATTCGTTTTTACTTATTTATATCCGTTTTTACTTATTTTATATGCGTTTTAACTTAGATATATTCGTTTTTATTTATTTCATATCCGTTTTTATTTATTTTATATCCGTTTTTATTTATTTTATGTCCGTTTTTATTTATTTTATATCCGTTTTTATTTATTTTATATCCGTTTTTACTTATTTCAGTTTGTCTTAGCTTTAAATATGCTCAAAAATAGTCTGAGATGTTTCATGCACAACAAAATCCGAATTGCTATATGTTTCCGTTTATCACATTTGGCTAATTTTTTCTCAAACCAAAACGGAAAAACATCAAAACGAAAAAGCGCTTTTTTCTCTATACTCAGTGTAATAAGTGTAATTGGAAAAAATCCTGAAATATACAGTGATAACCAGAAAACTGTGGAATAGGAAAACGACTTTATAGCATTACTTCAGTGTATTTGATGGTGTTACAAAGCAATAGTTTATAATACACTAATTAAATCACTAAAAAAGTAAATTTATTCTGTTAACACTGCTAAATTGCAATGTCCCATGCTCATTCGACTATTTAAAGTCATAACTTAAGTTTAAAAGTCGTCTTTGTATTTCAGAGTTTTCTGGTTATGACTGTATATTTTTTGTGAGATCCACAGCACATTTTGGTTCAGTCTGCCCACCTGCAGGTTGCTAAAATACAGTAATTTGAAAATTAGATTTTGAGTCGATTAATCAGTTTCTTAATAAATGGTATGAACTCTATTTCATCCCAAAGTTTATTGAGACCCACTGTAGTTTCAAGCCTTTTTTCTCATGTCAGCGATATTTATTATATATTTTTAATTAACTTTAATTTTAGACTTTGAATTTTGACAAATCGATTTTTTGGTCTTTTTGATGGAGTCCAAAGCCACAATTTGGATTTGAAAATTAACACAAAGGAATTGAGTCTTTGCCACAAACTCTGATTTTATAATTCCTGTATCTTTGCAACAAAATGTCAAAGATATTTGATATTTCAAACTAAGAATTCTGTTATCTAAGTTTAAAAATTTAAAAGTACTGGCCTTAGAGGGCGCCCATCTTCTAAATTAATTGTGAACATGTTCTTTTTGTGTACATCGTAAAACAAAACAAAAATAATTCGCGGATTTTTACAAAAAAAATCGTGGATTTTCAAAATTTTCAAAAATTTAATGAAGATCGATTTTAGATGGAGACAAATATTTGAAATTATGATCATTTTGATAAACCTTCCCTGTGGTCACGTGAGGTTCCACAAAAAATTTGGGCCCGATCGGTTCAGACAGACAAGCCAAATTTATATATAGATATACCATCATGTTTCTAAGATATAAGGATTAGAAAATTTGAGTTTGTGACAAAAACTAAGTTCCTTTATGTAAGTATTTTTACAAAAGAGAAAAAAATATTTTTTAATGACATCCATCATTTTGGACTTTTAACATTTTTTGGTCTTTTTCTTCCCATAAAATTTACAAAAAAGCATATTTTCTCAAATTTTCAATTTTTTCACAATTTTGCTGTCCCCTTCAAAAATTTAGAAAATTAAATATTTTTTTTCCAAACATTGAGCTGTGGATAAAATTTTAACCTCTTTCATATTAATGTGCATTGTATACATGTTCTTTTTCATGTGTATGTATAACATGTTGATTTCCTTTGTATCTTCTCATTAACATATTTAAATTAAACACAATCTGATTTTTTTCATTTATTTTCACAAATATGTAAATTATGATTAAATATTATGAGCTTCTTAAAAAAAATTAGTTAAATGCTGTTCATGCCAAACCACATAGAATTTTAAATTTCAACTCTAATATAATTTCAAGAAATAAAATTTTAGGCTGGGCATTTTACTTTAACTGAAGCTTCTCTTCTAAAGTTTATTTCTAATACATTAGGAATTTTCTCCCAATCTGTGCCTTTAAATATTTCAATTGATTTTATTTTCATCCTCTGAGCCTCTAAACACTGTTATCTGATTATCTGATAGGCTTGCTCTGCCTTCATGCTGCCGATTGTTTTCCATACTGGGTTTTCATCCATAAAGTTATAGACTTTTTCCCGGCACTGTAAAATCATAAAATTCATCAATGTGTTTTTAACCCTTGTATATGTATTTACATGTGCATAATAAACTATTTATTTATTTATTTATTTATTTATTTTAGTTTGTCTTGGCTTTAAATATGCTCAAAAATAATCTGAGATGTTTCAGGCACAACAAAATCTGATTTGCTATATGTTTCCGTTTATCACATTCACTGGTCTAGAAAAGGGTCGACCTAGCTCTATCCTTCATCATAAAATTTTCAGATCAGTTTTTTCTCGTTACATTAATGTTTGAATTTAGAGAGAACTAGGCGCACATTCTATTATCAAGTTGATAGTATTACATACTGGTTTTATCTTTTACATCTTTTAAGATGTCTTTAATGTTTTTTCCGGAACCTTTTTCCGGAAAATTCTCTCCAGAAATTTCTGGTTTACAGGGAAAAAATCGTTTCAGAAATTGTTTTAGAATTCGGATTTCTGGAACCTTTTCCATAATGGAAATGGACCATTTCTGTACGTAAACCGTAACCCGGAATTAGGGTGGAAACCCTACCCCTCCCTCAATGAAGTTATTAAAACTATAAAACTTTAAGATTAGTTTTGAAAAAAGATAATTTGAATAAAAAACCTGCCAAAACGATGATTGCATTTTGAATTTTGTGATTAAAGGCCAATTTAGTCATTAATTACATTAGGTTTAATTGTATAGTCCAGTGCTGCGTAAATGTAGCATTAATGTCATATTTAGTACTCAGGAAAAGTTTTAACATAATGTAAAAAATGTTTTGTTAAAACTGCAGGTGAGGGAGGTGAGGTGACCAATTTTTTTAAAATGTTTATAAATCCACTACTTCTACAACAATTTTTATAGAATGTTTATAAATCGGATACTCTAATATCTTTAAAATTTTTTATAAAATGTTTATAAATAGAATAATATAATATCTTCAACAATTTTTATAACATGTTTATAAATCGGATACTATAATATCTACAACAATTTTTATAAAATGTTTATAAATAGGATACTATAATATCTACAACAATTTTTATAAAATGTTTATAAATAGGATACTATAATATCTTCAACAATTTTTATAAAATGTTTATAAATCGGATACTATAATATCTTCAACAATTTTTATAAAATGTTTATAAATAGGATGCTATAATATTTTCAACAATTTTTTGAATGTTTATAAACTGAATACTATAATATCATTAACAATTTTTATAAAATGTTTATAAATAGGATACTATAATATCTTCAACAATTTTTATAAAATGTTTATAAATAGGATACTATAATAACTTCGACAATTTTTATAAAATGTTTATAAATCGGAAACTATAATATCTACAATAATTTGTCACTGAATTTCTAGACTTTGCAGTACACGTGGATTTAACGGTTCTGTCAATATTCCAGAAAGCTGTGACTTNTGTTTATAAATAGGATACTATAATATCTACAATAATTTGTCACTGAATTTCTAGACTTTGCAGTACACGTGGATTTAACGGTTCTGTCAATATTCCAGAAAGCTGTGACTTTCGATCACAATTTGACCCATTAAACATAATTTGTTAACCTTTTCTATAAAATACTTTTTTGTTGGTATATGCATTTTGAATGAAAATGTCTAACGTAAACAAATCCGTAAAGTAAATGATTATTGAATAAAAGACCAAAACTTGTTTGATTTCAAATAGAAGAAACCGAATGCTGCTCACTTTGGTTAGTCCGGTGTGAGTAGGGCTTCCCCCAGAATTCCGGGTTACGGTTTATGACAGGAACTGATCCAGAATTTTTTCCATTGCCATTATGGAAAAGTTCCTGAATTCAAGATCAATTCCAGAACAGTATTTTTCCCCTAAGTTAATAATTTCCGGAATTTGGGAACATTCTGGAATAATGTTCTGAAAAATTCGGGGAAAATTTGTTCTGGACCTACGTTCCGGAATAATATTAGAAATATCTTAAATGTATGTAAAAATATGTAAGTAATGCATGACAAATAAAGTAAAAAAAGCGAGGCTGTACGTCTGACGAGCTTTTCATTTTGAAACTCTTAAGACCAGGCTTTTTTTATATTAGATGTTTAAGCTGGAATACTGCAACAATTGTGTTCATGAAAACATGCCGCATGGATCGAAGACGATATAAAAGTAGTCACTGAATTCTCATGTTTATTGGGACACCCTGTATGAGCTATTCTATTAAGGAATCGGGTCTTTGCCACATCCAAGGTTGCAGAGATAAAGTGATTAGAAAATTAGAGATTTAGGCACTTTATTTTCCGTTCAAGTTGCAGTACAGTAGGAAAAATAAAAATAATATTTTCATGTCCGGCACAATTTCCGGTGAAATTGATTGCCTTAAAGGGACAGTGAAGGAAAAATGAAAGGGGGTATAGGCTGAAAGCTAATCACTTTAGCTCTTGATCGCGACCCATGAAAGTTTTATCTGATGTTACTATCTCGAGAAATTGATATAAAACTGTGTTAAAATNATATGCAGTTAAAAGTTATGAATAAATGCACTCGATTTTTATTGAAAGGTTTAAATTCAAATTTGGTGGATTTACAAGTTTAAATAGAAAGAAGGGGCAACTATAGGTTTAAATAGACAGAAGGGGCAACTATAGGTTTTTTTTCAGAAATCGCTTTGAACATTCCATTAATGATGGCAAACGTGTTTTGGAAAATTTGGAAACGATGATTTTTCAAAATGATTATAAAAAAGTTTTCCTTTCAAAACAGTTCACATTTTTTCGTGTTTGCTTAAAAGCTTTGAAAAAAAATTATTTTCTTAATGAAACATTGCCCAGTCTTAACTAATTACCAACCTAGTGACACTTGATGCATATTGGATGATTAACAAAGTCCTTGAGTTTCAAATTCAGTCCTGATTTGAAGCCTGGAAGCAGAATGTCTTTACTCTTTCTTTTTCTTCTCTCTAAAACAGGGTTAGAATTTTGAAGCAACATATTTGCATTGATCGAGAAGAAATCCATGGAGTTGGCTAGAAAAACGGAGATATTATTTTTGGCTTTAAACATTTTGAATATAAACGTTTTTTTTAAAAATGCTCTGAACATTTTATTATGCCAAAAAAAATTTAGTCATGGTTTTTCGGACTCCTCTTAAAAGAAGCTATTGTTTTTTTTGGATTAAAGCCAATGATGGATCCATTAGTAAAATTATTGAAGCTAATGCTAGACCCATTAGTAAAATTATTAAAGCCAATGATGGATCCATTAGTAAAATTATTAGAGCTAATGCTGGACCCAGTAGAAAAATTATTAAAGCCAATGCTGAACCCATTAGTAAATTTATTAAAGCTAATGCTGGACCCAGTAGTAAATTTATTAAAGTCAATGATATATCCATTAGTAAAATTATTGAAGCTAATGCTAGACCCAGAAGAAAATTATTAAAGCTAATGCTGGACCAAGTAGTAAAATTATTAAAGCCAATGATGGATCCATTAGTGAAATTATTAAAGCTAATGCTAAACTCAGTAGTTAAATTATTAAAGCTAATGCTGGACCCATTAGTAAAATTATTAAAGCTAATGCTGGACCCATTAGTAAAATTATTAAAGCCAATGATGGATCCATTAGTAAAATTATTAGAGCTAATGCTGGACCCAGTAGTAAAATTATTAAAGCTAATGCTGGACCCATTAGTGAAATTATTAAAGCTAATGCTGGACCCAGTAGTAAATTTATTACAGTCAATGATGGATCCATTAGTAAAATTATTGAAGCTAATGCTAGACCCAGAAGAAAATTATTAAAGCTAATGCTGGACCAAGTAGTAAAATTATTAAAGCTAATGCTGGACCCATTAGTGAAATTATTAAAGCCAATGATGGATCCATTAGTAAAATTATTAAAGCCAATGATGGATCCATTAGTGAAATTATTAAAGCTAATGCTAAACTCAGTAGTAAAATTATTAAAGCTAATGCTGGACCCATTAGTAAAATTATTAAAGCAAATGCTGGACCCATTAGTAAAATTATTAAAGCTAATGCTGGATCCAGTAGTAAAATTACTAAAGCTAATGCTGGACCCAGTAGTAAATTTATCAAAACTAATGCTGGACCCATTAGTGAAATTATTAAAGCTAATGCTGAACCCATTAGTAAAAAATAAAGCTAATACTGGACCCATTAGTAAAATTATTGAAGCTAATACTGGACCCATTAGTAAAATTATTAAAGCCAATGATGGATCCATTAGTGAAATTATTAAAGCTAATGCTGGACCCAGTAGAAAAATTGATAAAGCTAATGCTGGACCCAGTAGTAAAATCATTAAAGCTAATGCTGGATCCAATAGTAAATTTATTAAAGCTAATGCTGGACCCAGTAGTAAAATTATTAAAGCTAATGCTGGACCCAGTAGTAAAATTATTAAAGCTAATGCTGGACCCAGTAGTAAAATTATTGAAGCTAATGCTAGACCCATTAGTAAAATTATTAAAGCTATTGCTGGACCCAGTAGTAAACTTATTAAAGCTAATGCTGGACCCAGTAGTAAAATTATTAAAGCTAATGCTGGACCCAGTAGTAAAATTATTGAAGCTAATGCTAGACCCATTAGTAAAATTATTAAAGCTATTGCTGGACCCAGTAGTAAACTTATTAAAGCTAATGCTGGACCCAGTAGTAAAATTATCAAAGCTAATGCTGGACCCAGTAGTAAAATTATTAAAGCTAATGCTAGACCTACTAGTAAAATTACTAAAGTTAATGCTAGACCCATTAATAAAATTATTAAAGCTAATGCTGGACCCAGTAGTAAAATTATTAAAGTCACAAACTATTCATAACAGTACAATTAAAATGGGTGTTATTTTTTTTTATTTTTTGCTTTAAACTAAGAAAAATTCTCTGAAATTCAAAACAATTCAATTCAAGTTTTTTACTNATACTTCACGTAGATCTAGATACAGACAGGATATACTTCACGTAGATCTAGATACAGACAGGATATACTTCACGTAGATCTAGATACAGACAGGATATACTTCACGTAGATCTAGATACAGACAGGATATACTTCACGTAGATCTAGATACAGACAGGATATACTTCACGTAGATCTAGATACAGACAGGATATACTTCACGTAGATCTAGATACAGACAGGATATACTTCACGTAGATCTAGATACAGACAGGATATACTTCACGTAGATCTAGATACAGACAGGATATACTTCACGTAGATCTAGATACAGACAGGATATACTTCACGTAGATCTAGATACAGACAGGATATACTTCACGTAGATCTAGATACAGACAGGATATACTTCACGTAGATCTAGATACAGACAGGATATACTTCACGTAGATCTAGATACAGACAGGATATACTTCACGTAGATCTAGATACAGACAGGATATACTTCACGTAGATCTAGATACAGACAGGATATACTTCACGTAGATCTAGATACAGACAGGATATACTTCACGTAGATCTAGATACAGACAGGATATACTTCACGTAGATCTAGATACAGACAGGATATACTTCACGTAGATCTAGATACAGACAGGATATACTTCACGTAGATCTAGATACAGACAGGATATACTTCACGTAGATCTAGATACAGACAGGATATACTTCACGTAGATCTAGATACAGACAGGATATACTTCACGTAGATCTAGATACAGACAGGATATACTTCACGTAGATCTAGATACAGACAGGATATACTTCACGTAGATCTAGATACAGACAGGATATACTTCACGTAGATCTAGATACAGACAGGATATACTTCACGTAGATCTAGATACAGACAGGATATACTTCACGTAGATCTAGATACAGACAGGATATACTTCACGTAGATCTAGATACAGACAGGATATACTTCACGTAGATCTAGATACAGACAGGATATACTTCACGTAGATCTAGATACAGACAGGATATACTTCACGTAGATCTAGATACAGACAGGATATACTTCACGTAGATCTAGATACAGACAGGATATACTTCACGTAGATCTAGATACAGACAGGATATACTTCACGTAGATCTAGATACAGACAGGATATACTTCACGTAGATCTAGATACAGACAGGATATACTTCACGTAGATCTAGATACAGACAGGATATACTTCACGTAGATCTAGATACAGACAGGATATACTTCACGTAGATCTAGATACAGACAGGATATACTTCACGTAGATCTAGATACAGACAGGATATACTTCACGTAGATCTAGCTTACTATAAAAAGTTTTTATAGTAAGCTTGTTTTTTAAGACCATGGATAGACTTCAATTTTCCGCAGTAGATCTAACCTAGCATAATGTAATAAGAATAAAAGGGTAGCCAAACATTTATTTGTGCACTGTGGTGAAAGCAACACAAGAGAGGCCTGGGGCTGCAGCTATGAGTTTAAGGAGAGGAGGCTGGGAAATATGTTCTTTTGTAAAAATAAAGTTGTAAAGAAAAATTACATACTAAAAAAATTTATCTAGCTTGATATTTTTCACGAACTTACCTCTAAAGAATTATAAATTACTAGATTAAGTGCCCAGCGTTGCCCGTGGAAATAACAAGAAAAACAAAATAAATTTTGAACTTTTTTTTAGCCTATGTTAACCCCGGGATACTTGATACTCTGGGGTTCCCTCATATCGTTTCAGCCCATCCTGTCCAGCCGTTTGGCCGGCTATGGGGAACATATATACGAATGTCTTGTTCTATAATTATTATGTAGAAATGTGAACACAGGATTTTCTTATTTTTTCATTATATTATAACATTCTAAAACTATTTTCTATTTTATTGTTTACTGAGATATAATGATAATTACAACCAGTAAATCAATCTGTGAAATAGATGGCAAGGAAAATAGTTTAGTTTGTATCAATATGTTTTTTTTATTCAAGTTTATTCTTTTAGAGGATGTCTCATCCCCGTTGATCTGCAGCATGAGATGTATTCAAAACAATGGTAAAATATATATCGTATATATGTGATGATTAAAACACAGATTATATTTTAGTTTGTTTTTATGTCCGATCATAAATCACGAGCCCATTAACCGATCTGCCTCAAAATTTGATTGGGGAATCAATTAAAAAAAAAATTTAAAAAAAATTGAAAAACAAATTTTGAACTTTTTTTAGCCTATTTTAACTCCGGGAAACCTGATACCCTTGGGTTTCCTCAAATCATTTCAGCCCATACGGTCCAGCCGTTTGGCCGGCTATAGGGAACATATATACGAATGTATTATGTAGATATGTGAACACACTGGATCTTTTAAAAAGGATTCTCTTATTTTTTCATTATATTATAATATTCTAAACCTATTTTCTATTTTATTGTTTACTTAGATATAATGATAATTACAACCAATAAAACAATCTGTGTTATAGATGGCAAGGAAAACAGTTTAGTTTTTTTATTCAAGTTTATTTTTTTAGAGGGTGTCTCATCCCCGTTGATCTGCAGCATGAGATGCATTCAAAACAATGGTAAAATATATCGTATATATGTGATGATTAAAACACAGATTATATTTTAGTTTGTTTGTATGTCCGATTATAAATCACGAGCCCATTAACCGATCTGCCTCAAACTTTGATTGGGGAACTTGTAGAACCACGGAAATGTTTTGAGATTGGTTTAAAAGTTCTTAGTTTTAAAGGCAAAGCTGGGTTTCCGAGCCAGCATATCATATAAAAAGATGTGGCTCAAAGAATTATCATGTGAAGATAGTAATTTTAAAGGTGTACGCATTTTCCCCACTGCAGTGTACCGTGTAAACACAAGACGGATGTCACAGCCTGACAAGGAATCCATTTTCCACAAAAAAAATTAATGAACTATTCTGGTCATAGGAAACTATTATGTGAATTATCAAAATTATCAAAATTAAATGCTTTTATCCTCCTCAGAGTAACACTGATGCATCTATGCTTGTTTACAAACACCGCTCAGAGAGAACAGGTTTCAATATTTACGCAGAGAATACGCAATTAACTTTCCTTGCCTTATTACCTTGATGTGGGTGAGGTATCCAGCCTTCTTGGCAAGTTTAAAAGACTTTTCCCGATTTAAAGCTACTGTATAGTGTTACATTTAAAGTTGTATGAAATAAAGGAAATCAAAAGCCTTAAAGTTTTGGAAAAAAATGTATTTGGCTTGAATTCAAACCAGAATCTGGCGCAATGGTGGCTTCAGTTTTCCATGCGTTCAAACATGCGTTAAAAGCATGTTTTCTGGATTGGCATTTTCTAACGCGAAATATTTCTCCACGTTGGCCTTGCTTTCTGTTTGACCTAAAGCTATATACAAAAGAGCTAATATGTTGTCTTGTTTATAGGCAGGACTACTTGCAATCCGAGCATAGTTCTGGGTCTGTATGAGGACTGAGGGGGTTACATCAATAGAATTATCTACTCTGAGTTTAGCTCCCGGTTCATATGAGGACTGAAGGGATTACAATATGTAATTTCAGAAGTTAGCTTTCTTTTATTGAGAGGCATGTCCGATTCACAACAGTACCTTATAAAACATTGTCCGGACAACGATGAGGTAGATACCCTCATTTGTATAGCTGAAGATTGAGTGTCGGGAGACTCGAGGTTACAGTGTACATTGTAACTCCGTGCTAGTGTAACTCACGCGGTTTCTTGGCACTTAAAGGAAGTGTTCTTTACGATCCGAGTTGAATGTTGCAACTTTCTCAATTTGTATGGACGTTACATTCTTCAGTATAAGTCGTTTTTAACAATTTTCTCCTTACAGACGTAACAGATAGAAGTAAGATTAGTAGCGATCAAAAGCGCTTATTTTTCGCCGTAAGCCTATACTCCCTTTCATTTTTCGCGAACACTCCCTTTAATTTCCCTCTGTATAAATAAGAATATCTACAAAATCCGGCCTTGTTGAAACAAAAGCTTAAAAGGTATTGTTGTAAATCGGACATGCTACTCTATAAAAGAAAGATCATTTGAAATTATGCTTACAGTCCCTTTAAGGAATTAAACCTTAATCTGAAGCTAAATTGCTACTTAGTTCTTTTGGATTTAGTCGCTGAAGCTATGAATTAATATTACAAACAAGAATTTTACCCTTCGGTTTAATAATACTTTATGAATATTGAACACTATCGTATCTACATAAATAACGTCGTAATCTCTGTTTGTTTACTTGTTTGTTTGTCCGATCATAACTCAGCTAAACCTCTGGGCCGATTTACCTCAAATTTTGATTGGGGAACTCGGGAGACCCACTGGAATGTTCTTATAGCTTGGTGTTGAGATTCTAAGTTGAGTGGGTAGACTTTTATAGTGAAAATGTCGTTCCCAATAAAATCGTTCAAGTGCGGAGAAACGGTTGAAGTAACTTTTAGTAACCTGGGCAGCGCTGGGTTCCCAAGCTAGTGTAGAATAATAATTCAGGAACTGGAAAATATTGTCGTGTTTTCTACTTTAATGCAACTACTAAAACCTGCCAGTTAGGAGTTTTTAGGTAAGACATTGAAAGTTATCTAACGGAATGATATTTGTATATATTATCTGAAATTTTTATTAAACTGTTTTTATCCGGTTTAATGAAAAGCAAGAGTGAATCGGTGATTCCAGAATTGAACTAGTTTAGATACCTCTCTCCCATTCATTACAATCGGTTCCTGTTCTAATTTGAATATGAACAACTAAATGTTAAAATATTTAGTGAACTGGATCAGAGTTTTCAAGATAACATTACAAAAATAGTTTGGAGACAAAAAGGTTAATATATATTTATATTTTTAATTTCTAAAAGTATTTGTCAACATGAGTCACGTCAAACTAAAGTAAATTAATAATTGAGAATATTTGGATTAAAGTAAAACAAAAGAAATGTGAAAATCTTAATCATCTGAAGCACAGTGCAGTGTGACGAGAATAATCTTTGTGAATAATGAGAAACTAGAAAATAGAAACTAATAATTGAACAAGATTACTTATTTTTGATGATAAGATTAATTTTTATTTTCTCAACCTATTCCTAAACAACCAATTAGTTTATTGTAAAATTTTGTTTACAGGTTTGGTCGTCGTTATTTCATAATTTAAAAAACCCGATTCTGAATATGTATCCACTCCCAAAGTAGGACTTTGAAACGTCGAATTTGCGCTAAAACTCAGGATTTACAGATCTTAAAAAGTTTTATGTGTCTCAAATCAATCCTAAAGATACTTTACACAACACTGCTTACTCAGTTCAACTACCTTATATAGCCGGTCAGTCCCTTAAACCATGTAGTCCTAACGGCCTAAAGACACTGTTACGATATTTTTATTATGATCGGGTAATAATCATGCCTTAAAGAGAAAAACGTGTTAGGGTTATTTTAACACCTTTAGATTGAGTTTGTGGCAAAAACATTCGTCATTAATTTGACCCTCTTAAATCTGTAAAATATAAAGTTTCAAACTTATTTTAAAATAATCTTTGTAATGAACTGTTTAGTACTAAACATATTTTGAATTGTGCTGTAGCATGTAGTTTTATATTATGTTGTGTAATGAACTGTTCGTTTAATAACACCCTGTGTACACACAAACATATATTTTAAGATACAGTAAGTTTTATTAATTTAATTATTCTTATTTGTTTAGAGAAATGTTTTCTAGTCTGTGATCCTGGTTACGTTGCTAAATCCTATAGAGGTAATTCTAATTCTTTACCTGCTCACGAAATGTCATAGATTAAAGCTAGAATTTTATTTCTCAGTTTCCTTGAAAAGAGTTGATAGGCAGGGGCGGACACAGGATTTTAGCCAGGGGGGGGCGAGATATTTTAGGTACAAAAAATTCTGAAATTGAACAAAAAAATTTGAAAATAGGAACAAAAAATTCTAAAACTAGGAACAAAAATTCTGAAAATAGGAACAGAACGTTCTAAAAATAGGAACAAAAATTCTTAAATATGAACAAAAAATTCTGAAAATAGCTACAAAAAATTCTAAAAATAGGAATGAAAACTCTTTAATTAGGAACAAAAAGTTCTAAAAATAGGAACAAAAATTCTTAAAATAGGAACAAAAAATTCTAAAAATAGTAACAAAAATTCTTTAATTAGGAATAAAAAGTTTTAAAAATAGGAACAAAAATTCTTAAAATAGGAACAAAAAATTCTAAAAATGGGCACAAAAATTCGTAAAATAGGAACAAAAAATTCTAAAAATAGGAACAAAAGATTCTAAAAATAGGAACAAAAATTCTTTAATCAGGAACAAAAAGTTCTAAAAATAGGAACAAAAATTCTTAAAATAGGAATAAAAAATTCTAAAAATTGGAACAAAAATTCTTAAAATAGGAACACTTTTTAAATTTCAGGGTTGTATTGTAAAAACAATATTTATGAATGGGATAAATCTCTGGAAGAGTTTAAGTGTCTTCCATCTATTATTGTTACTGTAGGAGGATATGATGGAGTTAAGGTAATGAAAAAGGACTGTTCTTGGAGTTTCAAGTAATTCTCAAGTTTAATGATTTACAATGGAACCCTTTTTAAACTTTATATGTATTATAAAAGATATGAAAATATCATCGTTTTTTCTGCTACAGGGTGTCCGACGAAACATGACAGTAACAAGACGACTTGAAATTTATTTGTGACATTTAGTCGTCAACCAACTTTAAAATTTGTGAATCTTGAAACAAAAACCACAAAGTTTTCCTATTCCAGGCATTTCCAAAGTGTGCTCTGACTTTGTTGTGCAGTCAATATTACCTCAGATATAAAAAATTGCGTTCAGATTTTAAATTTATTTTAAAACGAAAATCTGAACGAAAGTCTTCATATCTCTGGTAATAAATGCCAAAATTAGAAGTATTTTGTGATTATTATCTCTAGAATTTTACTTATATTTTAAAATTAGTTTTACAAATAAATTATGCAAATTATGTCAAAGATCAGAGACGACCTACAAATCGTCTTGCAACTGTCATATTCCGTGGGACACCCTGTACAATACTGTTTAATTTTCAAAAAATTCATTCGTATAGATTAATTTCAAAAAGGACGGTTTTTTAAATAAAAAACGCAGAAGTCGTTTTTTTAGTTTTAATTAGTGTGTCATTTTGATTTTTGACTATCGTAAATGACGGATATGGTAAACATGCCACTAAAAATGCCCCTTAGCTTAGTCGTCTTTAAATAGATTAAATACCATCAGGAAACAGACAAGAAGGAGTAATCAAAGGGGTAAATGTTACAATTCTACTTTAAAAGTCAATTCTAAGACTCGCTGCATGGCCCTGGCCTACGGTTTCGACAATAAGCTTTGGACCCTACCCCACACCGACTCTTTTGCAAACTTTAGACTCTCTCTGGCCTCTGGTCTCGCTTCTTACGGCTCTGGACAGACGCCTCTTACAACTATGTTATCCTCCTGACCATCCTCCTCCTTTCTGGAGTAGAAGGCGTAGTTTATCACCTCTCCCTAGGATTTCGTTATCAGCTGAGTAATCCTGGAGTATAATATTTCCTTTTATATTGCTGGCTGAACGGTCATCTCCACAACATCTTCTATGAAACGTGATAAAAGTCATGTTATCAAACCAGCTGGTTAACTCTTCCATAGCATGGGAGAGGAGGGAGGGGGGGGGGAGGTTACAATAGTCTTTCGATAAAACGAATAAATAGTCGTTTCAATTTAATTTGTTAAAGTTCAAAAAGAACGGTCAATCGTTCTTTTTAACATATCGTTTTTTATTTTGAATAAATCAAAAACGAAACAAAAAACGATCCTTTTTTAATCGTTTCTTAAAGTATTAACAACCCTAGAGATATTCATTCTTTCTTCAAATTATTTGTTTTCAATTGGTGTTTCTTAATAAAATAACTTGCGGGTTTCTTGGTTAAGAAAAAATTTAAATTATAAGAATAAAACACTTCTTATGTTAAATAATATTTTAAATAATTTCCTTTGGAACATTTTTAAAGTACTCTTCCAAAGTGTTCAGGTCTTTTAACTTTAGAAAGTTTTCAGAACAAAATTTCTAAGAAATAAAAGTTTAAATCAATCGTAATTTAGAAATGATTGGAAAAATGTCTATAATACATTGAATATGTGATTAAACTTTAAATAGTTAGATTGCAATTGAAAGTGCTCAAAACTGGTCAAAATAATATTTAATATAACTATTAACTATATTGGTGAACTGCAAATAATATGTTTTTAAAGCTTTCAAATTTAAAATTCAAATTTACAGATGAGACAAGTAAATATCTTTGGACCGACAGGCCAAGTTATCATTGAAGATGGAGTAGGAACATTTAGGTTGCCTGTAACTGAATATTTTAGGTAATATATTTCTGGGTCGGGTTACATATTTCAATATGATTAGAACATTGGATACAAAGTGCACAAAAGTTGTCTTATCCCCTTGGAGTTTTGCAAATGAATTTTGATCATTTTATGAACAAACCCTGACATATTTGGGGGTCGAAACAAAATAAATGATTACAAAAAAATAATTCTAAAAATATAATAACAAAAGATAAAATTGCAAAACATATAATTACAAAGCATAAACGTTACAAAATATATAAGTTACAAAAGATATAAATTAAAAACATATAATAACAAAAGATATAATTACAAAACATTTAAGTTACAAAATATATAAATTACAAAAGAAATAAATTAAACAACATATAATTACAAAATCTATAAAAGGAGAAAATTACGAACAGTTGTTTCATTTGAACATTTTAGTTTGATTATTTTTTGGTTCATTTGAACTTTCTTAAATGTGCATTTGAACTAAAACCTGTAGCGCGCGGTTACCTAGACTTTCCTAGCCCCAGCGCTCAGCCCAGAATAACATAACCCTGAAATAAAACATACATTTTAACTAATTTTGGGTTTAGTAGAACTCTTTTTATGTTCATTTAAACAATAAATTGCATTATTTCAGGGTTTTTAGAGTGTAGAGAACCTTTTATGTAATTCTATAAATAATATAAATAAAACAATACTTATGTTATTGTAATGATAGCAATTAGATGGAGATATATACGGGCCAAAAAATAATCTGAAATAAGACGGAGGGTTGGGATGGGGGGGGGGGCGGCAGATTGAGCTAGGATTAGACTTATATTTGCATAATTTAACTATCTAATGCTAAGTGGAGAAACATTAACCTGTGGAGGAGGGTTTAACACTAACGTTCAATGCTTTGCTTACAACTTTACATCAGGAAATAAATCCAATGTTTTGTGCCGAATTTGTATTGTAGCGTAAGTAAGTAACCATTCAAATTTAGAGCGGCATGTCTTATTCACAGCAGCAGTACCGTTTTAACCTTGTACTGAATAAGTTTGTCAGACTTATCTTTATAAATTTAGAGGAACGCTTCTAATTGCAACCTGTTTATTTTTAAAGATTAATATTCACTTTTCAGATGAGAAAGAAAATACATTTTAAAGTAACATAGTAATTTCAAGAGACAAATGTAATGGATCAGCTGTGTTGAGATCACACTGCTATATACGTAGTTTACACTAAAGGTTTGGTATATCTGTATATAATGAACAGGCCAAGGTTTAAATGGGTACTGTTGTATATCCGAAATTGCCCTCTTTTCATGGAGGTTTACTTGAAACTGTGCTTACAGTCATGTTGTACTGTTTTTTATAACAAAATTTGAAATGAAGTTGAAACTTTTCATAAATTAACAGCAATTGCTTATTATTAGAATGGGGATAGGTTCTTATCTTATTTCCCAAACCTTCGCCCACCCCACCCCTTCTACTTCAAAGCTTTTTATAACTTGGATTTGTTTATATTTAGGAAATCGGCAATTAGAGGTATTTTCTTATTTAACTGGATTCGGAAAATATTTATTCCGGAAAAATGATTATAGTCTTTCATTGAATATTTACCACAAACTCCGATTTTCTATTCCATACCTTTGCAAACAGATGGTACAGGTACACTTTTGATATTTCAAACTTGGATTACTTAAACTAAAAAATTCATATTTTGAAATATCTAAGGTCTACAAAATTATGCTGTTAAGATAAAGGAATTAGACAATTCCTTTTCCAAAAAAAAATAAGAATGAATACATTTCATTGAGAATTATTTCTTCCTTTTGCATGAAAACAATTATCCTAAAACAGTTAAATGTTAAATTTGTCTGTAATTAAAAGGTTGAGTTGAAAGTTAGAAGAGTCGCAAGTGCTTCTGTGATAGTACAGGACAGATATTATCTAATAGGTTATTTATATTCATAAATTAAATCACAATTAACAAGCCCCAAACCCCCCATAACCTGTTTATGTTTTCAAATAAACACTCTTCACACCATATAGAAGCAATTCTACTTAATGAATACATATATTTTTGGTACCTAACATGACTCCTGGAAAGGATTATGGATTTGCAACAATGCCTCTGATAGCCTTTTTGAGTTTTTGCCACAAACTCAAATCTTCTCATCCCAATGTCTTTGCAACCTGATAGTGCAAACCTTTGATACTTCAAACTTAGATTAGTTTATCTCTATAAGTATTAATAGTTTGAAATATATAAGGTCTACGACATTGGGTTATAAAGATATAGAGATTATAAAATCAGAGTTTGTGGCAAAAACTCAACTCGTTTATCAACATGATCTGTTCTAAGAAAATCGCAAAAATTAATATTATGTTTTCGTGTTTGATTTTTAAATATTCAAATTTCATTTAGTTTTAAGAGGTTTTACAAGAATCTAAGATGAATTGTAAATTTATATTTTAAAATTGTTTTATAATTTTGCTTTTATTGCATTATGCAATATTTTTACTGTGATTTAGATAAAAACATAATTCTTTTGAAACAATGCTTGCTTTTTTACATTATATTTACATTATATTTACATTATATTTACATTATATTACATTATAAATTTTTAAAGGTGGAAATCATGTAGAAGCTTATGTTAGAGCAGAATATCTTCAAGAAGGAGGTTTGTTGAAAAATATTGAGTAAATACAAAAAGAGACTTTATCCCCCCCTCCCCACCACCACATCACATTGCCCTTCTCCCCCTTTCCTGTCTGGGTTTGCTGGAACCCCCTCCCCTAGGTATCTCACACAGACTAATCAGACTGCGCCGTTGCTCTACCTGGATAGTCTAAGCAGGCCTGAAGTGTCTTGGCACACCATGCTTACAGTTTCATAAAAGATTTGCTGATTGGTCTTGTACAGCAGGTTCTATTGTACACAATAGAATCTGCTGTGGAAAATATTTCATATCATAGGTTATAATTGATATCTGTTACTCTCTTATCTCTGGTATCTCAGCATACTGCTCCTTGTGCAGTTTAATTAATATTACGCTGTATAAGAGGTCACTGAGTCTGTAGAAAGCTGAGGGAAAACAGGATTCTAAAGGGTTTCTTTTACAGACTACATACACCTATAGACTTCATGCTAGCGCAATCTAGTGTGAGAAATGTTTTTAAAATCTGCATCTACATCTACATCTACATCTACCTGATTCTGCTTATACTCAAGTACTATTGTTGCACATAAATTTTAAACTGTGCAATGTCGTCTTTGCCATCTTGGGGTGATCCAAACCTAAGAATTTACTCTGAAATTACCTCTATACTCTGACAAAGGAAAACATTGAATAGTTAAACGTTTTAACTAGTGAATGCTCAAATCCTGCAATCCGAGAATAATTCTGCAATCCAGAGCAATTCTACTTAAACAACCGGGTTTTTATTTTTAAAAGTATTATCCAAATGTTTTAAGCTGATCCATCAAATCCTCTGATCCCAATTCACTCCTTAATAACCCACACACACCCATCTAGTAAGTTAGCCAATTAAACATTAAAACTATTTTATGCCAATATTTATTTTACTAAAATTGTAATATCTGCACCCCAGTCTGAGATTGCATAAGCTGTTCTGGCCACCAAAATAGAGCATAAGATCAGCCAGGAACGGTTCAATGTATCCCTCTCCTCCCCTGTCTTCATTGGAGACCGGAGATAATCATGGAAATGATCGCTAAAAACAATCCTGCTATGCTTCCATAGTTCTATGGAACCAGACTCATGGGGATATCCTGTATGTCCTCACCTGATAACTGGTTTTAGACCCCTCAACCCAGCTGACCTGCTTACCAGGTCAGGTTCCACTTATGATCAAATCATTTCCCAGTTCTGATTGCATTGCAGTTTCCTCCCTCAAGGAAAATCCTCTTGGCCTACCAAAAATTGTGCATCAACACCGAGAGGAAGGTCATCTCTGGCCAGTAATGGAGCAGTGGAGAGAATCATAGGCTCTATCAAGAACAAATCTTTCTCTGGCCCTCACCAACTAAATATGGACAAAGAAGAACTCCTGACCAGAGATGAGATTTTAAAAGTTTAAACCCGACTAAAACCCAAACTCGGGCTTAGATAGAACCCAAGTCAGGATTGGTTTTGATTCGACCAATGTGAGACTGTTTTGCAAGCTTTCTCTCTGTAGCAGACAGAATGCCGTCAAATCAGCTGTGACAAGGAGATGTAAATTTCGAAAATTCAAACGTTATGTCGATACATTATTTTCATAGTATGTATATTTTATATATTTAATAAAATTTGACACCACGAACAATTCCCGAGATTTTAAATGTAAAAATATAAAACATTTTACGAAATTTACAATCATCAGCTGCTGAAGACTCAAGCCTTAAATAGAGTAAAACCCAAGAGGGTTGGTTCTTACTAAACTCAAGGCCATTCAAAACCCGGGTCTTGACTTGAGCTTTACTTGGGTCTAAACAGATGCAAAGACCGGGTTTTAGTCGGGTTTAAGCTTTTAAAATCTCATCTCTGGATTCATCTGGTCATTGACAAGCTCAACAATTGGCCCCTAATCTGAGGAGCTACCTTGGGAATTACCCTCACGCCCAGCCATGTACTCCTTGGGTTGGTGTATTGTGTAGAAGTACAAGACAGAGATTCTGTTCTACTCCCGAATGCGTGAAACTCCCTAAATCTTGAAAGATGAAATCTAGTGTCATTTTACATAATCTATGACTATGACAATTACAAATCTGAGATAAATCGAGCTTTTTTATAAAAAGTCTTGAGATCTTCATTTGACCAAATAATGAACTTTCAAAACATGTATATTTTTTTTAAATAAAAAAACATAACAATACTTAATATTTAAATTTCTCAGAAACAGTATATTTCTTTTCTTATTAAATAAGCAATCAAAAGACTAAATTCAAGGCAGTAGTATTATAAGGTTGCTTTTTTTAATAGATGAATCTGTAACATATGAAGGAATGCTAACCCCTGAACAAGAGACAGCCAACAGTGGGTATGGCTGTGCAATAAGGTAATAAAAGCATGTAACAAATCTTTTAAGGTTTAAAGTAATAAATTTAATTTTTTTGGTGCATCCAGATAATTTACAATATTTGACATGAATTATTTCTTAAATTTTCAACAACACCTGGCTCAGCAAGCAAAAGCTGTAGAGCCAAAGGTCCCTTTCTATAGGGCTGGGCAAGTTCTGACATCAATGGTTAGTTAAAACTATTTAACATTTTTTCAGGAAGCCTTTTTGTTTGTTTGTATTATCTGTCTTTTAAAGCTTCAGTTTGTTAACGATCTTAATATCATTAACAGCAGAAATTTTCTGACATTGTTAACAGTGACAACATTAAAAAACATCGAACATGTAAAGAAAACCCATAAAATCCATAATAAATATTTTTGTATGCAAGTTTCATGTAATTTTCACCAAAAAAAGGAGCTAAAGTTGGCGTTATTTTAAAACATTTCTGTCAATTCTGTCAATTTCTAAAACCCGTCAGTTAACGATTTAAAATTTATCGGTTCTTTGTTAACAAACTCTTCCGTTAATTTATAAAGAACCACCAACAGAACTTTGCCCAACCATACCCTCGTAATATAACTTTAAAATATAAGAAGGTTTTTTCATAAAATCCTTATTATTTGAAAGGTTACTTTATTATTTTGAAGATGTAAATAGTATGGATTCTCTTATTTCCAGATTCTCAGATAAATCATTTATAATGATAATCAAAGACACTGTTACAGAATATGATATAATTACAGGTTAGAATATTTATATTTATTTAATTTAACTACAAGCTAGATTTTACTATTCATAAATTTTTAGGAGTTTCCAAGCCTTTACCCTCATTGAACATTCCTCGCGTGAAGTTTGGATGTGATGCTTTTCTGGTAAAACAATTATGAAGACTCTACTGAAAGATAAAATTTTAACAGGATTTATCATACATAACTAATGATGTTAACAATCTAATGGTTTGGGAAATTATGATGCATTATAAAGGTTGAATCCATCTGAGTGCTAGGGCTATGACAGGATTAGGGTCTGAGCACTGTCACTAAGACATGCCAGGGGGCTAAGCGCCGTGGCTGAGACAAATTTTTATATAAAGTTTTGCAAGGTTACATAACAAACTTAGAAGGGGGGGTGGAGGCTTTCCAATTCAGAAAATACCAATAAGTTAACTTACAGGATGAAGATGGAGAGCGGTCCTATGTTGTGACTGGTGGAGATACCCCAGATTCAACCAGTAAGATTTCTTAAAATGGTGACTAAAAAGGAAAATATAAAACTTTTATGTAGATCTATAACATTACCTTAAACAAAATCCATCATCATTTTTAATAATTAGTAATACAAGCTTATCCATAGAGTTCTTGAAATAAACCATAACATTTGTTTAGTATATTTTTATCTTTAGGATCTGCTGAAATATTCAAGCCTTCAGTTGGACAATGGATACAGATAGGAGACACAAACTATCCAAGGTATAATGTTTCAAATCCAAAACTACTGCCCGATATAGTAAATAGATTGTTAACAACACATTTTGCATCATGCATCAACTAATTCATTGGCACAATGACAAAGAGAAGAAAGATTGATAATTCCTAACTTTTTATTTTTATTCTAGAACCTTTCATGCTGTTGTTACCACATCTGAGGGTGTTTTTGTTATAGGACGAACTTCCACCCCTGGATCGGTTAGTGCAATAATAAAAGGAACTTAAGCTGACAATCTGTTATTTAATACATTCAAGAAATTTCTCATCTGACTAGTTAACTTTGCGTGTCTGTCTGTCTGTTTGTGTGTATCCAATAAAAGCCAATATAGCTGAAATGATCCGTCCAAATTTTTGTTGATTCCTTCAATAATCCCAAGGAAGGTTTATGAATGGTCAGAATTAAAAATGTTGCCCCCAATTCTTTTGTTGTTGTTTGAAAATAAGAAGAGAAAATTCCGTAGATAGAAAAACAATTAAAAGTTAACATTGAAGATGGACGTGAAGCCCCCCATGGAAATCTAGTACACTAAAACAAAAATAAAGGGGGTCTACCTATAAGTAATACTTTTATGAATTTTTTCAATGGTTAAGGTTTGATTTGGCTCATGGTATTCTTTTAATTACAACTTTAATGAAGTGTTTTTCGATGTTTTGACCAGGTGGTTAATTTAATTTTTCTTTGTTATTGTTCAACTCAAAATTTTGAGGAAATTTTCTGTAAACATTGAAAGCATTTAAACTTTTTTCAGGTAGCATTTTTCACTTTTCACCATTAACATTCATAAACATTCTCTGATGTCATGTGAGGTTTTACACAATTTTTTAGCCTGATCAGTTAGGCCACTTTGACGTTTATTGTATAGAAACAGACCAACAAACAAGCCAAATTTATATAAATTGATGTAAATTAAATTTGAAAGATTGATTGCAGCAGTCTTTGTTAATGGTATACAGGTTTTGTTTATGGTATACAGGTTTTGTTTATGGTATACAGGTTTTGTTTATGGTATACAGGTTTTGCTTATGGTATGCAGGTTTTGTTTATGGTATACATGTTTTGTTTATGTATACAGGTTTTGTTTATGGTATACAGGTTTTGACTTATTTTTAGAAAAAATGTAGGGTTTAAAATATCCTGTTCTTTTGTTTGGCAACATTTTTTCAAAATTGGTTAAACATATTTAGAAAAGTATTTGACAATTGTGAATTATTTATAATAAAATGTTGCCTCTGACATTTTTAAATGAATCATGCATAATTAATACACAATTTTGTGTTTAAAGCTGTTTAGTAAAATAAAATATTTCAAAACTCTTCTTGTGCAAATTTTGTGGAAGTCTGAAAATATGAACTATGTTTGTTTTGCGAAATATTTTGCAAAAGTAATTAGTATTTTATGATCTTTCTGAATAATTATAAATATTTGGTGAAAAACTTAGTTTTTATGCTTTAAATCAAACAATGTAGAATTTAATGGTTAATATTTGTTCTACTTTGAATATTGAGTTAAATCCTTAAAGTTGAAATAAAATTGTAAAATTGTGTGTTAGGATTTTTATTTTATATAAGTTAAAATTTTGGTCTTATATATAATTACATGTAATATCAAGGCTGATCAAAATGTGTTTACAGGTTGAAAAGCTGGACATCAAGACAAAGACCTGGCTTGAAACTGGATTGATGTATGACCCTGTTAATGCCAAGCAGTTTGGTGCAACTGCAATTCCAGCAAATCTTCATCCTTAAACTCACAAATCTCTGCAAACACCCAAATGTGTGTCATACATGCTTTTCCAATAGTATAAAAATATACCCCCCTTGCTTTTGCTGTAAATAAGGCATGTATATAGATATTCGTTAAAGGACTTTAAGACATTCATCTTTTGCTGGGATTAAGGCATGTATATAGATATTTGATAAAGGACTTCAAGACATCCATCTGTTAAGGAGACGGCATGAAGAGTGATTCATTCTTTAATTTACATGGAGTGTACCTAGGGCTGGGCATGTTTCGGTTTTTTTAAATAGTTCTGTTCCGTTCTAGAACATGGGCCTTCAGCTAGATCATTCTGTTCCTGCTTTTTTTCCAATCATTCCCTTCTGTTATGTTCATAGTCGAAGAAAGGTCATCCCTTTCAATTCTGTTCATGGTGTTCTTAGTCAAAGAACGGTTCTACCCCCCTGTTCTGTTTTTAGTCTAGAACGTGTTCTTGATAATAAGAACACATTCCTGATTTTACACTTTCTATTCAAGCAATTTCCGTTCCGTTCGGCTCTTTTACTAAATAGATGGGATCGTTCTTGATAGTTCCGTTTGTTCTCTTGAAAGAACGATTGTTCCCCATGATTGACGCCCAGCCCTAAGTGTACCTCCCTTAAATAAGTTGGCAACATTCTGCACTTTTCCATATGCTCTGATGTGATGATGAAGCACTTAAAAGGTTCACATGGTTTGAGTATATTAAGAAAGGACACTCAGTGACTCAACTGAGATTGCACTATCGTGGAACTCCCTAATTTAGCACAATAATACATCCATGAACTAAATTTTTAACTACACAATTCAACATTTTGAAAGCAATAATCAACAATATTTTGATGAATGAAAAACAAGGAAAAAGCAGAATTAAACTATCAAATTCTTGTATTTTTCACATTACTCGGCCAGTAAGTAATTTTTTTGATTTATGAAAAATTAATTATTCAATGATTAGATATATGTTTAGTTACAAATTTTATGCATCAATTACTAATTGTGATATTAAAAATAGTGTGATTTTATAGTGGCAAATAAAATTTAGGTTTCTAAACATATGAACTTTTATTAAAACATTGTACAATTAGATAATTTCCAAACGTTAGTACTAGTTTGGGGAAACAATTTCAATTAACTGTTAGAAAAAACTTTTCTTGCAAATTACATAATTTGAAAAAAAGCTAAACTATTTTACCTTTTATTCTGGACAAGCATTTCTCACCTTTTTTGTAAGATACTAAACCTTACTAATTGGTCATGGTCTCACATTGTACACAAGAAACCCAGTTGAAAACAAAATAAAATTTTCTAAAATGATACTTTTTTAAAAATAAGCATGCGACACTATAGATAAAGATAGATTGCGCATAAGACGACATTTTTTATCTTGAAAGATATAAATGTACAGAGATGTTTAAAGATCTTCCTATTATATAGATTAACTAGGTCGGTTGTGAACATTGGCTGTTCTTATGTCATTGAGTACTTGTGGTGTACATGAGTTCTTTAAAGAGAAATTTAAGTTAGTTTAGTCCTTCTCATGTCCTTCTTCACTTCTCGTCAATATGATATATTGCTTAGTGAAATATTGTTTAAATAGTTCCATTCCCGGAGTTGTTTTACTCTCTATTATGAAATCCATTAAAACACCAAACCACCCCGCTTATCATTGAAGTACACTTTGACCCCTAGAAGCATGAGTTCGCGGACTGTGCAATTCTTGGTGATTTTGCGTACATAAGCTATCTATGTTCATTTATTTATCTATGATGCGACATATCTGTGTATATTCTAAATCAACAAACATGTCCCAAAATTTGAAAGATTTCCCACAACTAGGATTAAAAATTGAGTGCTATAAATATTAATTATTATTTTGAACTTGAAGCTTCAAATCATGTATCTAGATACAGGATCATAATCTTGTATCTGAATACTGGATCATGTATCTAGATACAGGATTGCAATCTTGTATCTGAATACTGGATCATGTATCTAGATACAGGATTGCAATCTTGTATCTGAATACTGGATCATGTATCTAGATACAGGATTGCAATCTTGTATCTGAATACTGGATCATGTATCTAGATACAGGATTGCAATCTTGTATCTGAATACTGGATCAATTGAAATTAAATTCCAAATAGTTTTAACTTTATAAGTTTTTTAATTAATTATTTGATATTATTTGGCATACTGATAATATCAGGCATATTTTTCAGGACAAATCAAGGTTATAAACCTACATCTTCTCCTTGGTCTTGCAGTCTTAGCTGCAGTGGTTGTTGTTTCAGAAGTAGTAGTTAATTCAGTTGCAGTGGTAGATGTGATTGTTGTTGCGGATGTAGCTGAAAGAGCAGTATTAGACGTAGTTGTTGTCGTAGTTGTAGATGTAGTTCTAGTAGTAGTGGTGGTAGTAGATGTAGTTGTTGTCATAGTTGTAGATGTAGTTGTAGTAGTAGTGGTGGTAGTAGATGTACTAGTAGTAGTAGATGTAGTTGGAGTAGTAGTGTTGGTAGATGTACTAGTAATAGTAGATGTAGTTGTAGTAGTGGTAGTTGATGTTGTAGTAGTAGATGTAGTTGTAGTAGTGGTAGTAGATTTTGTTGTAGTTAAGCTGTTTGGGCACTTGTCTTTAACCCCATAGACACCAGGCGCTGTTGTAGGTTCTCCAAAGTAGCTTTTTTTGAGAAAGCATGATTCGCTTGCTTCCCAAAAAAAGTTTGTACACTCACTTAATAAGAAAAATATTATTGAACTATTTTTACCAAATAAAGCTTGTTTTTTTAATATTGAAAAATTGGTCTAAAGTTCTAAAGCTTAAGATTTTCTAGTTTTAACAATTTTCTTGTTGGAAATGTGTTATTTTAAAGAAAAAAAAATTTGTTTAAGAGTATTATAATATTAGAACCTGTATCCATTACAAAAACATTGACAGGCTTCAGCATTCTTCACTCCTCCAACTTAAAAAAAGATGCAACTAACATTTGTTTTCATATTTTTTTAATCATTTACTGATCGAGAAATTCAAATTCAAAATAAAATGTAAGTAATAAAGTTTTAAGCCAAACGTTGAATATGATAACTAACGCCATTTTTTTAATTTAGCGCAACAAATATTTTAGTGCCATGCTTGTTAATATTTGTTTACCACCTTCTACTATGATATCACCATCCAATTGAACATCATTTGTTTTGCAAAAGCTTGAAGAAGTACAATCTAAAAATACATTATTGATTTATTATCCTGAAGCTTAGTAATCATCAATTGACAAACCTAAATTTAAAAAAATGGTTCATACAGGGTTACCCTCAAAGAATGAGACTGTAAAGACGACCAAAAACTCTTAAAATGTGAAGATTCCAAGGTTAAATTAAGTATTCGGCCTTAAATATAGTAACCTATTGGCTTATATAAGGATTTGGCAAAGAAACAAACTAGTTTACAGTTGCAGTGAAACATGAATATAGGAATTAAATAGTAGATGTTTTTTAGAATATCATGATTAGGTGGGATATTTATCCTAATAAAAGTAGCTAATTTTAACAGATTTTAGTTAGAGTAATGGTGGTTTGTTCAGGAAAATACAGGGTAGAAATTAATATATAGATTCTGAAATGTACAAGGAGATGGAAGAAAGAAAATATTTGCATTTTTATGATTACTGATTTTAAGTTCTAACCACGCTCCCTCTCTTGAACTACTGGGCCCACTATGTAGAGTTGCTAATGCAGACAGTAAATCGTCATATATGATAACCTCAATATGTCCATGTTGATTGATTGATTAACTTGAAATATACAACAATGCACAGCAGTCAAGGTTGTAAAGGAGCTAAGTTTTTGCCACAAACAAACAAACAACACGATGGTGTAAACCTTAGGTATTTCTAACCTACACTATTTGATTCAACAGAATTCAATGTTTTAAATATCTAAGGTCTATGACATTGGGTTACAAAGATAAAGGGATTAGAAAACCAGAGTTTGTGGCAAAGACTCAATTCTTTTCGACTATACATTTCCATAAGACCAAATTCTTAAATACCTAGACTAATTATTTCATTTTCTATTTCTTCAGGCGTACAGTCATATTTTCCAGAAATGTGGATTGAAGAAATTGCTAGGTTTGTAGATGAAAATAAATACCGACGTTTGCATGTACAGTCACCATTTGACTTCCAAATGAAGTAGAAACTGAAAAATAATAATTTTTTATCACGTTTACCAAACAATTGATGGGAAATAGATATTCAACAAACTTAAAAATAAGTAAGAAATCCCTTAGCAGATAATAAATTCAGAGAATAAAATGACAAAAAAAGCAATGTAGAACAAAAAGGGTAACCAACTAGATTTTTTAGGAAAAAGGTTTTTAAAAAATCAGTATTAAAACAAAAATTTTAACAAAAATTATCTGCAATTATGTGTCAAAGCAAAGCAAACAATTTTTGTTTTATTTTCAATAGATTGTAAACCTTGAAGCACTTTTCAAATTTAATTTTTACTGAAAAGGAGACTTTTATCCTACAGACAAAATGTAATTTGTTAAAACTGCATAAACATTTATCCCGTTAAGAGTTAAAAGTGTGATTTCCTAAGTGTAAAAGTAGAACAATAACCATCGCATTCTTCAATACTTGTTCCGCTCTTTGAACCTGTAAAAATTTGAAATTATAATTAAAAGGATTTAAAATCCATGTCTATAAATTGTCCTTTTTGTAAAATAAAAGTGAACACTCTTGCACATAGAAAAACTTAAAATTAGAAAAATATTTCATAACGGAATTAAACGTTTTGTCGAGAAACATTTCATGAAGGAAACATTTTGTAGGGAAACATTTTATGAATGAAACGTTTTGTTGGAAAACATTTCATAAGGAAACGTTTTGTAGGGACACATTTCATGAATGAAAAGTTTTGTTGGGAAACACTTCATGAAGGAAACGTTTTGTTGGAAAAAACTTCATGAATGAAAAGTTTTGTTGGGAAACATTTCATGAATGAAACGTTTTGTTGGGAAACATTCCATAAAGGAAACGTTTTGTGAGAAAACATTTCATGAAGGACACGTTTTGTGAGAAAACATTTCATGAAGGAAACGTTTTGTTGGGAAACATTTAATGAAGTAAACGTTTTGTGTGGAAATATTTTATGAAGGAAACGTTTTGTGGAGAAACATTTCATGAATGAAACGTTTTGTGAGAAAACATTTCATGAAGGAAATGTTTTGTGGGGAAACATTTACTGAAGACAACGTTTTTTGATTATTTTTTAAATGTTTGAAATAAAAAATGCTATGTGCATAAATATTTGAAATGAAAATTTAAAAAAAGAAACATAGAAAGTAAACTATAGTTCATTAAATTCTGATGTCAAGTCTAATTACCTAAATTAATTCCACCATTGACTTGGAAACCAGGCAGATAGCATTCTTTTGAAATGCAACCAACTAAAATATCATTTAAAAATATCAAATAATGTATATAAGATAAGATAAGTTTTAATTTCTAAAACCCCTCAACCCTTTGTCTGATCTAAGCTGAGTAGAGAACCTGGTGAACAGGAGCATTACGCTCCAGGATCTTTTACAGGATAGACGTTAGAGCTTAGCTCCGTTTATCGGCCCTTTAAAGACTGAACTCCATTGACAAATTTCTCTAAAATCCTCCTTTGCATGCACCTTAACCATTAATGTTAGAGAAATAATTATTTTTTAATGAGCAGACCTTGAAAAGTTGTACTAGGACCATCTATATAAGACAAAAATATCCTAATCGGGATATGGATTGATTTAATAATTTCATCATTTAATATTCTTACCTTTATTGTAAAAGATAAAAGTTAAGAGAATAACTTTAAAGTTTCTGATGTCCATTTGACTAAAAAATTTCCATTAGACTGGAAACTAGCCCTGGCCTTTCCTGGCTTTCTATTTTGATTGTTACAGTGTATGACATTTTTAATAAAATTTTGAAATAATTTTTAAATATATTATTCCCCAGAAACTAAGCAAACAAAAAGAGGATTATATATGTAGAATATTTTTTCTTCAAGTTTAGTTCTTTTCATTATTTGAAAAAAGTACAATTTTTACTTTTAATAAATTGAATTAAAAGTTTTCATTTTTAATCTAAAATGAGCAAATTTTGTATGAATTTTTAAGTATTTCGTGTTTTACGCAGTAATATTGTCAGCTTTCACCAATATAATATAAAACATTGCCCTTTTCATGAATTTTATATTTTGGTATTTATGACTGAATAGTTGAATAAACTATACAGAAAATGAAGCATGAAAGGGGGACAAAATGCTTTTAGTTAATAAACAAGATTTCATTTTAACGACCACATCGTCTGGTAAATTTATCTATAGTAAAATTTGAAACTTTTTAAAATGTATTCAATATTTTCCATATAACAAAATTGAATAAAAAACTATATTTAATTCTCTAGTCTACATCACACATTACTAACCTTAAAGGAACCGTACACTTATTTGGATAATTTCAGGGTAAACTCAATTGATAATTAGCTATTTATTGTTATGTCTTTCTTTTTAAATTAAATTACCCAAATTTGTGAACGGTCAATTTAAACACCATTGAAAAACAGATTGTTTTTTTTTTCCTAAAAAGCTGATAATAAAAAGAAAGAAGGTTTGTAAAGCTTGTGATGGTCTTTTTATCTTATTTTTTTAAATTTTAAGATAATTTTTTATAGTCTTTTGTTTGGATAATTTTTGTAGAAAACTCCTGCTGTAGAATTGCGCAATTGTCACTTCAGTAAGTAATCATTTTTTAATCATTCTAGTTTAATTCTTGTTGTTTTTTCACATGTTGTACTCGTAGCAAAGATACCAGTGCAAGATCTTGCATATTCCTCTTGTTAAGCACGAATAATGTACTGCAAGAATATTTAGATTTTAATTCGTGTAATATCATGTGTAAAATATATGAGATATGACAGGCTAGGTGGCCGAGCACTGTGGTCACATTTATCAAATGACAAAGTGATAGCCAGGTCTGTTGGGTTAGGTAGGAAGATTCTGGGCCGAGCGCTGTGGCATAGGACAGGCTAGGGTGCCTAGCGCTACGGCCACAGTTATCAAATTTATAAAGTAATAGTCGAAATGTAAGGTTAGGTTAGGTAAAGATAGTTTCTGGGCCGAGCGCTGTGGCTAGGACAGGCTAGGTGGCTGAGCAATGTGGCCACAACATTTATCAAATTGGCGCAAAGTGTCACTTTTTTTCAAGACATTTTTGAAATGTTTTTATACATTTTTTACGTTTTTTTTGTTTCTTTTGATTAATATCAATTCAGCAAAACAACTTTTTTCTTGGTTTTTGCCTCTATATATATATACTTCTAGTGAACGTTTTAAATGGAAAAATATCAAATGATGTCAAAGTGATGATGAGCCTTCGACCTATTAGCTACAAATATTGACCATCTGACCTACTAACTTGCACAACCGACCTAAGAGTGTGTATCCAACCTGATCAGTTACAGGTCAGATCTCAATAGAAAGTTTTTTTTTCAGAGTAGTTGTGGCATCATATATGGTATCTTTTTAAATTCTATCTTTTGTGTTGCTTAATTTTCTTAATTTGTATCAGGTACAGAAAAGGATTTTTTTTTCAATTCATATACTTAAGTTTGTGGGTGATAAATTCTCAAAATTTGTTTTTCAGGCATCATAGAATTAAACAAAATTAGACTCCACTATTTATAAATTTTGAGTTATTATTTGAACTTTTTCATTTTCATGATATTTATATTCATTTTGGCAATTACTACTTTCTCAAATCAATTCCAAAGCAGAGGTTTAAAAAATTTGAATAAGAAACGGTTTTTCCGGCAACCCCGTCCCAATCCTAGTTCCGCATTCACAAATTTCTGTTAAACCTTTATTTTGAATAAAAACTATAGAAAATCTGTTTTTTTCTTTAAAAAGATTGGATTGTTTAAAAATCAAATGTTTTGCAATTTTTTTTTCATTTCAGAAAAATGGCAGAGAAACTAAAAGAAAAATTGATTTTGGACGAAATCAATATAAAAGATAAAATTTCCATCAAGAAAGAAATATGTCCATCTTCTAGTTCAGAAGAAGCATGTATTTGGAAAGAGGGGGAAGATTTTACAATGGAATATACAGAAAATGCAGGTTAGTTTAAGTTAAAAAAAAATATATGCATGTACTATAGTTCAAATCAGACCTACAACACATTGGACATTACAAAGGTTACACGTTACAAAGGTTGGACCTACAAACAAACAGTACTAATGTTGGACTAGTAAAATTGTTAGGCTGCTAAAAATCTGAGACTTTATAAATGTTGGACTTGAAATAAGGAAAGTTTTATAAATTAACATTCACTGAACTGGAAATAAGGAAAGTTTCATAAATTAACATTCACCGGACTGGAAATAAGGAAAGTTTCATAAGTATTCACTATTCACTCACTTATTAAGATAAAAAATTAAAGATAATTAATTGAATTTTACATTTATCTTTATAGTCTCATTCTTTGTGGGTGAAGTAAAGTCATTTCACTTACTTTTTAAGATGAAAATCAAAGATATAACCAGATTTCCGGATTGCTTGATTCTTTTCTCCTCATCGATGGTGTATCTTTCGACCTAGGCACATCCGCTATTCTCCACTTCTGATCTATGCCACATCTGCTATACTACACTTCCGACCTACTAGCATGTGGTTTCATAGCAGCTAGCAGCGCCTGGCCCCCCAGGGCCTAGACTGTCTTAGCCATGGCAGCAGCTTCAAATCTAGAAGGTGATCCCCCAACCTTGCTTAACTTGAATCTTTTGAACTTTCGACTTTTCAAGTATTTTAAAAAATAGACAAATTTTAGTTGACATTATTGGTCTTCAAGAAGTTTGGTCAATTGGATCTAATATAGACAGCTTAGATATTCCTGGGTTTCAAAGTTTAATCTTTAAGTCTAGATCTTTAAACAGAGGGAGAGGGGTTAGTTTTTATGTAAGATCTAGTATCTCCACTAAAATTATTAAGGAGTTCTCTATGTTTTCAAGATGGTGTTTTTGAATCTATTTGTATTGGCTTTTTTATTCAACGGTTAAGTTGTTCGGTTTGTTTCTTTTTAATGCCTCCAGGAAATATTTTTTATCTTGATAACCAGCTCAGTTAGCTGAGAATTTTTTGATTGTTATTTAAACTTGTGAGGTTCTCTATCTGATAAAAATTTTAATGGAAAGTAATATTGATCTTTTCAAAGTTAATACAAACCTTAGCAGTAAAAGAATAATTGATTTATCCTTGACAAATGGTTTATAAATTTGTTAAACGAAGTTGACTAGAGTACAAAATCTCATTTATTCACTCATTAAACAAATCTTTCCAGTATTCCAGTTCAACCAGTCTGCACTTACCGTCAGACGTTTTTAAGTCTGATGTTTCAGTCCAACGTTTGTCCAAATATACTATTTAATGTTAACATTTTTTTTGAAGTGTAAAAATATTCTTTTAAGCTTTCTTTTTCTTCTTTGTAATTTCGCTGTTAGTAAGCTGGTAATTAGAACAGACATGAGGGAGTGGAATATCCCTGAATAAATTAGAACAGACATGAGGGAGTGGAATATCCCTGAATAAATTAGAACAGACATGAGGGAGTGGAATATCCCTGAATAAATTGGGATTTTCTGGCACTACTGTAAGTAGCATTAAGAGACATAAAAAAGATAAGACATAAAATGTAAATATACAGAAATATGTTATAAAATTTCTAATTCCTTTTATATTGTAAGTTTATTCTAACCCTTCTGTGTATTTTGATAAAGAAGATATTCCTGGCAATGCAACACAAGAAATAGAGATAGAAGAGTTTGAGATGAAAGAAGAAACAGTTTCCATCAAGGAAAAAGGTTCCACTGTAGAAGATTTATGTACAGTTTATGTACAGGGAGAGAGCATGAAGATGGAGAGTACACAACTGAAAAGTAAAAAATAAATTATTTGTATAATTTTGTATCTTTGTTATTTGGTGGTCTCTTTTGATATGCAAGTTTAAACGTGCAATAATGTCCTGCATCTTTATCAAAGTCTTTAATACTGTCTATATCACTATTTTTATCACTGTCTTTTGCCCTGTCTTTGGCACTTTCGTTTACACTGTCTTTTTTACCGTCTTGAGCACTGTCTGCGACACTGTCTTTATCACTGTCTTTAGCACTGTCTTCAGCACTGTCTTTAGCACTGTCTTTAGCACTGTCTATAGCACTGTCTATAGCACTGTCTTTAGCACTGTCTTTAGCACCGTCTTTGGCACTGCAAAACGATGCATTTTACACGGTCAAAGAGCATAGATAATTAAACATATTTGAGATACTTTAATTCAACTTAACTTTTAATTGTTCAGGTGATTTCATTAATAATGAAGAAGATCCTCTTCACTCTCAACCAAAAACACTTAAAAAGAAAAACCGCGAAGAATTAAGATACCGTTGCTGTGAATGTGATTTTGTGACACCACTAGGTAGAGACCTCAAGATACATATCGAAAGTCAACACGAAGGTGTAAAATATCCCTGTGAATACTGTGACTATGCTGCCACTCAAGCAGGTCATCTTAAGAGACATGTTGAGAGTATACATGAAGGAGTGAGGTATCCCTGTAAATACTGTGAATATGCTGCCACAACAGCAGATTATTTAAAGAAACATTCTGAAAATAAGCATGAAGGAGTGAGATATCCTTGTAAATACTGTGAATATGCTGCCACTACAGTAGATTCTTTAAAGAAACATGTTGAAAGTAAGCATGAGGGAGTGAGATTTCCTTGTAGACTATGTAAATATGCTGCCACTCGAGCAAGTGAATTGCAGAGTCATGTTAAAAGAAAGCATGAAGGAGTGAGATATCCCTGTAAATACTGTGAGTATGCTGCAACTACAGCAGGAAATCTTAAGAAACATGTTAAAAATAAGCATGAAGGAGTGAAATACCCTTGTGCTCAATGTGAATATGTTGCCTGTGATTTAGATAATCTAAGGAGACATGGTAAATGTAAGCATGAAGGAGTGAGGTACTCTTGTAATGAATGTGATTATGTTGCGACTCAATCTGTAGGTCTGAAAAACCACATAAACAATAAACATAAAGGAGTAAGATTTTTCTGTAAGCAGTGTGAATACGCTGCCACTACAGTAGGTCATCTAAAAAGACATGTTGAAAGCAAGCATGAAGGAGTAAGATATCCGTGTGAATACTGTGAATTCGCCGCCACTGAAGCATTTACCCTGAAGAAACATGTTAAATGGAAGCATGAAGGAGTGAGATTTCCTTGTGAATTCTGTGAATATGTCGCCACTGAACTAGTCAGCCTAAAGAGACATGTTGAAAGTAAGCACGATGGAGTGAGGTATCCATGTAAAAATTGTGAATATGCTGCCACTTCACCAAGTAATCTGAAGAAACACGTTGAAACTAAACATAAAGGAGTGAGATATCCCTGTAATTACTGTGAATATGCGGCCACTGAGGCACGTCTTCTGAAGAGACATATTGAAAGTAAGCATGAGGGAGTGAGATATCCATGTAATCAATGTGACTATGCTGCTACTGAAGTAGGTAGTTTAAAAAAGCACATAAAAAATAAACACGAAGGAGTTCGTTATCTCTGTGACAAATGTGAATATGCTGCCACTACTTTATCTAATCTCAAGAATCATATCAAAAGTAAACATGAAGAAATTAGATATCCCTGTGACCAGTGTGAACTTGTGGCAACTACAGCAGGTAGTTTGAAATCCCACATTGAAATTAAGCATAAAGGTTTTAGATATGCATGTAAGCAGTGCCACTTTGCTGCCACTTCTGTAAGAAGCCTGAAGGAACATGTTGAAAGTAAGCACCAGGGAGTGAGGTATCCTTGTGAAAACTGTGAGTATGCTGCCACTTCAGCAAGAAATCTGAAGAATCATGTTAGAAGTAAGCATGAAGGAGTGAGGTATCCCTGTGAACTCTGTGAATATGCTGCCACTACAAGAGGACATTTAAAGAGACATGTTGAAAGAAAACATTAAGTAGAGTGACATGTATTCATATATATGAATACATATGAATACAGAAATTACAGGTAAAGATTAAGAGACAAATGACAAGTCCTAAATTTCCTAATTTGCCTAATTTTTCGAAAAAGTACCTTTTGTAAGTTTATTCAAATCCTTATGTGTTTTTAATTTTAGATACTATTCCTGGTAGTACAACATAAGAAATAGAGAAAGACATGGTTTGTGATGAAAGAATGAAAGAAGAAATTATTCCAGGTCCTTCTGTAGAACATACATGTTTTTTTTTTTGGTTATTTGGTGAATTAATCTCTAGACCCCAGTTAGGGGCATATTGAGAATATCTGCATACAGAATAGATTCACTGAGTAACTTTTTATTTCACTATTTTTACTCAAACAATGTCTCCAGCATATCGTTGGTAAATATTTTAAAACATTTAGGATTTCTAGCGTTTTTAACATTGTACACTGTACAGCTTATGTACAGGAAAAGAGCATGAAGGTAAAAGTACAAATGAAAGTTAATTTATCAACCTTGACTCAAAAACGTCGAGTACAGTACAAACGTGGGAACACAGTATAAACGTCCGACTAATACAAACTTCGGACGGGTAAAATCGAACAGTACCAACGTCGGACCAGTACAAACGTCAGACCAGTACAAACGTCGGACTATGGAACAGATTTAATTTAAATTTAAAGATTTAAAAAAAAGTTATTTCCTTTTATCGAATGGTCTAATTAAAATCTACCCAAAGGAACTGAGTTCTTGCACTAACTCAAATATTCTCATCCCTTTATCTTTACAACCTGATGGTATTAACCTTTGATACTTTCAAATTTAAACTATTTGATCTTATAGATTTCAAAGGTTGAAATATCAAAGGTCTACGACAACGGATTTCAAAGATATAGGCATTAGAACATCAAGAAATCAACTCCTTTTTGGTTGAAGTTACATGACAAATGAACTGTGGATATTCGTCTACTAGTTTATAATGCACTTGTAAGGTCACATAGTGAGTATGGAATTATAACATGGGGGGGGGGAAGGCCGTAAAAAAAACTACGGAAAATCAAATCTTTGCAAAAAAGTGCAGTTAGAGCAGTAAATAATAATTCATTTAAAGCACATTCAGAACCAATATTCTTCAGATTAGAACTTCTAAATCTTGATGATACATATAAACTAGGTGTTCTATCTTTTATGCATAAATGCTTTAATTAAAACCTTCCAACTTCCTTCCATGATATGTTTAATACTTTACTGAACCAAATATGGAATTATGGAATTCGATTGAATTAGAGCTTAAAGAAACTAAATCTGCAAGACTGTTTAAAAAGTTTTATTTAAAATGTACACTGTACAGTGTAAATCAATTTATTTATTTACAATTCTTATTCGCTTATAATGGTCCAACCAATCAAAACAACCAACTCTGGTTAGGCGGGTCCAAACTACATAGTAAATTGTGATTTTTTATTTGTATTATCTCGTGCTTTGTAGTTGAATAAAAATATGAATGAAAAATATGAAATTAAACTTGATAGAAGGGCATTTTATTAAGGTTATTCGTAAAAATTAAATATTGATTTTATTGCGGTTTTGTTTTACTAATCTTGGATTATACTTTAGAATTCTCTCACAAACGATGAAGTATAGAGGCTAGGCTGTTAATTTCAGCAATCTGTTCTGTATATTACTAATGAAAATCAAACTACAGAATACAAAATTATATTATTTCAAAAGGAGTTATAAATAGCATATTTATAAATGATACACAATTAATATTTTCATATTCTTCATTTTTCAGATAGCATGGTAGAAGAAGTGATAGTTAAAGATTTAGTGAAAATGAAAGGCGAAAATTTCTCCACAAAAGAAATTTGTCCATCTTCTAGTTTAGATGAAACATGTACTTGGGGTTTGCAGGAGAAAGATGAAAATACAGAAATTATAGGTAAGTTTTCAGAAGTATATAATACATTTTCTAATGACTTTACTGTTTCGCAAAAATACCTAGTTTTAATTTATTCTAAACCTGATGTGTATTCGATTTTAGATGCTCCTAGTAATACAATTCAAGAAATACAGTCTGAAAGGAAAGAAGAAACAGTTTCAATCAAGGAAGAGAGTTCTACTGTAGAAGATACATGTACAGTTTATGTACAGGGAGAGAGTATGAAGATGGAAAGTACACAACTAAAAAGTAGGATTTTTTTTTAATACTTATATATTTTTTATTATGTCTTCTTTATTTGCTAAATAAAACTTAGGACTCCCATCACTCCTTTTTTTAATAATTATCAATTATAAACTTGTTCTTATTGTTGATTTTTTCTGCTTTCATAAAGATTTTCTAACAACGAAAAAACTTGGAATTAGTTAAAAGTATTTAATTACTGAGCGACATTATTTCTATTCTATTATTTCTATTAAACTGTTCAGGTGAAATCATAAATATTTACTCGAAACCAAAAAGACGCAAGAAGAGTAAACATGAAGGAATAGGATACTCTTGTGGTGAATGTGATTATGCGGCAACCAAACCTGGAAATCTGAAGAGCCATATTGCATATAAACATAAAGGAGTTAGATATCCTTGTGACCAGTGTGAATACAATGCGACTACAGCAGGTAGTCTGAAGAATCATGTCGAAAGTAAGCATGAAGGAGTTACATATCCTTGTAAACACTGTGACTATGCTGGCACTACAGCATGTCATCTGAAAACACATGTTAAAATTAAGCATGAAGGAGTAAGATATCCTTGTAAACACTGTGAGTATGCTGCCACTACAGCAAGTCAACTGAAGGGACATGTTAAAAATAAGCATGATGGAGTAAGATATCCCTGTAAACAATGTGAGTATGCTGCCACTACATCAAGTGATCTCAGAAAACATATTAAAAATAAGCATGAAGGAGTGAGATATCCTTGTGATCAATGTGATCATGTTTCGACCCAAGCTGGGAATCTGAAGAGCCATATTGCAAATAAGCATAAAAGAGATGGATATCCTTGTGACCAATGTGAATACAGCGCGACTACAGCAGGTAGTCTGAAGAATCATGTTAATAATAAGCATGAAGGAGTGACATATTCTTGTGAAAATTGTGGTTATTCGGGCGCTACTGCAAGTAGTCTAAAATCCCATGTTAAAAGAAAGCATGAAGGAGTTAGATATCAATGTGAACAGTGTGAATACAACGCGACTACAGCAGGTAGCCTGAAGAATCATGTAGAAAGTAAACATGAAGGAGTTTCATATCCTTGTAAACACTGTGACTATGCTGCCACTACAGCATGTCATCTGAAGACACATGTTGAAAAAACGCATGAAGGAGTAAGATATCCTTGTAAACACTGTGACTATGCTGCCACTACAGCAAGTCAACTGAAGGGACATGTCGAAAATAAGCATGAAGGAGTAAGATATCCTTGTGAACACTGTGAACATGCTGCCACTACAGCAAGTGGTCTGAGAAAACATGTTAAAAGTAAGCATGACGGAGTGAGATATCCCTGTGATCACTGTGATCATGTTGCAACCCAAGCTGGGAATCTCAAGAACCATATAAAAAGCATGCATGAAGGAGTGAGATTTCTTTGTGACAAATGTGAACATGTGGCCACTTCTCTAGCTAATCTGAAGTATCATATAAAGAGTAAACATGCCATTACAATATAAAATCTGGACAGAAATATAAAAAATTGAACATAAAAATATAAACCAATTCTGCAAATTCCATTAAACCAATGTTTCGTTTTTTTTAAGACTATTATAAACTGATTTTATTCTAACAAAGTACTTTAAATGCAAACCATATTCAATATCATGCCTAAAATTTGAAAATGTTTGAATGTGTTTATTGGATAAAAACAAACAGACCGACAAGCCAAATTTATAAATAATACCAATAACAATACTTCTCAGTATTTATTTCCTAACTAATCCAATGAAAATTCTTATATATTATTTAATAATTATCATGAAGTAGAATATGATTCTACAAGATTAACTAGGGATTATAAAAATATATTTTTCTTCAATTAATTACAAGGAAAAATGCGTCTCAAAGTAATGATGTAATACGGCCCTTTCCATCTTTTATAATCTCTTTTTCAATTATCAACATACAGCTCTTCTCCCCCCCCTCCATCCTTTCATCCTTCCTTGAATATTTTAAGCCTATTTTTTAGTAGATAAACTCTAGTCTTTTAGTTCACTCCTGCTCTCTTTAACAATACCAAGGGAAACATTTATTTGTCCAATTATTTGAATTTAAAAAATTCAATCATATTTTCATCCTTATGCATATTAATCTGTATTAAGTAATTGTCTTAAGACTGTTTCAACATTTTTCGTATATTTTTAATATTTCAGAAAGAATGGCAGATTATATGAAAGAAGAATTCATTTTAGGAAGAAATAAAAATAAAAGAAGAACTTATTATTTAGGAAGATGTTTGTCCATTCTCTAGATTTGAGGAAGATTCCTCAATTATTTGTTGATCGCACTTTTTTTCTCCAATTTAGCGCCAAAACAGTCTGATGCATTACTTTCTTTACACCATTTAAAATATATATATATATATATACTTTGCTTGTCTGTTTGTATATCCAAAACGCCTGAACCGATTGGGCTCAAATTTTGTGTGGGACTTCACATGTACCCAGGTTTATATGGATGATCAAAATTTCTAAGATTTGCCTCCAACACAATTCAATTTCCTTTAAATTTGAAAAATCCACGATTTTTTGAATCCGCGAACTTTTTGTTTTTGTTTTACATGTATACAAAGAGAAAATGTTCACAATTAGAATAAAAGATGGGCGCGAAGCGCTCTAAAAGCCTAGTATCATAAAATTAATCTATGGTAGAATGAACAGAAATATGTTTGAAGATTATGATTACTTGTCCAGGTTAAATAATTCAGGTTGAAGAATTTCCTGAATCAAATAAACTAAACAAAGTTACAAATCTAAAGGAATGCATGAAAAGTAAATAAAAAGGATGGAGATTTCCATGCGACCATTGTGAATTTACATGTACAGATTATATTCTGAAAAGACATTAAAAAAGTTTGCATAACTTCCCTTGTGATTAATGTGATTATCTGGCAATTCAAACTCAAAAATTGAAGGAACGTATAAAAGGAAACTATGTAAGGTTTATCCTTGTCAATTCTGTGATTATTCTGCTACTAAAGCAAGTCATCTTAAAACGCATGTTGAAAATAAACATTTAATGGTTAGATATCCCTGTAATTATTCAATATGATCTGGAGAAGGGAATGCAAAATTGGACATTAAAAGGCAAGTAAAACCCAAAACCTAGCTTATGGGGAAAATAATTTAAAAACCGGCGCAACAAATCAATCTTTTTTTCCCGTAAGGCTCGAAGAAACCATGAAAAAATAACATGATACCCCAACATGATTTTGGGACTATTTACACCTATTGGTAACCAAGTTCTTAGGATTCTTTACAAATCTGCTGTTTTGTCTCAGTCGACTAAAATTAAGCAAGCTTTTTTATCTTTCCAAATTTCTTTTCACTTAATTTGCATCGTTTCACTTAATATGCTTTATTTATCAAAGATTATCAAAGATCAATTGAAGCTAGAAGAGTTTGGGATTAAAGGAAGAAATAATTTCCTTCAAGGAAGACATCTTTCCCTCCTGTACTGGGCTCTTGCTTCTCTTTAAATGGAGGGCCGCATAAGATTATGCATAGACCCATTATGCATAGATGACAATGCCCGATTTACAACGGTACCCTTGAAACCTTAATCTGACCAGATAACGTCGTTTTTACAACTCTTGGAGGTTTTATTTCTGTGAATTTCTCCATTGTTTGTTATTAGCAGGAAATGTATAACCCTTAAATCTTTGTCTTACTAAGTATGCATTAGATATCGAAGTTTTTGTTTTAAACTGAAGTTTCCATTTGAGATTTCTCTACAAAAGTAACTTGCGCATATCTTGCTTAAACGAAGTAAGGGACAAGTTATCAAAATTTATTCTTTACGAGTCAGGCAAACAACGGGATTTTCCACATTTTTGATCAGATTAAGGTTTCAAGGATACCGTTGTAAGACGGGTATTGCTATCTTTGCATAGAGGCTCACTTTAAACTACAGTTCCAGAAGAATTAATATCATAAAAATGTCGATTCTTAACATTTTGAAGAAAACAGAAAAAATTCGCGAAATCTTTAGATTTCTGTTTAAAGAAATGAAAACAACATTTATTTTTTTTGTAGGAAAGGTAACCCACAAAGAATTAGACTGCAGAGACAACTACTCAGAATTTTTTGAGTTTTTTTCTTACACCCATGCTTTTCTACATTTTAAAAGAAGCTTTTTTATCTCCTAACCCTTTTAAGTTAATCAATAAAAAGACTTTAATAAAGATAGTTCAATTCAGATGGTCATATTCAAAGTTTTGGGTCGTCTTTTTAGGCTTATCATATTCCTTTGTGGGTAACCCTGTAGTTACACATATATTTTGCTAGAATTCCTATGAGTTCTTTAATACATAATTACATACTGTTATACAGAATATTAACTAAATCACAATAAATATGGTTAAATACAGACTGTGATTGAAATTTACTAATTCAGCTATAAACAAGTGAGGTATATTTACTCTGCAGTGTTACAAACTTATTTTCAGTGATTATCTACACGACTTTAAGTGAATCTTCTTAATGAGTTATTATATGGAAATTGTCATCTTTCTTCCTTGTCTCTGCTGATGAAATCTTTCTTGAAATGACAAGGAAGTTATAGAAATATAAGTTTTAGCAAATTAGATTACAAGTCACTTAAAAAATACTAGGGAATTGATAAAAATTGAGATTTACTAGCTATGGAATAGCATCTTTTTAGTTGGATCCAAAATTTCTTTTTTAAATTTTTCATCTTTTTTAACAACAGCCAGGAGCACAAACACACAAAATCCTAAAAAAAAGGTATAAAACTCAGCATTAGCGTTATTTTTTTTTGCAAGGCACATGTTTAGGGTTGCAAAATATTGAGATATTGTGAACAAAATACAGGAATATTTCTGGTTATGGGAATTTTTATGCGAATTTGTCAAGTTTGCATATTTATAAAAAAAAAACTAAATTATTTTTTTCTGAAAATACTCGCCATTGATTAAGATGAAGAATAAAATGAGTTGAATGTTAAATATGGCTTTGGTAATCAAGTAATCAGTCCTAAAGAGCGTACACTAAAAATTAAAGTATTGGGTGTCTTTGATTTTTGAAACAATTTGCGACATTTATTTGTGCATCTAATTTTCTCAGAACAAAATTCATTAGACACTCCTAGTACTGGCATAAATTCAAAATGTGGTTTGCCAGCTCTTTCAAAATAGATACATGCAAAATTTTGTTCAGATTTTGTTTTCTTAAAAAAAAAACCCAAATTTTCGTTACGTCTAAGTTCTTTGTTATTTTTTAAGAAACAATCTTTTGGAAATCGAAGGCCTAGGGATATTATATGATTATGATTTAATTATTACCTGCTACTAAAACTCCGGACATTGTGCCCAACCACTGAAATAAGTAAAGAAATTAGATTAATAATTTGGAAAAGGATATGCAAATCAAAAGTGACAATTGATAAGGAACTGAACAATAAGCATTTGCAGAGGGAACTGAACCCTTGCCACAGAATTAAATTTTCGAAACCTAAATCTTAGAAACCTGATGGTGTACACCAAACTTTAACAATTAGATCTAGTGAAACTCATTGTTTATAATATAGAAAGTCTGCATTTTTGTCAGGATTAGAAAATAGGAGCTTGTACAGTTACAGTTTCTTCCACCCCTCTTCTGGTTCAAGTTTGAAGGCAGCTTCCATGAAACAATAACAGGGATATGTGTTGATACCTTATTGCATAAGCATTAGATTATAATATTTTCCTGCGACCTGAAAACTCTCAATTGACATAATTTGAGTGCAGTTAAAACTTACTCTTTGAAAGAGTTTTATATAAAAAATAGTTATGTCATAATTATTTTCTCAGTTATTGCTAAAAACCTCAGGAAATTTAAATTTAGCAAACAAAATTGCATTTTCCATGGTAATTCACATAATTTTAGTCAAATGAAAATATCCTAATTTGGTTAAGTTTTTACATCTTGTGTGTAATTTGAATATTTTTGGAAAACTAAAAAGGATGGAAGAATTATTTTTTTAAACATTGGTATTGTCCGATTCAAAACAGTACCCGTTCAACCTCTTTCTGAGTAAAATCATCGATTTTTTAATTCTAAAATTTGTAGTTCTAAAAATTTCCTTTATTAAGATATTTCAACATAAATCTTACTTTTATTGCGTAACCTTGGTTGAAAATAATCAATTTTTAATTAAAAAATAAAGATACTTCGTTCATCCTTGAACTGTCAAAAGTTTAAAGGGTGAAATGGGGGGTCAATTTAATCTTACTCCTAAAGTCCCTTTAAGAGAAGAATTGGGTATGTTGAGAGATATTGGTATCAACATTCAACACATATCAACTTTTATTTTTCGGAAACACCAGCTTCCAGATTCGATTAAATTGATAATATATAAACTTAATTTAAAACCAAACTATGTAAATTGTACTTTTTAGCCGTTCCACATGTAAATTACTTGCTTAGTCGTTCTGCAAGTAAAAAGAGAATCCTTAATTTAAAATAAATCTATTTAAATTACTTGTTTAGCAGTTTTACAAATAAAAAAGAATCCATAATTTAAAATAAATCTATGTAAATTACTTGTTTAGCAGTTCTACAAGTAAAAGAGAATCCTTAATTTAAATTAAATCTATGTAAATTACTTGTTTAGCATTTCTACAAGTAAAAGAGAATCCTTAATTTAAATTAAATCTATGTAAATTACTTGTTTAGCAGTTCTACCAGTAAGAGGAGTTACTCGCTCACATGCAATCCCTCCGTATCCGTCCCTAAACAAGGAATAAATTAAAGGGATTGTTGTTGTAATTTCTAGTGACACTCCATTTAAAGGGGGCCATGACTATTTCACTACGGTACCCTTTAAACCATTGTCTGATGAATAATGTGGAAGATATCCTGATTTTTTTTTGCTTAAGAAGTGTTTAATTTTAACAATTTTCTCCATGGTTCTATGACAAATAATCCGCAATTGATAAACCATTTTTTATAGAGAACTCATTAATATCTCATTTATCTTCTATATCTATAAAATAAAAAAAAGACATTCATATGTATGTTCCCTCTGGTCGCTCATTTTTTGTGGACACTCATGGGTAGCCTGGGGGTAACATAGGCTAAAAAAAATAGGTTTTAAAAAAATGTCTTCGGGCAACGCCAGGCCTTTCAGCGAGTTTTAAATAAGAAAAAGCTTTTAAGCTTACTGTTGTGAATCGGACTATACCACTCTTTAAATGGAAGAAACTTGAATATGTGTCTCCGGTCCCTTTAATCCTTAGCACAGTAACATGAAGACTATCAGTCTATAAGTTTAAGAGGGAAGATGGGAACTCAGGTCAGAACTTTTCAGTGAGATCGGATTTATCTGCAATGCTTAATCTCAACATCTGCTGGGCCAACTTTTAAATTTAAGTGATCCCTCGATTTTATTTATTCCTACTGGGTTCTGGCCTCATCATATTCTCTCTTTACCCATAAACAGTTCGAACCAACCCATTCTTCTGAAATTAAATTGATTAATTAATTAATTTAAAAAATCATTTCTAAAAATCAAGCGATTTCAAGTTTTTTTTAAATACAAACTTTGGTTGTAAACACACCAAAAATGACCTAATTGAAATGTTTATTTTTTCAACATAGATTTTAAAATATGCAAAATAAAATAAAAACTGCATGTATACAATTCATCAAAATATCCCAGATCGAGCTAAATTATTTAAGGAGCCAGTCGTTCTATTATCCACCCATCCTCGCCTTGAATACGAGGATTCTCATCATTGGCATCACTAGCTCGCCGGAACCTAAACAGGAAGTAAATTTATTATCACTATAAACAGGAAAATTTAATCAAAATGCACATTAAAGAATTTGGACACAACCTTTTTCTTAACAAGATTGCAACTTAGCTTGCATAAGAATAAGAGGAGAAATCTGAAAAGACCCCCGAAATGGAATCCCGAGATTTGAAAATACGTTTAATTTTATTCTAACATTTTGATATGTGTCTCTTCAAAAGAGAATAGTATCCTGTATCCTATACCACCTTCACTTGTATCCTGTATTCTATATCCCATATCCTGTATTATGTATCCTTTATCCTGAATCCAGTATCACCTAATCATGTATCATGTATCCTAGAGCTCTGACCCTGTATCCTGTACCTGATCCTATCCTGTATCCTAGCACTCTGAACCTGTATCCTGTCTCACCTGATCCTAACATGTATCCTAGTACTCTGACCCTGTATCCTGTATCCTGTAAGGAATCATAAGGAAGTGAAATCTGCAAGAGACCCCATTGTGGGCCCCCCAGACCGCCCAGGCAGCAGGGTGCACTGCCCCGCCCCTGTTCTAACTAGACCTTTAAATCCCCATCTTCTAGTCCAAATCTAGAGAAATAAAGTAGATACATTCCAGTCAGTTGGCTAACCAATTAAAACCATTGGTTGGTTGGTATCTGTCAACCCTTTAGGTGAAGAATAGAGGTTACCGTTTTTAAAGTGCTCCTGCCAGTTCCATCCACCTGTCCAGCAACAAGCTAAGCTTATCCGCTCTCTTCAGAAGCACTTCTCTAGAGGCATTGTCACCCCCTAAGATCCTAGTGAGGACTGTCGTACCGCTCCGGGTCGAATCGGTCATGACTACTCCCAATCCTGAAGCTGACCTTTCATAGGCTACAGCCTGGCAAGATACGACAACATGAGTTTCAGAAAGGTGGCTAACTAACCCTTTATTAAGACAAAGTGGGCACCACTTTGTTGTAGAGCCATGGATGTTTGGGCGGCGATTGCCTAGCCCAGCATCTCCCGCTCTAAGTCTGTTCAGCAAACCCCCTGCTTTGCTATCACATACGTGTGGCTGAAGTTTGAACCAGACTTGAGGGGTTGGCATGCAGTTTAGAGACACAAACCGCTTCTTTTGCCTCAAAACCCCTTGTATTGCTACTTCGGTGAGCCTCTTCTTCAACCTAGATTTGGGACCGTCAAAAGCTTCAATACCCAATTCAGACACCAGGTCCCCAACCATTCTCGCCCACGGGTCGTGTGCTGCGGTCGCCGCGTCGAATACATTGGTAAGAATAGGGTCGCACTTCTTATGCAGAATACCCCACACATATAATGCTACGCGTTCCCTTATCCTATCCTTCATTGGTTTGAAACCCGCATCCATGTATCCCGCTTCCTTGGAAGTTGATCTTGGTAGCTGTAGTATAAAACGTGCTACTTGGTGTTGGATGCTGTCTAGTTTGTCAACTACTCCATCAGTCACCAACATGGCCTCCACAGCATACAGAACTGCTGGGATTGCACATCTTTCCCATAGTGTATGTGCTACCAGCGCACAGTCTAGTCCAGCTCTTGTAACGCCCATGATAGTGTTTGCATACTTTTGCGCAATTTGTAACACACGCTCCTCTCTAGGCTTGACAAGGTTTCTTCCTTTAACCTGTATGTCTACTCCTAGATATTTGCCAGCCAGAGTTGCTTCAAGGTCTGGTGTTCCTGGTTCTACCTTCCAAACCTGCCCTACCTGGCTGTTGGAGAGGATTACTGTTTTCTCTATAGACAGCTTCATATATACTCCTTTACAGAACCTAGACACCTCCTTCAACATGCGTTCCATTCCTCTAACCCTTGTCCTAGAAATCAGGACCAAGTCGTCTGCAAAAAAAAACGCAGATACCACTTATCCATTGAAGTTAACCACTTCCTTCATAGCATGCAGCCTCTCTCCAAGCCCTGCCATGTAGAGCGAGAAAAGAAGGGGTGATAAACCGCACCCTTGTATCCTGTACCTGATCCTATCATGTATCCTGTACCTGACCATATCATGTATCCTGGTAATTTGACCTTATATCCTGTACCTGATCCTTTCATCTGATTCTGTATCCTGTATCCTGCACCTGACCCTATCATGTATCCTGGTACTTTTACCCTGTCTCCTGTACCTGATCCTTTCATCTGACCCTGTATTCTGAATCCTGTACCTGATCCTAGCATATATCCTGTTACTTTGACCCTGTATCATGTATCCTGTACCTAACCCTATCATATATACTGGTACTTTGACCCTGTATCATGTACCTGATCCTATCATGTATCCTGTTACTTTGACCCTGTATCATGTATCCTGTACCTGATCCTATCATGTATCCTAGTACTCTGACCCTGTATCATGTACCTGATCCTATCATGTATCCTGTACCTGATCCTATCATGTATCCTGTACCTGATCCTATCATGTATCCTGTACCTGATCCTATCATGTATCCTAGTACTCTGACCCTGTATCCTGTACCTGATCCTATAATGTATCCTGTACCTGATCCTATCATGTATCTTGTACCTGATCCTATCATGTATCCTGTACTTGATCCTATCATGTATCCTGTACCTGATCCTATCATGTATCCTGTACCTGATCCTATCATGTATCCTAGTACTCTGACCCTGCCAGAACTCAATGCTGGAAGCTTCAACTCTAAAAAAAATTAAATAATCATAATAAAGGGACTGCTAACGTAATTTCTAATGGCCTCAACTTAAAAGTTTCTCATGACAGTTCCCTTTAATTTTGATCTCAGAAATATTGAGAAAGCCGTTGACATCGTGTATAGAAATAAATTCTGTAAATTTCCTTCCTAGTTTCCGATTGCCGAATCCCCTGTCACTATTGAAGAGAAATCGCTGATAAAAAATATCAAATAAAATTTAAACTTTTTAGACAAAAACAATAACATGCAAGTCTGTAACTTAAAATTACGGCGACGATCCCTTTAAAATTATATAAAACCCATTCCTCATTTTATGGCTGTATGTACTTTATCTATACAATATATATATTTATTAAGAATTTGAAAGACCCTCCACCCTTTTACAGTTTTTTGAGGATTTGAAAAGAATATAAACGGTTCCATTTGCTAATTTTTCCCATAACAATCTGATCATATGAGACTTTTAATTCACACCATAAAGCGTTAAAATATCTCATATTCTTTAAAGCTACGCGGTCCACGCAATTATTGCAAACACATATCTAGGGAGGGGGGACTATTCTTAAAGATGGAGGGAGGGGGATTCTTAAACAATTATATAATCCCCTGTTTTTTGTTTACCTGTAACCTCCCCAGTGTTCGGGATATGGAAGTTTAGTTTCGCCATCTGATAAATTCAAATAATTTAGAAACAAAACTTAACATTTTTTATTATTCATTTCATTCAAGGGACAGTTTGCGTCATTTTAAGCGACACTCTGTGCAAAGATGACAATACCTGACTTACAAAGGTATCCTTGAAACCTTAATTTAACAAAAAATGTTACAGATAATGTTGTTTTTATTACGAAGTGTTAAATTCTGATAATTTTGCCATGGATTCTTAAGCAAGAATTGCGTAAATCACTTTCCAAAGTTTCTCAAATGAAAAATAAACAGTTTTCAAAAACAAAACATGGATATCTATTTTATGCTTGATCAGACAAAGCTTTTAAGGTTGCGGTTGTAAGTCATGCCTAATTGTCATCTTTACATATGTAGTCTACGGAGGGTCACTTGAAACTTGAAATGACGGGAAATGAGAATTTCAGCCAAGAAGTCTATTTAAACTTATGGGAAAATGGTTTAAATTATTGCTTGTAAATTTTGCGAACGTGGGGTGAATGAAATTTTCCCCATATTACCCCTCAAAGCCGATATAACAATGTTAACGCCAATATTTGAAAAATTCCTGAATATTTCTTTGTAAGTTCTTCCTCCTTTTCGGTTAGTACACTTCTATTCTTGATAACCTTGACAACAATAATTTAAAATATCATTAACAATAACAATTTCTAATAGTTTTAAAATTTTTTTGTCTCTTTTATGAATATGGCTTCTGATATACTTTAATATTATTCGATGAATATCTTTCATGAAAAAAATACGAGAAAAAATGAAGGGTTTTGGATGCACAAAAAAGTACCTTGCTTTGGTCTGAGACCCAGGCCCCGATTTGGCTTGAGATCGGCCTGGATTCAAAGTATTCTTTACTCTCAGAGGCTGGGATTCGAATAACCTTAAAAGAATCAAATATAAGGGATTCTTGACAAAATTTAAGAGCCCAGTGGCGTAGGACGCTTTAGGTCTTCCTTTCAGACCAAAAAATAAAATTATCCACATAATAAATAGTGTCCCAAAAAACATAGGAATTGATTTATCATATAGTGTGTAGTGAGAACAAGAAAACAACTTTCAAATGAACATGTGATCCGGATCCAAATCCGGATCCGGATTCAGGTCATTTCTTTAAGAAGAGATTTATCTTATTTTTATAAATATTTTACCTTGCCCTCAACACGAACACTTTTCTTCAGGGGCTCCCAGTAGAAAACTAAAGATGCCCTTATAAAAAAACATAGATTTTGTTGGAAACTGAAAAGTATTTTTTGAAAAGAAAAGGAGGGAGGCACGGAAGATATTCCTAATGTAATTCATAATTAAGTGCCCAAATTAAAACTTAGCAACATTATTTAACACAATAAAAGGAATCTCCACGTGTTTAAATTGGACTGTAACTTAATCAAATTTAACCCTAAAGAGAAATTATCGAGCACAAAAACAACTTGTAGCAAAAAGAGTATATCGTTTGCAGATAAAGTTTTAAATCGCTATGCCTATGGATGAGACTTTACTGTGGTGCACCTTCCCTCCCTCGCAAAGCCACGCGGGGGAGAGAAGGCAAAATACCTTGGATTCTCCTCCAGCTCTGCTGCCTTCCTGCTCGTGTAATTTGTGTAGAAGGTAAACCCCTCAGCTCCAAACTTCTTCAGTAAAACCATTCTTAATATTTCAACATTAAACATCCAAAATCGGAACTATCCTTAAAGGGACTGTAAGAATAATTTCAAGTTACCTTTCATTTTACAACGGTAACCTTTAAACCGTTGACTGATCAAGGATGACAGTCTCATTTCCTTTATTCACAGGTACATAAACGCTTGTAATTGTTGAATACTTTTTTTAAGCTGTTTATATTCAAGAAATATTATTACTTATTTTCTCTAATTGGCAGAATATAAATATTCACATTCGAATTTTTGAAAACCGCGTTAGAAATAGAATATTCTAGATTTTCCAGGACTAGATGTTACGTCATCTGCGTTGAGTTCACACAATACACTTGCGTACACTCCTATTTTCCGGCTTTTTGCAAATATTTAAAAGATATTAACACTGAGTTCTCTGTCCTGTCTCTGTACTAGGTTTAAGTGTACTGACTTTGAAGAAAAATGTAAGAATTCAAACATTTTAAGAAAGAAAAACGACGATATCTTCCTCATTGTTACTCAGATATGCCTCAATATGAAATTAATCGAAATTAGGTAAACAGTCTCTTAAAATATAAAATAATTCTTATATTACCTAGCAGAGGGGAGGCCATCTTTAGTTGCTGTAGCCAGACACATTGCATTTGCCTCCTCTAAAATAAGAATTATAAATTTCATTCAATAAATCAATCAATCAATCAATCAATCAATCAATCGTCCATGCAAAGATGAAAATGCTCCATTCACCCTTAAAGGCTTTGTCTGATAAAATATGAATCAATTACAATTTAAAAAACTGACTATTTTGAAATGTAGGTTTTCTACTAATGTGACTATTGCAGGAAAACATAAAGGGATTATCAGAATTACACTTCAAACCCAAGAAAAATTGCAATTTCTTCTACGTTATTGATCAAATTAAGGTTTAAAGGGTACCAATGTGAATCGAGTATTGCCATCTTTATGTTCATATTCCATTTAATCTCATATAATTGATGTCCTACTAATCCTCCATCTTTCAAGTAAAATATTTTTTTAATCTTTTTTAACAACTTTATTTTTAGTTTAAAGACTGTTATGAGGTAATGTTTTTCAAGCCCGATTAAAATTAAAACCTTTAATGGATAAAACATTTGTTCATTCTTCTTTAATAAAAAGTATTCTCTTCCCTTTAAATCTTGAAGCCACTTCTACACACAACCGCAATTGAGAATAATCAATTTTTAGAAAAACAAGGATATTTCCAAGAGTGCTCAGACAAAGGTCCAAAGGTTATATTGGATATGAAACTCTTTAAATGGAGAGAGGGTCAAGTTGAAGTCACAAGCTCCTTCAAGATCTCATTTTTTTATCCATTATTAATACCAGAGATGGGGGCATCGTTTTTGAACGAACGAAAAGGGTGTCCTTCAAAATAAACGATGAACAAACGAAATGGATTACTCAGAGAAATGAAAAATTTATCGTTTTTTAAAAACGCACGAAAAACAACAACAAAAGGAACAGTTTAAAATCGTTCGAATGGTACCTAAAAAAAAAATTGATTTTTATTGAACGAACGATTTTCGGAACAACTTTACACAAAACGATAGTTTTTGCTAAGCGAACAAATTTTCAAAAAAAATGGAAAAGGCGATAGTTTTTTTGATACAAAATTAAACAAAAACGCTTATTTTATACCAAACGATTGATTTTTTCGAACTAATTTTAGAAAACACAATCTTTTTTTACTGAACGATTGTTTAATGAGAAAACGAACGAAAAAGATGGAAAATGAACAATAATTTGGAGAACAAAATCAATTTGTTTCATTCGATTGAAAAAAAACGAACGAAATGGGACTTGAACGATGAACGAACTTGCCCATCTAGAATATTTTAAAATGCTAAACTCATTTAAGCTTCTATCTTAATTCTATCATTATTCCAAAGTTATTCTCTCCATGCGGTTTAATTGAAGGACTCTATTTTAGAAAACGAATACAGCATTGAAAACTTTTTTTTATACTGGGAGGGGGAGTGGGGATTACATATGTTAAGAAAGAACTCGTCTATATAATAAATAGTCTGGAATCAAATTAAACATAGTAAAATTGTTACCTATTCTTTCATGATGTGATGCTTCATTAAACCATGCCTTAAACTGGGCAAATGGTTCTTTTGAAACTAAATGCCACACAACATAATAAATTGTTAAATAAAAAAAAAAATTGTTAGAAAAGAATAAATTGGATATATATTACTTCAGTTTATGATTTCTGACCCCCCCTTTATAAATGTTGTATATTTAAAGTGGCAAAATTCGACCCACAAATTTGACTTAGATTTAGATTTATCGAACATACAATAAAAAAATAAATATGATAGAAATATTCCAAAAATCTGATATATTGTAGTTTCTTGAAGCTGAAAAACTGGCGTTCTTCCACTTTTACTTAAAGAAATGTCGCAAAAATTTTTGCAATTATTACAACTATTATTACAATTATTATAACTCTAAACATGTTCAGAGCACTTCTTAGAGATAGTTCTGTACAACAAAATTTTATAATAAACAAATTAAAAACTGTTTTCTTGTTCTCTCTGCAATTATTAAATTATTTGTTACAATGTTGTTAAGTTTCCTAAATCCTTGAATTCGAACGTATTGGTGTTGTCATTGTAGGGTTTTCGCATTCCATGGATATCAACACTCATTTTTCTAAACATCATAACTTGCCATTTAAAGAATACATTTTATTTTCTAATCATCATAACTTGCCATTTAAGATATTTTATTTATTTTCTAAACATCATAACTTGCCATTTAAAGAATATATTTTATTTTCTAAACATAATAACTTGTCATTTAAAGAATATATTTTATGTTCTAAACATCATAACTTGCCATTTAAAGAATATATTTTATTTTCTAAACATCATAACTTGCCATTTAAAGAATATATTTTATGTTCTAAACATCATAACTTCCCATTTAAAGAATATATTTTATTTTCTAAACATCATAACTTGCCATTTAAAGAATATATTTTATGTTCTAAAAAAACAAAAGTAATTTTCTAGAAAACATTTTTATTCTATTATAATCCAACCTATCAATTTTGTACATAGAGCTAGCTCATATGTTATACATGGTCAAAGTTGGACATGTGGCCGCAGCGCTGGCCCCCCTAGATTGTCCTAGCTGCGGCGCTCGGCCCTCTAACATGTCCTAGCCGCAGCGCTCGGCCCTGAAATTATCTTAACATACCTTCTGATCTTAAATAATCCAAAATAAATATCAATACTTTTGGTTGTCATGTATAAAATTGATAGAAGGGAAGGGCGGCCCTGGGGGGGGGGGTCCAAACAGCGATCTCTAGGACAGACCCAAAGATGTGTCAATTGTGATTGTCTCACATTGTTACATATACAATTGTGCAAGTATCAAATATACAAATATGCAATAGTCACGAATTCATTGTGCAATTGTCACATATACAATTGTGTGCAATTGTCACATATACAATTGTGTGCAATTGTCACAAATACATTGTGCAATTGTCACATATACAATTGTGCATTTGTCACATAAACAACTTTGCAATTGTCACATATACAATGTGAAATTGTGCATTTGTCACATATACAATTGTCCAATTTTCACATGCACAATTGTGAAATTGTCACATATACAATTGTGCAATAGTCACATATACAATGTGCAATTGTCACATATACATTGTGCAATTGTCACATATACATTGTGCAATCGTCACATATACAGTGTGCAATTGTCACATATACAATTATGCAATTGTCACATATACAATTGTGCAATTGTCACATATACATTGTGCAATTGTCACATATGCAACCGTGCAATTGTCACACATGCAATTGTGCAATTGTCACGTTTACAATGTGCAATTGTCACATATACATTGTGCATTTGTCACAAGTACAATTGTGCCATTGTCGCATGTGCAATTGTGCAATTGTCATACATACAATTGAGCAATTATCACATATACATTGTGCAATTGTCACATATACATTGTGCAATTGTCACATATACATTGTGCAATTAATAATGGAAAAAAATTGTAAAATGGCCATGAATTAGGATCAAATATCAAAATTTTTAAAAGTTCCAAAACAAATAAACAAATGGTGCCTTTCAATAGGCTTAAACTAAAACAAATTTAAAAAATAACTGACATTAAGTGATCTTTTTTAAAATAATATTTTAAAATAGAAATTCAAATTTTCCTCATTTTATAAATAAAATTGGCAAACCTATATATAAACCTTGTTTTTAAACTGCTGTCAAGCACTGATATTAAAATTTAAGTTTACAAAAATTGTCAATTTAAAAATTGTTCTAATTATGTCATGGACAAACCAAACTGAAAATACTAGTGTAAAGCGAAAATTCAATATTTGATGCATATATGCATGGAAAACTAGAAAAAATATGAAAATTTAATAAATTGTAACTTAAATAAATTCCTAGGTTTCTAAGAACTCTTGTTTTCTTCAAATTAACTCTGAACCCCTTCATTTAATCACAGAACTCGCAGATTCACAAACTTGTTAGATCAGAAATTAAATATTACCCAAGAACATTACATTATGCAAAAAGGTTATGAGGTACATTGCGTACACTTTTTAGTTTTATATAATGTCGTATTCTCAAATTAAGACGACATTTGTTATTATTCTTGAAAAATATCTATTTATCTATCTATCTATATGTTTATCTCTCATTCTTGGAACAGCTGTTATATTGTTCACTTACACCCACTCTTAATACAAGTCACAGTTAAGCACACACCACAAGCCTGTATAGGCTGATAGAGAAGCGTACATTGTGAAAGTGGTTTGTGCGTAATCTATATTATTGTCACATAATTGATGCAGTGCGTGAAAACAATTACGCAGTGAAAGTGACGCATATTTATATCTGGTGCATTGTCGAACGTTCTAGTAGAAAAAAATTATTTCGTGATTCATGTACATACCTTTGCTTTCGATCTAAAACAACAGAAACAATGTTTAGTGATTAAAATACATTTCTTAGTTTGTCGAAATTTTGCGTATTTCAATATTTTCTTCTGGTGAACTCGATTTAATTTGTAAATAACCGGAATTTCGCGATCCATTTCCCTGTGAATGACTAAATCAACTACAAACTCTGCAAACTAGAAATGAATAAGGGTAATTTTCTTCAGATTTTCCCCCCCCCTGAATCCCCCTCTCTAATAATTCTGGTTTATATCCCATAATATTGGTATAATTTTGTTCTGTGGCCTTTTTACAGACTATAAAGTTTGGATTTTAAATGGCATGTTAGAAGAATTTTTATTTATTCTATAGCTGTCGGAGATGAGTTAAATGCCCGATTCACAATTAGGTACCCTTGTAAAATGAGGAAGATATTTTCGTTGTTTCTCTTGAGATGCAAAATCATTTGTGTCCAATCACTTTCTCGTTTCTGCTGCATAAAAATCCACAACCTTGGTATTTCTAATATACGAATTTTGGACCCCCCTCCGTTCCCCCTCCTATCAATTTTGTACATGGATCTCGTATGTAAAACATGTGGTCATATGGCCGCAGCGCCCGGCCCCCTAGCCTGTCCTAGCCGCAGTGCTCAGCCCCCCTAGTTGCAGTGCTCGGCCCAGAAATTGTCTTAACCTAACCTAAAATAAAAAATACATTTTTTGCTCATGTACATAATTGATAGGAGAGGGGGAGGGGAGGGGAGTCCAAAAACCTATTCAAGGACGTACCCACGACCTCTCCTTACACAATAAAATTAGGATTGATAATGGAGTAGTTCTGTGATTTTAGAAATGTTAAAGTTTTGTTTTAATATCATGGATCGCTGCATCAGTCAATCATGTTTAAAACGGCTATACAGTTAACACGTATGATTCAGTAATTTTTTATCTTTTGTTATGAAAATGCTACAGGGTGTCCCACATCATATTAGATCGTCAATCGGTCTAAATTACTATTTTCGGGACTAATTAGAAAATTTAAGAAGACTGAATCATTTTGAAAAATTGAATAAGGCCAATAGAAGAATTTTCCTGCAGAAAATACTAGTTTTTTTTCGAGTATTATATTTTTATTTTGGCGGTAAAATGTCGAGATAATCTATAGTTATAATTGCAATCTCTGTCGACCTGGATCGACTTTAAAAGCAAAATTTAGTTTCGACCAAATGCGGGTAAATGGCGGGAGTCACTTTGAGTAACCAGGGCAACGCTGGGTCCCCAGGATAGTATGATATAGCAGTATTTTTGTATATCTATAAATATAAATTGTCTGTCAGTTTGTTTGTTGGTTTGCATTTCCGATCATAACTCAGAAACCCCTTGACCGATTTACCTCAACCTTTGGTTGTGGAACTTGGAAGAACCACAGGAATGTCATTAGCTTGGGTGGAACATTCTAAATTAAGTGGGTTGACTTTTACTGAAAAAAATTAGTTTCCAGACATAGCTGTATTCCTAATCCAGTAAACTATATATGCTTTGTATTTCTAATATAATATTAAGAGATCTGTAAGAAATGTCTCACTGACGCCTAAATTTGACCACTGTTGTGTTTTAATTAAAACACCCAACCGTCTTTCAGCAATGCATAGCAATCAACAATACTACTCGTAAAAGCTGAATTTATTTACAATTAAACAAAGAATTTTCTGAATTCTAAATTGGTGCAAAATATCTTTCAAATATATTTCAATCAACCCCTTGTCATTTTATGTGGATCACACAGGGCAAAAAATGTCGAGTAAATAATTTTTAGATTTTAAATGTTTATTCCTTTAAACCATTTTTTTGAGTAAATAAAATTATGTTTAGTTAAAATATTTAATATTTAGTTTCCTCCATGTTTAAGTACTTATAGAAGATCAAAATTTCAAAAATTCGATTTTCATTAAATGTTGAAAATTCACGAAATCTTTTATAAAATCCGCAACTTTTTTGTTTTGGTTTCACAATTTATGCAAAGAGAAAATGTTCACAATTGAAATAGAAGATAGCCGCGAAGCGCCCTTAAAGCCTAGTACGAGAATACTTAACAACAGAGGATAGTTCTTTAAGAACTTGACCAATTTGTTAATTTAATCAAAATACAAATTAATGAACTATTCTGAATTTTAACTTATTAGATCGTCATCTTCTTTCATGTTAGATTATGAAATTTTAAATAAACTTTTTTTTCCAATATCCTGATTAAAATAGGAATTTTTTTGAGTTATAAGTATCAAAAAAAGGGGGGAAATGGGCCGGTTAGGGTGTCAGGGTCTACAGAAGATATATCCGCATATATGTTTCAATACTGTTGTATCAGATACGAACATTTATTGATTTCAAACCAACACGAAACCACCCAATCTTGTAAACGATAAATATCTGGCAATTCAGCCTAAATACTAGAGTGTATTTGATGTTGTGTAAAAGATAACAATTTTAACAGTTGCTTTAAAGTCAATTTATTAAGTGAAATTGGTCTCTGTGTAATATTTAGTGAATATGAACTCATAGAGAAAGGAAACGGAAGAGGTAAAGAGTACCTCAGATGTACACAACCGACCACCGTATTAATCAATTAATAGAGTGGTTGGTTGTGTATAGATATTTAGATAGACAATTTATATGAATTGTAAACACAGGTCTGTATACTGCAGTACATTCCAGTTCAGTTGTTTGTTTATGTTAAGCCAAGAATGACAAAATATTTTCTAATTGTGTTAAAATCCTTAAAATTTATTGTAAAATTGTCAAATGTTTGCAGTCATCATCCTCGAATTCTCTTTAATTAAAGAAAGAAAAACAAAAAATTTATCAATTCCATAAAATCCTTCCTAAAAATACGATCACTCTATTCACAAGTGTACAGTGTTGGATACGTAAACATAACGTGATGTACACAACCGACCACTCTATTAATACGATCACTCTATATATACAATTGTACAGTGTTGGAAACGTAAACATGACGTGATGTACACAACCGACCCCTCTATTAATACGATCACTCTATTTACAAGTGTACAGTGTTGGAAACGTAAACATAACGTGATGTACACAACCGACCACTCTATTAATACGATCACTCTATTAACAAGTGTACAGTGTTGGATACGTAAACATATCGTGATGTACACAACCGACCCCTCTTTTAATACGATCACTCTATTTACAAGTGTACAGTGTTGGATACGTAAACATATCGTGATGTACACAACCGACCACTCTATTAATTTATAAGGTGGTCAGTTGTGTACCTCTGAGGTAAGCTTTACCTCTTCGTTTCCTTTCTCTATGATGTACTGCTCAATCACGTCAATTTTAGATATTTTTCAATACTATTGTTAAAATAATTAATAAAGATTTGTTCTTTATTATTAAGAATGAGCAAATCAAAAGCTTTTCATCAACGTTTTGGTAATCAATTAATTTTTCCATGCATAATTGTTAGAATTAGCATATAATTTCCAAGTTTTAATTCAGATTTTGCACTTCGCCAAATTGAGGCTTAATCAGTGGTGGAGCTAAAGTGCAAAAACAGATGCAACACCAAATGATGTAGATTACTAGGAGTAAATATAAACATAAGTTGAAAAGATTATTAGGAGTTTAAATATAAAACATAAGTTACCAAGATTATTAGGAGTAAATATAAACATTAGTTACCTAGATCACTAGAAGTAAATATAAACATTAGTTACCAAGATTACTAGGAGTAAATATAAACATTAGTTACCTAGATTACTAGAAGTAAGTTTAAACATTAGATGATTAGTTACCAAGATTACTAGGAGTAAATATAAATATTAATTACCAAGACTTAATTATTTTAAGTAATTTAAAACTTCGCTCTTTAAACTTTTCTCTGATCAAGGGTGAATGAGATATCTTTTTATTAGCTAAAAATTGATTTTTTTCAAATGTGGCCTTGCAATGAAAGTACCAAACGGTTCAGATTTGAATCAAATCAAACCATATTAAAACATTATCTCTTGGTAAATGTTTCATCTTTACTCCTAGGTTTCGGTCCATTCAACCCTTCTAGGTAATTTCTTGGTGCAAACCTTGCTTTGTTCCTTGCTTAACCTTTGTGCAATATATGATGTCATTTCTTTAAAGGGACTGTACACGCTAGCTGACTTTATTTTTATCTCCTTCTTTAAAGGGATGTACATTGTAGACGCTAGCTGACTTCATTTTTATCTCCTTCTTTGTCGTTAGGGCATAAATGCGCAAAGCATAAGTAGAGAACCTGCAATTAAAAATAGATAAATAAGGATATCTCCATAATATTTATATATACAAAGGTTTAAAAAGCACTGTTGTGAATCGGGTGCGCACCTTTATATGAGAAGGGTAACTTGAAATCACGACCACAGCCTCTTTAATTAGATTAAGTAGAAATTTAGACGTGACTTTCCTTCTGAAGATTATGATCAATAAAACAATCTTAAACTGTAGAGTGTAGAATATAGCATCTATGAAACGTTTAAGATCAAAAATACTTTTTTCCTTCCCTTTATTCATCAAATTACAAGAATTAAAGAAACCAAGCAAATACTTGGTCAGGGGTTTATCTATATTTTAACAACAACCACTTCGATTTTCGATGCTTTTTGGGGGAAGGGAGGAATTGGAAATTTAAATTTACGTTTTCACACTTTTTGATTATACCTTTTAGTGCCCAAAAAGTCATTTTCCCCCAAAAACGCGCATAACTTTTAGGGGTGAAAGCTTTTTAAAGGACATGTTGGGACTGGTTTTTGAGGAATATATAATGTATAGACCCATGTACTTAATTGTATCTTGCTATCTGAGAAAGTGGAAAAAAGGACCTCAGAAAGATGTGTGGGGGGGGGGGGATGAACACTTCTACTAGTTTATCCTATGTGCGTATAAACGATACCGATTATACGCTAGTTTAAAGGATCTCCGTGGTTTTATACTTCCATATTTGGTATAACAATATTAGCCGAGCTGGGTAGTTTACGTCATCTTTCTACTTTACAACCAGGTGGTTATATTTACTACTTTACTCTTTTTTATACAGTGGGGAACATCAAACTGTGGAATAGAAATAATACATTTAAAGGAACTGTAAAGGAAAAATGAAAGGAGGTATAGGCTGAAACCTAAGCATTTTAGGAGTTAATATATATAAAATTTTGTATAAAAATAGTAGGTTTAAACGGATCATAATCAGCAAATACACAACCAATCTGAAAACAACGATATCCCAGAGGAGCTTAAGAAACTTAGGTTTGCTCCTGTTATTTTTTGAATTTAATGATTTTTAATTTTTAATAGATATAATTGATAATAATATTTGTACGTCCGTATTATGTGACCAGAACTCCCACAAATGGCAGTTCAGTATCATTATCACGTGACTCCGTCTATATCACGTGTCCAGTATACTGCACTGCCGGCTCGATAAACTCCTAAAATGCTTAGGTTTCAACCTATACCCCTTTCATTTTTCCTATACAGTCCCTTTCAGTAATCTTATGTATATTTGTATAAAGCAATGAAATGGTTTTACCTGCAGCTGAAAAATCAGTGTATTAAGTGTTTCATGATCATAGGACTATTAAGTTTCACAGCTTTATTATAACAATTGTCTTTATATTTACAGTTATAAGAAGGGTTATAATATTGCACCTTATTAATCACCATTGTGAATCTGGCATACCCCTATTTAAGTGGAGGGTCGATCCTATGAAAATTCAACGACAGGTTCAAGGTTATTTCTCGGTTTATAGTATAATAAATCATCTAAATTTGAAATATCAAAGGTTCATACCAATAGCTTGCACAAATATGGAGCAATTAAAAATTTGAGTTTGTGGCAAAGACTCAATTCCTTTGTTTGATGATTTTAAACTATATTGTTTGCACAAGTTTTATGAGTTTCTAAGTTTGTTTATGATTGAAATAATTTTTTTTTAATCGAAGATTAGTCTTTATCTTGGAAAAGAAGTGTCGATCACTAATAAGAAGGTCCCAAAAACAAATCTTAACCCTAAAACGTTTTTTTTTTCTGACAAAAATGTAATTTTTTAATTTCAGATTGTTCAGAAGGATTAGAAGAGCATTGTATACATAGTGTATATACAAACAGCATATAACCCTCTCTTTGTTTACAATGTAACTCTCAAGCTAAATGTAAACAAAGATGTAAGGAGCTGTTCACAAAAATATTTAGCAGTTACACATGGAGCTGCAAACGTTTAAGGGGAAGAATTGCACTGCATATCATAAACCAACTTGAGACAGAATTGTAACAAGTAAGTTATTTATCTTAAACCAACTTGAGTTTTTTTTGACAAAGGTGTAAAGGTTACTATTGTAAATCAAACATGTAACTCTTTAGGTGATGGGTCACTTAATCAAACATGTAACTCTTTAGGTGATGGGTCACTTGAAATTATGTTAGCAAACCCTTTAGGAGTAATTGAATCAATTGTCTGTGATACTACTGAACTAAATACCTTACTCCAATAATACTTCAGTCTGTATCAATCCTACAACTCTCTTTTCATGCTGACCGTAATCAAACAAATATCATATTCAACTAACTGTATTTTGGTATAATGTACAGATTAAGATTTAACTGCCCAATAATACGGCCAGGTGATTATAACGTAATATATATATATATATATATATATATTCAGGTAGGTTCAGGTTTACAAGATATGGGGTTTGTTACTATATATATTTATTACAATGATATAGTTCGATATTTGAAATATCTTTTTTCTACATTTTAAAGTTTTGTTCCCAAGAATAATAAATCAGAGAGTTTCATTTCCTTATTTTGATGTTTAGTTTGTTTCAAGGATCATTAAAATCAAGGTCAAGCACTGTTAAAAAGCTCTCACTTCGGCCTGTGTGCTATTTAAAGATATTTGACACATTTCAGGCATTTCCGACAAAAAGATGTGGGACGGCATAGTTACATAGTTTTCTAGAAAATGGACCTTGGAGTAATTTTCTGGTCAAAATATGAAGAGATGCAGGGTGTGCCACGAAACATGTCAGTTGGTGTGAAGTTTTAAATGTCTTCTTTCATGATTTTTAAAAGTTGTTTGATACCAAATTAAGTATAATAAAAATATTATATTTAAAACTAATTTAAAAATTAAATAATGTTGAATAAAAGATTTTTTTGTCACATATACAATTGTAAAACTAATTTAAAAATTAAATAATGTTGAATAAAAGATTTTTTTCAGTGAATTGAAATGCAAAAAGCTTTAATATCTAATACAGTTTATGAAAGAAGACCTTCAAAATTACTCATCGACTGACATGTTTCTTAAGACACCCTGTACTTGGGATTTCTTTGGGCCTGTTAAAGCACTGGAGGTTTGGCTGCCTCTTGTAATTTTTTAATTGTGTTCTGCCTCTTTTTGACCTTAAAAATGGATTAATAAGTTAAGCTAAAAAATTATATAAATTTTTTATAAAGAATTATTAAAATTCCAAATATCTATGGCAATTATAGCATATAAAAGAACTTAGACCCCATTTTTAAAAGCTTTTAATACCTTTTTTGGTACTCTATTTGATACTATTAAATCAAATTTCAGGGACGATCCTAATGCCGTCTGAAAATCTTTATTTTTCTGTGAACTTTTCATATTTACTTCCTCTATATTGAAAGATATCTCTTTTGATAGTTTTACATTGGTGTGCAATTAAATACTCTTAGTTTTAAATAGTTAACTACATTCACACTTAGACAATATTGAAAGGATGCAGTATTGCAGGGTGTCCTTAAATTTACCACCCAAGACAAATATTCAGTTGTACAGGGTGTCCCGAAATTTAGAACAATATTGAAAGATTGCAGCTTTACAGGGTGTCCTGCGATAAATTCACTAAGCAAGACGATATTGAAAGATTGCAATATTACAGGGTGTCCTGAGATAAATTCACTTTGCAAGACGATATTGAAATATTGCAGTATTACAGGGTGCCCTGCGATAAGTTCACTTAGCAAGACGATATTGAAAGATTGCAGTATTTTAGGGTTTCCTGCGATAAATTCTTTTAGTAAGACGAAATTGCAGTATTACAGGGTGTATTGCATTAAATTCACAGTAAAAAAATCCCACCTTTCCCTGTTTATTAAATCGTTTAAAGTAAATAACTCAAGCTATAAAAAGTTAGTTAAAAAATCAAATTTCAATTGTTTTTCGTTAAAAAGGATTTGATTGGAGGATTTAGATAGAGCATTATGATAGGTTTTAATATACTACTTTATGATATTCTACAAAAAAAATATTCATAAAACGTAAACATTTTTGTGTATGGAGGGGGGAGGGTTTTGTCTGAAAAGTACACCCCTGAACAGATATTTGCAAAGAGTATAAGGTCTAGAACATTAAACAAATAATCTACTTTCTCAAATCACCCGGAGCTCAAATACAAGATCAGCTGCTAAAGCATAACTGGGTATTTTTAAAAGGGGTTTGGGATAATTTTTAGAATGAAATTTTTAAATTCATGTCACGTGCCTTAACGTTTATTTTTTTAGCTTTAATAAGCCCCCCCCCCTAAATTGCCCCCAGAGCTAAATGTTAAGTTGCTCCAAAGAATGCTAATATATGACCAAAAGTTTGATATAAATACTTCATAATGAAAAACTAAATAGACATTGCAGGTAGAAATATTTTAATACAGTGATAATAGAGGATTTTTTCTACGCTTTTAGAATTTGATTTTTAAGAATTATTCGAAATTAATTGAATGTTTTTTTCACAACCATATATTGCTAGATTTTCGCACTTTTAAAATTTTTGAAAGAAATGGGCGTTTCTTTTTTCCCCGCCCATTTTTTATTTTTATATCCTCCCCATAAATTGTCTATTATTTATAGCCAATCTGTCTTAGGCTAGAGGCCTAGTTAGATAGTTAGCATTTTGGTAGAGTCTACTCCTCCCCATTCTAAAGATGGACATTGTTGCGTTTTTTAGTGTTTAAATGTTGCTTTTCAATCGTTCATTTTTCGTCGTAATTCTAAATCTTGATATTTTGGGATTTTTCTGTTATCATTGAGAGATTTCTAAAATTTTAAATACCCAAAATATTTTTAAGGCAACATTTTTCACTTTTAAGCTTCGATAAACCATTCATGGGGTCATATGAGTTCCACAAAAATATGTGGACCCGATTGGTTCAGCCGTTTTGTTGTTTGTTGGATACAGGCAGACGAGTAAGCCAAAAGAATATAAAATAAATTGTGCACAATATACAAGTTTGCAAACTTATATAAATTTAAATTTAGACTTTATAATTTAGAAATCAATTATAGATTATCGTGGAGCCAATAAAAAGTAAAAAGACTGGAATGTTTAAAAATCACATTTCGATGCCAGTCTCTATTTCTGACATCGCCAAGTGTTTAAAATTTTAGGTTAAATTTGTCAGAAAATATTTACTTGACATTGTAAAAACATGTTGTGAGATAAATGAGTTTAAAAATGAGCATAAACTTAAAAATCTTAGACAAAATTTTGATTATTTTAAATAGGTCTGATCCTAAACAATTTGTTGGGCAAATTATATTTTTGAATTCTTCCAATTGTACAAACATGTATTATTCAACTTAAGTGTCAATATTCTAGAGTATCAAAATTCACGGAGAAGATCATGAAAAATCCGGGAAATTTAAATTGTATGTCTTATTTTTCATCATAATTAAGAAATATGTAGAAATGTCAATGTTTTTGTTGTAGTTTTTAAGATCACATTTTCTTCCAGATTATTATAGAATTTCATGATCAAATTTGAATTGAAATCACGTAAAAAGCTGATATTTTTGCAGGTTAATGATTGTAAAGGTACTTACGTAATTTCAAGTGAATCTCCATTTACAACGGTTGGTCCTGAAAATATTTGTCTAATCGAGAATGAATTAAGATAGCATTTGCTGCACTGCACTGAACCAATGACGGAAATTGTCAAAATCAAACTCTGCTTGAACAAGCTAAATCTAGAAATAATTCAAATAATATATTATGTAAAAGTGTATCAGTTATGCTCTTCGAAGTTGTGGCTAAATCACGTTTAGCGACGGATTCTGGTAAAGTTTAAACTTATATTTGTTCTAATTCTAGGATGGGTAAGGACTACTACGCCACCCTGGGCGTATCGAGGGGTAGTAGTGACGACGACATTAAGAAAGCTTACCGGAAAATGGCACTAAAATTTCATCCAGATAAAAATACGGTAAGTTTTTATTAAACATTGTAATCAGACGTTTTAAGAAATATCAGATTAACTCAGTTTTTTTTCCTACTAAGAGATTAAAATAAAAAAATTTACTGGGCAAAAAAAGAATATAGAAAGGTTATTCGATTTTTCGTTTTATATGAGAAAAATAAAAAACATTGTTTTCAAGAATATGAAATATGAAATTATAACTTCCACTTTTCATTTACTTCCATGAAAAGATGATTCAATTTCTAGGATTAGCTTAGTAATATGTTTGTTCTAAAACTGATAAGAAAAACAACATTTATTATTGAAGATTGTACAAAAATCATGAATTACTAATTTTATAAATCACGATGAGTGATTTAGCGTCTGTAAAAAGATTATATTTCCGTAAAACAACATGAAAAAGATTAATTCTTCAATTTTACAAGAAGAATGAAAGCAATTGAAAGTTTTATTGGTTAACATTTTTTTTAAAGATACAAATTTATGGATGAGAGTAAACTAGTTTAATTAGGTTTGAACTAGATACTCAATTACTATAGCAGTAGTTGAGTATCTAGTTCAACTAACTCTCTCTGTTCATAAATTATGAATACGGAAATGAGATTTGTACTTTATAACTATAATTTGAAGGAAAAACTAAGCATAACTTGGAAATGATTTCTTAAATTTTCTTATTAACTAAAATCCCTATAGGAGAAGTATTTAAACAACCCCGACCCAGTTAACTACAGTTATATGCGATTATATTAATATAATTAAAAGCAAATATAATTTAAAGCAAAAGTAGTTTTCATTGTATTGTACTTATTTCTGGCCATTAATAATTTCTAACCACTTGGTGACCGTCGTTCTAATAATGCTTTTTCACCTAAACATTTTTTATCACTATTAAAAAAGTGAAAATATTTTTAGAATTCTTTTTTCTAAACATTTCCCTCTCTTACAAATTTTGACCCTAAGAGAAGAAATATGCAAAAAAACGATCCAAAACGATCTAAAAACGATGCAAAACGAACGTATTTTAGCGATCGTTTTCCATTTTTTCAGGATAAATTTATTGCATAGATGAATAAAAGAAAACTTTGACATACACCAGTCTTGAAAAGCTAGAAGTTTTATTCAATTAAAAAAAACTTTCCAAAACCATTAACAAATCTGTGTGTATTTAGGATGAAGGCGCAGAGGAGAAATTTAAGGAAATTGGAGAAGCTTATGAAGTTCTAAGGTGAGATCCTTATTGCTTTTCTTAGTATTTTCCGTTTTTCAATGAAAATTATTAAGTTTTTAATTGTTTTTAAAATATTATGATTTTCGAATTAAGGTTAGATCATTTGAATTTGCGTATCATATTGTGCCTGCCAATGTACACAAAACTTCGATAAAATCCAGGAAATTTAAAATCGGATAAAAATAGATATTCAGAGAAAATGTAATTTTTTACAGTTTTTTTTCCTCATATAGTTTTTGTTCGTTTATTTTTTTAACCGATGATCAATTTCTTCTAATTAATTTTTTTTAATATTTATAATTTCAGTGACAAGGAGAAGCGAGGCGTATATGACCGGTTAGGGGAGGAAGGGCTCCGCCGTGGCGGAGGCGGGGGTGGAGGAGGCGGAACCAGCCACACTCCAACCTATACCAGACACTTCTCATTCCATCCCAGGGATCCATTCGATCTTTTCAAAACATTTTTTGGCGGACACGATCCATTCCTTGATCCGTTCGGCGGAGACCCATTCCATACACGATTCCACCAACAGGTAGAACAAAGTTTTTAATTTTTTTTAAAATAATAACAACTGACGCACAACTAGGAGTGGGGGGGGAATCGCCCTCCCCCAATAAGAAATAGACCAAAAATACCGAAAACTTCATGACTTCTCTCAGAAAGATTCGAAATTTTAAGATTAATTTTCCCTCATTCTAGTTTAAAAGTTTACACCCCAGTTTCGCCTCTCAAAACCAAAATTTAAACATGGATTTTGGTGCTTCTTGTATTGTCTTAGCTCGGGTGTAATTTTATAAACATTTGATTTTTTATTGGAATCAAGCTCAAATCAATCAAATCTTCATTTTTCGCGAAAATGACAAACACGGTAAATATTTGAAATTCCAGCATTTTATTTAAAAAATTACTTGCTTTGAATATTTATACAATATCGTTATTCTGTCATCAAGGGTTAAAACTACTTTACTGGGAAGTTAAGAAATTTACTTTACCAAGGATCCCAAGACCAATTTTGCCTACAAAACATCGAAAGCGCAGCAAGGGATGTTTTGTGGGCAAAATTAGTTGGGGGAACCTGTGGTTAAGTAAAAATTTTAATTTTCCTAAAAAGTACAGGGTGGCCCAAAAAAACAGGATGATTTGTTAGCCCTTTTAATCGTTAAAATGGATCGACAATTTGCTCCTGCATAAAGTTTTTAATTTTGAAGGGGTCGTTTTTTTTGCCGTCCCATTCTTTTATTTGGCGTATAACTATGTCGAATATTCGAAAATCTCTCCGCTGCTAACTTACGATAACCAAAATTGTTTAAGAAACAATAAAAATCTTTTACATTTATGTGAACCCCCTTAGATTTTTATTCTGTGTTTTGAGTATTTTCTGAAATCCAAAGTGTAAACGGTGTGAAGAGAAGCCTTAAAAGAGAGTTATTGCAGCAATCCCGGCCTCAATGGTTGAGAACAGTTTTGATGAACCCGAAAACCAGGCGATTTTTTGCATGGCATCAAATTGGGGCCTTCAGAAATAATTTGAAATTACATCATAATAATCTAATTAAGTATTGATTATTACAGTTTCTAAGCATATTTTTCTAGGTTTTCGAATACTAAGACACTATTTTGAGTCATTGTAAAAGATTATTGGGGCTTAAAAACGCGAATCTCTTTTTTTTGGGCCACCCTGTAGTTTTACACATTACACAATTTTATCACTTGTTTTAATGAAAATGCGCGATCTTTTCATGAAAACCTTGTAGAGCGGGTGGTTATTTTACTTAATTGTCCCAAGGGACGTAAAGTAGCTATACGTGCCTCTGTTGGGGGAATCCTAGGTCGGTAATGTTGGTCAAACGGCGGTAACAAATAAAACAAAGTGATCATTATGATCAAGGATTTAGAGAAAAAAACATTTTGAAAACTTATATTTTGATTTTTTTCTTAAGGCACATCAGAATCATGCAGCAAGTATTTTCAACAACCATCCTTTCTTCAATGGAGGTGATTCATATTTTATTGAAAGGGACTTAAAGTAAATCAACATTTATTTAGTGCTATTTCCGATTCACAAAGGTACCCTCAAAAGCTGTCTTATCAAAGATTTATGAGATATCCAACATTCTCTCTTTCAAAATTGATAAATTTTAATATTAATTTCTCTGTAGAGTGATTGCGTCGTAAACAAAGGAGATGCACACTTCATAAGCTAAAAAAATCATCCACATTAATGAAGAAACAACGGTTTGAATGGTACCGTTGGCAATAGGAAAGTCATTTTGCTTTTACCTTTTCTTTGTTATAAAATTGTTTCTGATATTTGGTTTTTTCATGAATTGTAATTTGCGGGAATTTTAATTTCAAAATTTTGCGTTTCATTACATACTATAAAAATGCAGTGGTAGCTGCAGTAGCAGTGGCTTCAGTAGCCACAACTGTAGTTACAGCGGGAATGGGATTGACTACTGCAGTAACAGCAGCAACTGCCGTAATAACGGCAATGGCTGCAGCAACAGCGGTACTAATGGCGTTGGGAGGAGCGTTAGCTACTGTAGCAGTAGCATCATCATTGGCAACCGTTCTGGCAATAGCAATTGCGTTGGTCATGATCATAACATCATTGTTGGCAATGTCAATGGTGACATGGTGGTTAGTGGCAAAAATATCAAAACGATACTGGAATCGGGCTCAGAAAAAGTTTTGGCAGAGGTTATTTCCGAAGACTGTGACTCGATAAGAAAATGGTGTAGGCATCCAAATTAAAAGATTAAAAACGACTGTTGATGTGATCTCATATTTGCTTATAAGAGATTTGTGTGATTTTCTATTATTTTGTACATAATTCTATTGTTTTTTACATAGTTCTATTATGATTATTTAAATTTTCCAGTTGATCATAATATCTGAATCTTTTTAAATACTTCTGATTGATTTAAAAGAAATAATTTTAAAGGTCATAATTTTTTTAAAATAGTGTATGTGTCAAAATTGCAAATATCAGGATGTTAAATGTGACTTTTTATTTTATTTTAAAGCTAAAATCTCAAAATAAAGTTATAAAAAGATTAAAATGTTTAAAGAAAGAGAAAGATGAATGTGTTTACACCTCGTGGGTATTTTCTTCATTTTAAGAAAAGAACATTTCTTTTAAATCTTTTCAAAAGAATGTCAAATTTTGAGATTTGTTGAAAACCGTAGGTTTTTACAGTAAAGTAAATGGATGTTAATTTATTTAACTGTCCCTTGGGAAAATTATGTAAAATAACTTGTTTTCATTACAAATTAACATGATTACAGTAGGACTATTTTGGGCAGTCTGGATATTCGATTTTGTGTTCCTTTCAACAGATTTACACTTGATTTGATGAGGTTTAATTACACTTTCAAAAAGTATGTCGGACAATTACACTGTGTAAGGGTTCAGAGCTAGTATACTTGATGATATGCTGGATGGGGGAGGGTAATGGCGGTCTATCATGGACCTTTCTGAGAATGTTGGGAAAGAGGAAAATGTCCTTTATTTTACTCAGATGAACTTCGTCTACAGTCTCTTTAATATACTTGTTTCAGGACTGTAGTTGGTGGTGATGGACGAATAAGAAGAGAAATGAGATTTAGAACTCCATCAAGTTCTAGGTAATCTTTTTTCAAGACTCTGGCGGCAAAAAACGATCATCTAGCTGTTTTCCTTTATTTCAGATATTTGTTCCCTGAAATTTCATTTATTTACTCAATTCAAAAAATAGTTTAAAACCCCTAAAACTAAATATTTTCTCATCAAAAACCAAAGAAAACTCTTTATCAAGTAAATTTAGGCCAATTCGATAAATCTTCTTTTATAAACTTGTCATTGAACCTTTTTTTGAAGGCTTTTCTTATTTGACAGGGTTGAGGGAGATGCCATGGGGCAAGCACAGACAGGTTCAGGAGCCAGTGACCGGCCCGGCTTCAGGAGACAAACTTCAGAACCTAATGGTCATCCTTCATCGCTACCTTCAGGTTTGATTCAATAGAGAAGTCTTGATACATTTTCAAAACAAACAAAGTTATTATATTTTCCTGTTTATTTAAACGGATTTCTTGCAAATTATTTACCAAACTAGGCTTACAGGGCGCTTCGACCCACTTGATAATTTTGGTTTTATCTGTTGTCCTGAAAGAGAACATTTTTAGTAATTATCAAATTTCCGCTATATTTAGATTTACATTGGCGCATTAAAAAAAATCCGGTTGAAATGCTGAACTACTAAGGAGTAAAAAAACGGATTGTTTTGATGCAAGACGCTGATAAAGTGCAGAGCTAGAATTTACTATTTATAGGATTGATTTTAGGTCGGGCAAGAGCTGGAACTGCCGCCTCTACCCAGGGGCGAACTCCTGAACGTGTTGGAGCAAGGGAGAGAGAACGAGGGCGCGGAGAACAAAAGGATCGAGGTGAACCCGACGGAGAGGTGACCTTGAAGGAAAACGGCGCGGCTAAACCAGCGGCAACTGGAAAATCGTCGACGAGAAGTAAACTTCAGGTGGTCGAGAAGGAAACGGAAAGGGCTGGATATCAGAAACCAACTCAGGTAGATTTTATTTTGATCTTATACTAAAGTGTCATTTATATACTCAATAGGCTTTGAATTTACAAAAAAATTTACAGTGAAGTTAGGATGATAAAAAAGATAATTAAGAAAAAAATACATTCTGTTGGTTTTAGTTTTAAAAAGTATTTTGTTCTAGTCGAGTAGTAGAAGAAGTGGTAAAGAAGAGACGGGATCTAAAGCCCGCCAAACATCCCGCCGTGGTGGTGAGGGACGGAAGAATGGCGAGGGCGGGAGGAAGGATGGTGAAGGATCCTCCTCCAGGCTTGTCCAGTGTCCTCTTTGTGGAAGAAACTTTGCCAAGTATGTATTTTATTTACATAGAAATTATTTTTGTAAACTTTTAGAATTGGTAATTGTTTTATACTTTTTTATACAAATTTTAGATGTTGAACAAAGTGATTTTTGTTGATCAAAGTGATTTTTAAAAAAGGGAAATAATTTCCAAGAAAACGTGAGAAAACGTAAATTTTTTTGGTATTTAAAAAGATTTTTTCACATCATGCAACGATTTGTTAATGAATTGTTGTAGTTTGCATTTGTGCTTTTTAACACAAAATAAATAACTTTATCTTCTTTGTAAGTCAACAAGATATTTGTAAATTTAAAAAACATATTTTTCCAGATCTGTGATAGAAAGTCATGCCTCCCGATGTGAAGGATGTTACACACCAGACAAAGACGACACAAAAACCGAAGTTGAATGCCCTGTTTGCCGTGAATCTTTTCCGCAGGAAATTGTGGAAAGACACGCGGCGCGCTGCGTGGAAGTGTATGTCTAATGTCGACTTCATAATACAACCATTGATATGAGTGTAACTAACAAAAGAGTCCTGGCGATTCAAGCAAAAATAACCTCTTAAAATTATAGTTAAATATGATTTTGTTACAATTACAAGGCTTCTTGCCGGTTCAATTCTAAATTATAGTGCTAGAGAAAAAGTGCATAGAATAGAGAACTATTTTCAGGTGCAATGTAGAATAAAACGGTCTTCTTAGAAGTTATACTAAAACTATAAAGACTACAGCATAACCCACCGTATTAATAAAGTACAAACTTATACTAAGTACTATAGTGAAAAAGTAAGACTATAATCCAGTGGTTAAAGGACCTCTGTTGAAAAAGTTACATGCCTGGTTCACATCATGCTTCTTAAACCTTGATTTATGATGAGGAAGATGTTGTTTTCGCAGAATTTATAGATAGAAGTATTTTTGCCGTCCAAGTTCTAATTGGAATGGAAATTTGATGTTATTGCCCTCGATAAATGTTAAAAATTTGAATTTAAGATTTGAATAATATGGAAACATTTCATAATAATATTGTACTACAGCAGCCGTGACCTAAAACCACTAATTTAAGGCATAAAATCTGTCAATTTATGCTGAGAGTTGAATTAGCCTAAATTCATAAATTATACGAGATAGTCAGGAGTAAGATTAAAGGGCTTGTCAATGTAATTAAAAGTCACCCTTTAAAGGGACTGTCAATGTAATTCCAGTTGACCCTCCATGGAAAAAGTGGGCCGATTCGGTTTGTTCTTGATCATACGAAACTTTTAATGTTACCGTTAAGAATCGCACAAGGCACTCTATAAATGGAGGGTCTTCTAAAAAGATGAAAGTTTACCCTTTACATTCCGGGTAAATGAAATAGATTTAACAACTTTATCAAGACACATGAATATACCTTTGTAATTAATTGCATATCTACAAAAATAACAATTATACAGTGATCACTAATATAAATAGAAGACTTGTTGTCTTCTTTTTTTCTTTGAATTTTCTAAATAATCAGTACACACTGCGCACACTGCACATTGTGACATTTATAATTAAAGGAAGGCAAAAAGGCAATGATTCATTATTACTTAGGGTTTCACTGTAGTTAAAATATATAAATGTTATTTATTTTTAAATTATATTTAAACTGTTAACTTTCTAAATTCTAAACCTAATTATCCTATTTTCTGTATCAGATGTTTATTAGATTAAATCTTAAACAGACATAAATATTTAAGAGTCATTCTCCTGAGTCCCTACACGTTGTCAAATTTTTATCTAACAATTGTTTAAGTAACTGAGCCAAATTATAGTAGTACAAGTCTTCAGAATTTGACGAATGAGATATTTAATTCAACAAAGTGTCTTAAAAAATGTTAGAATTTCACAAGAAAACGATTTAAGAAATAAATTTTGCCCGCAAATCGTAATATTGTTTAAAATCTTCAAACTTTAGACGGCTTCTACGAATCCTCCCAAGTGAATTGGATCAAAAATATGAATTCCCTGAAAGCTTTCATCAATGTTAACAATATAAGCCACGAATATTATGATATTTTAGATTGCGTACTTATATTTTTTTTTAGACAAAAATAGCCTTATCGGGATATAGAATGTCAGTATTTCTATTAGAGATTGTGCACGAAGCACAGATGAGAATATTGTTCTTTTTATTTTTAATTTTAATGGCTATAATACTACTATGAATGCGTTAATGCATAATAGAGTCAATGGAGGAAGGGGGGGGCAAAATTTAGGGTTGGCCCCCTCCATTTGTTGTGCCACCGAGGCCCCACCCTGAGGGGTGGGGGGCACCCATGACCCATGGGGGGGGGCTCTTTTAATATTATTTTTGCATGTATTTCCCTACAAGGCTTTGCAACCTGGCCCGTTTAAATATTCATTCTGATATATACTGGATACTATCCAGTGGATAGTATCTCACGCGAAAAAATATTGAAAAGATTTGTTGTAAAAAACCCAAGGGTTCTCGTTTTAGGAAGCGGTATTTTTAAAGCTTTTCATTACCTTTTTAAAAAAACATTTTGTTAATTTCTTTTTTCTTTTTTTTTAAGTTCACAAACCTAATATTAAAGCAGTTTAATTAATATAGAATAAATTGAAAGGTTTAAAGTGATGCAGCAGACATAATTTCAATTTTGATTTACAACAATACCTTTCAAAACTTTGTCTGATCGAGTATTGCATTAAATATCCATGTTTTCCATTTTGAAAACTCATTATTTTCATTAGTGGTTTCTCTACAAAAGTGACTCGACATGCATTTCTTGCTTCAGAAATGAAGGTTTAAAGGTATCATCGGATATGCCACTCTATAAATGGAGGGTCACTTGAAATTATGCATGTTTTTCATTTAAGTATAATTACATCGTATAATTACATCGTAATTACATCTTGCTTCAGAAACGATGGAGAAATGAAGGTTTAAAGGTATCATCGGATATGCCACTCTATAAATGGAGGGTCACTTGAAATTATGCATGTTTTAAATTTAAGTATAATTACATCGTATAATAAAAATAGTTTAAAATGTCACTTTTGCCCTTAAATAAAAAAGTTTCATTAAAAAGCTTTAATCATGATACTGCCTTCACATGTAAAATATATATTTGATATCATTATTATATAAAACAATTTTTTATCGATCCTATGAAAACATAGATATTGTTAACCTTTGAAACTTACAGCCACAGTAAATAGTAATAAGAGGGAGTTTTTGATGAGTCTACTTAAGGGAATTACATAAATTATTTTAACACTTAAAATATGGAAGTTTGTATATGATCGATATAGTTTACATAGTCAATAAAGGTATCAATATTTTAAAGGGGGGGGGGAGGGCACAACATTTTTTTACGCGCTGACGTGCGCTAAATTGGCCCCCCTGACAAATGCTCTCGTACGCCCCTGCCCTCTCCATGTAAACGCCCCTTATGTAAATGAACAAAGTGTATTCTTTTCGAAGACGACTTTTAAAAATATGACGTCTAAATGCGTACATTTACGCATGAATCTTTCAAGTTTAAAATTCGGAAAATAAATTTACAACAAAAGAAAACATTATTAATTTAGTTCAACCAATTCTCACCCAAATAGTTTTCAAATTATAAATGCACATTTTATTTATAAAATTATCAACTAAAAAAAATTGGCGAACTTTATGCATTTATAAATTTCGTATCTTATACAATTTGATTTATATCTAAAATTTATATTGAAATTCAACAAAAAAAATCCGTTTCGCTGAAATAAATCAAAAAAAATATTTTAAGAAAATTATCGATTTCCGAAGTTTACAGATAAACATATGATAACCGTTTAGTTTAGTGTACACACTTCACACGAACACAACAAAGTGCAGTTTACTCGCTTCGAAGGCTTAATTTAAGGAAGTACAGTGAGAACCAGAAACTATGGAACAAGGTGACGACTTTTAGACTAAAGTTATTACTTTCCATAGTTTCCAATAAAGCTATTTTGCGTGTTAAAAGGCCCAATTCGCTTACATACAGTAATAAAGTTACTGTAAAACTAATTGTTTTGTAACGATGCATAAAATACATTTAATTAATATTGTCGTCTTTCTAATTCAAAGCTTTCTTGTTTTCACTGTGTGACTGCAAGCGTGTATGTACATTATTTATAAGTTTTATGATGATATGAATATTTGGGGTCTGTCCTAGTGAACGATTTTATATCCTATCAATTTTTTACCTATGATTGTTTATTATTTATTTTTTATTATTTTTAAGTTAGGTTAGGTTAAGACTATTTCTGGGCCGAGCGCTGCGGCTTGGACAGGCTAGAGGGGTCGAGCGCTGCGGCTAGGACAAGCTAGGGGGTCGAGCGTCGCGGCTAGGACAGGCTGGCCGGGCGCTGCGGCCACATGAGCAATGATAACTATGTACAAATCTGATCGATCTCTAGGATTTACAAATATTTGTGACTCACAAATTTTAAGCGATTGCAATTGCGTACAACGGTAAACTTCATAAAACATTGTTACATCATGGAATATTTAAAAATTTGTTGGCCACACCCAGGCCCGTAGCCAGGGGGGTGCAGGGGGACAGGTGCACTCCCTTTCTTCTGAAAGGGGGATGCAATGACGAATTTGTAGCCCCCCCCCCCGTCCCATATTGAAGAAATTGTTTCTCATAATTTTCTAAAATCTAGTTATCAATTATATAGCCCGAGTAAGAATTGATTCCCTTCCCAAACCAAATTATAATCTATTTGAGTGTCACTCATTAAAAGTGTGTGGGGGGTGTCTGTGTGTGTGTAGGTGTTCTCTGTCAACCCTTAAAAGCTCAAATACACTTATTAAAATGTTAGTCTTTATAGTGTGCATTGGCAATGTAATAAAAACAACCATATACCACTAAAAAACAAACCAAGCTTTGTTAAAGAAAAAATCTTTTTCGCTTGCGGCGCGTCTTTTTTCCCCCCCCCCCCCTGGAAATATCCTGGCTACGGGCCTGGTCACACCTGCCCCCCCCCCCTTTCACTGCCCTCCAAAAATCCAAAAGTTTATTTGTTGAAAGAAACGGAAAACGGATAAATGCCATCAGCTCCTTTCTTATCAATGGAATTTTCTGTTGTTCAAGCAAAATATTGTTAAGGTCCAGGCGAAATATAAAAAATATACGCCTTCAATAAGCTTTTGGAAAAAATCTGCATTTTTCACCATTTGCAAATTGTTTTGGTGAACTTGCATTTTGCATCATGGCAAGACCTTTTTTTTGATAAAATATATTTCCTTTAACCAGAGGCGGTGCCCCAAATGGGCTATGGGGGCTCAGCTACGCTACCTGCTACCCGCCCCCTCCCAGGCCAGTAAAATCTATAGTTTTCAGGGTTTTTTTTGCTCTAAACGGTGGTAAGCCACCCCCCCCCCGGACAAGTTCCTGAAGACACCCATGCCTATATAACCGTTTTCTATTGTAAAAAGATCTATGAGTTTTATTACTTCTAGGGTAGATGTTTAGTTTTTAGTGTTTAGTGTTCAATAAACACTTAGATATGTCATTCATTCCTTCATTCATCCTTGTATCCTATATTACGACAGATGGGGAGAGGGGGGGATGTTCTTTTTAATTGTTTGTTGTAGCTTTAACAATATTCAAAGAAGGACTTGAGATAAAAAAGATGAGCAGTTAAAATGTTATTACTCAGGGGCTCAAATTTTTTATCTGCCGAGGAGAGAGGGCTCGGCACCTTATGACGGCCAAAATCTCCTGGTAGCTACAGATTATAATGATACATAGCCCCCCCCCCCTGTGCACACCTCGGCAGTATTCCTCTTTTCCTCTTAGAAAACCCCTTAACATTTTGCTATCGAATTAGCGAAATTGGGAAATCAATTTAAGTGAACTTCTATATTAAAGTTTTTGATTGTTTATCGATTTTTCAAATATTTGACGAAAAAACTTTTTACTTCTGTTTTGCTCTAAAAAATTTGGTAATTTCCTTCATTCAATAGTGATCAAATTTTCCCAACAGCAATCTCCCCATTCATTTATTTACCTAACAACAACTACCCCATCACTAATTTCCCCTGCAGTCACAACTTCGCCAACAACAAAATAAGTATAAATATTAAATATAGTCTACCAAGTACAAACACTGTGAAGGGATAGATATTAAGAATTTTATGTTCCATTTTTGCGTTGAGTAAATGGACCAACACCATAAAAAACGTCAACCAGATAAAAATTGATTCTTAAACAAAAATTAAATACGACTTATGACACAGATTATAATGAAAGATTTTGATTGCGATAAGACAATATTTTATGCTATTTTTCTGCCGTTTTACGCTTATGTGGAAAAAAATTTAAAAATTGTGATCGGGGTGGGAAGGAAGGGTGCTGCATATAGTTTTCTCACTTATTAGCATTTTCAACAATTGGGAATATTTTATTTGTTTTAAATTTCTTGTTCAACACATTTATTCTCGTGCAATATGTGGGTTTTACAATTTTTATAAAGCATGAAAAACATTTTGAATTTTTTAAGAGCCCTTTACATCGCCAAAAAAGTATAATCTGGAAAGCGAATTATACTTGCGAATGGCTTAAAACTTTTCAATATAAAGTTCAAGAAGAAAATTCAAATCAATTCGATTTAATAAAATTCTATTGGCGTCTGAACCGAAAGCACTGATTTAATGTTTTAATTTCATTGAAGAAATTGTTACAAAGTTCTTACTTTTCTTTAATATTTCTCTGTTTATCCTATTCCTTCCTTACACCTCGGTTCCTATTCTCTACTCTTACATTTATTTAATATTTCTCTGTTTATCCTATTCCTTCCTCACACCTCGGTTCCTATTCACTACTCTTACTTTTCTTTAATATTTCTCTGTTTATCCTATTCCTTCCTTACACCTCGGTTCCTATTCTCTACTCTTACATTTCTTTAATATTTCTCTGTTTATCCTATTCCTTCCTCACACCTCGGTTCCTATTCTCTACTTTTACTTTTCTTTAATATTTCTCTGTTTATCCTATTCCTCCCTCACACCTCGGTTCCTATTCTCTACTTTTACTTTTCTTTAATATTTCTCTGTTTATCCTATTCCTCCCTCACACCTCGGTTCCTATTCTGGGTCTCTTGATTTTGTAAAGATGGGTGTTTCCTTTTATAAAGTAACTTTCACGTCATGTATTCAGATATACATTATGTCACAGTTCCTTATTTAGTTCTGCAATATATATTTATTTTAGAACTTGGAAATTTGTTTGCTTAAAGGGAGTGTTGACGTAATTTCAAAAGACCAAGTTAAACTTTCAAAATTATTTCTTTTAATCCCTTATCTGAGTAAAACTAAGTAAGATATTGTCGTGAGTTCATATTTAATATTTTTAATTAACTACAAAGCCTGAGATAGATAGATAAAGTTTATTGCTGAAGTACATGTATCTATGTTTACAGAACGAGTTTAAACCAATCTTCTATTTTAGAGAGCTCCAAAGGAGTTGAGTTTTTGCCACAAATTCTGATTTCTAACCATTTTATCTTTATAACCTGATGTCTCATGCCTGTGATATTTCAAACTATAAAGTCTTTTAGATTAAATAGTCAAAGTTTGAAATTTTTTAAGGTTTACACCATCAGGTTGTAAAATTATTGGGATTAGACCATTTCAGTTTGTGTGGGAAAAACTCAATTTCTTTGCCAAATCATATAAGTCTTGGAAGCTTTTTTAAGAAAGTTGCAGTGTTGTGTCTTCAGCAAAAAGAATTGTAAAAAATGTCGATGCTTTAGAAGTTTTAGAAGGTCTTTAAAATAAGCAATCACAATTTACAATGCAGTTTGGACCAGGGTAGGTTGTTTTGGGTGGTTGGCTCTAAGTTAGTTAACTATACTAAATATAATTGGATACGCACATCAACTTATGTTTTGGGATAGGTAGGGAGTTGATTGGAAGGTAGAACATTGTAAGATAACTGCTCTGTCAATTTCTTGCATGTACTCTCTGTTGCATAAATCTAAAATCACTATTAAAGTAAACCCCTTAAAAGTACCAATATTCAGAAAAACACGCGGGTCACTTCAAAGCTACGTTGTCTTTACTTTTAACTCTCAATCCTTTTTATTGATTATCCCCTGTGACTTTATTTCCCCTTGAATGGATTTCATCAGTATAGAAACGTACTTAGAAAACCTCTTTTTTTAACACAATTCCTATTCTTCATAGATCTCAGCCTATGCCAACCCCCCACCCTTTTATTGCTTTCCTCTCTCTCGTCCCATTCTAGGGAGCCACGTCTCAACCCCNCCAGCAATTTTTGGACAGTTTGTTTAATGTTTTCTCACAGTTTTGTGTACATATTTAACTATATGATCTGAGAAAACGCTTGGGAATAATTTTTTACATTTTATCTTCGATGTGTCATTTGTAATCCCTTCCTCCCTCCCCCCCCCCTTTATATGTTTCCCCATTTTCTTTAGTATTTTACCGTTTTATTTATCTCATTCCAAGAATAAAAAACGATAATTTCTTCTATAACGTTTAAATGGTGAAGTTGTAAACCGGGTATATACAGCAAGCTATTTAAATGCAGGATCACATGAAAGTGCATCGACAACTCACAATTTTAGGGATTATTTTGTTTCCCCTCTCCCCCACCCCTCTTTTTCTAACTGATGGGTGATTTTATCATAGAATAACTTCATATTTTAATTTTGATCAACACAATTGAATTCTATATGATGCCACAGTGAAAAAAGGAAACTATAAAGGTGGAAATTTTTGAATGAAATAGGTGTAATACACTGAACGGATAAATCTATTAGCTTAGATCAACTTGAACCAGAGAACGGGCATTATTTCTGTGTTTTTAAATGAAGTTTGCTTAGCATTAAAGCTTTAGTATTAAAAAAGGGTTTAATATTTTAATGTTTCATAATGAAAAGCATTGAAAAATCTCAAGACTCAAAAAAAGGAAATCAACTTCCCAAACGTGAATTTGATATGATAGACCCTAAATTTCCTGCTTTAAATTAGAGTGCACAACAAACCTTATATAAGGATCAATAGTTGAGATTGAAACTTTTGGTGGAGCTGGTATTAAAGGGACTGTATTTGTATTTTCAAGTGACCCTCCAATGCGAGAATGGTAATTCCCGATTTTCAACGATATCCTAAAAGCTATGTCTGATCAAGTACGAATTAGAGGTCCATGTTTTGTGTTTAAAAACTGCTGATTTAGACTTATGGTTTGTCTGCAAAAGTAACCCGCGCTTTTCTTTCTTTTTAGAAAGATTGGAAAAATTACCAAAATTGAACAACTTTCAGTCAATAAAAACGGCGTTTTCTTGCAAAGTTTTATTTGTCATATTAATGTTTTAAGGGTATCCGTACCACCGATGTAAATCGGGCATTGCCATCTTTGCCAGAAGGGTCACTTTAAATTAAATTAGGGTCCATATTTACCATAAAACGAAAATTCCAATTCATTCCAAAATGAAAAATTCCGATTTTGGAGTTAAGTTTAAGATGCCAATTCAAAATGGTTTTATACCTTTTATCTAAATAACAGTCAGGAAGATATTCTAAGTTTTCTGAAAAACTGCATAAATCTGCAAATTAAAGAAAAAAAACATTTTTAAATAATCATTTTTAGATTGAGCACTTACCCCGTTTTGACCAATTAAAAGTTTGGGACTCTGGTCCGGAACTTGAACTATGCATGCAAGATTAAATACATTCATGAAATAGTATTAAGTTTCAATTTGAACTATTAGCTGGTGCTTGCAGAGCAATAAGAACCTGATTTCAAATAAGAATATTTTTATGTAAACATTTTTCGCTTGAGTTGTTAGAATATCAGATTGCATCTTAGATTCTCTAAGATCTTTTTAATTTAGCCTTTAAGAATTTTAAATGTCAGAATGTTATGCTTCTGAATTTTTTTCCTGGATGTAACGAGCTTTGAAGAAAGGCAGTAAAACTGTAGTCGTTAGTTATATAGTTGTATGTCAGATTAATAATGGTACCCTTGAAACCTTGGTCTTTATTTTCTCTTTGAAAGTGATTTGCCTATTCTTTCTGCAGATACAATGGGGAGTAAAAAATCAGAATTAAACACTTTTTCAGTATATTAAAGGGAGTGTTCGCGAAAAATGAAAGGGGGTATAGGCTTAATGCGATAACTTAATGCGATAAAAAAGCGCTATTGATCGCTACTAATCTTACTTCTATATGTTGCGTCTATAAGGAGAAAATTGTTAAAAACGACAAATACCGAAGAACGTAGTGTCCATACAAATTCAGAAAGATGCAACATACGACTTAGACCGTAAAAAAATCTATTTAATTTCAAACAAATCATTCAGATATTACACCCTATGGTCATCGATTATCTTTGGCCACATTTGAATATTGTTGATTTTTCATAATATGTTTTAATTGTTATGATCTGAGAGTTATTTATAAAAACATTTATTCCTGTTACGATGATTTTTCGTAATGAAGACGACATTTTAATATTTTCCAGGAATTTTCGAAAACAAGTTGTAAGCTAAATATTATTTTAAAAAATAAAATCAAAACATATTATGAAAAATCAACTGTATACATATCTGGCGAAAGATAATCGATGACTATAGGTTGTAATATCTGAATGATTTTTTTGAAATTAAATAGATTTTTTTACGGTCTAAGTCGTATGTTGCATCTTTCTGAATTTGTATGGACACTACGTTCTTCGGTATTAGCCGCTTTTAACAATTTTCTTCTTATAGACGCAACAGATAGAAGTAAGATTAGTAGCGATCAAACGCGCTTTTTTATCGCATTAAGCCTATACCCCCTTTCATTTTTCGCGAGCACTCCCTTTAAACGCCGATGTCTTCCACATTATTGATCAGATAAAGGTTTAAAGGGTTCTGTTGTCAATCGTGAACGTCCCTTTACAAATAAGAGTTCCATTACAATTACTATTACTTCTAACCTTTAGGTATCACCCCCCCCCCCACCGCATTTTTTTCTTTAAAGTTTAGAGCTAAACAATCTAAATTGCATTTTTGTTTTTCAAGCTTTATTTTTTAAATCTTTTTTTGATTTTTTTCTAAAATTATTGCTTTGATAATTTTTAAAGAAATACTATTATATACTTTTAAACATATCATTGGAAATAAAGTTTTTTTATCAAAAGATGCATAAATTAAACAAATTGAATTAATAAATATTTATATTTTTATAGTTATCCCTAAAGCTGTGCTAAAGTTTATGATCGTTTTTTGTGTTGTTAAAATTAAATTTCCCAAGATGAAAATGTAAGAATGGACCGAGATGAGGGTGGGAGAAGGAAGGTTCTAGTAGCTTTATTTAATTCTAGTAAACCAGGTATTATACAGTAATAATTTTAATTAAGGAAATAAGTCATTGCCACAAACTCTGAATTTCTAATTCATATATCTTTGCAACCCAGTGTCGTAGACCTTAGATATTTCAGACTATGAGTTCTTTTGGATCAAATAATCAAAGTTTGAAATATCTAAGGTACAAACCATCCTGTCACAAAGATATAATTTTTTTCAAGAATACTTTACTATCGTCTTTTATCTTTAAAATAGTTTGCGGCATCCATTTGTCAAATATTTTTCATGAAACAATCATAAATAAATAAATTTGCGCTATTACCAGGGATATTAAGGTAGTTGTTGAAAGTTTTTATTTATTAAATAAAACTGAATTTGTCGGATTCTAAACGAAATTATTCGTACTTCCGGTTTTTCGAGCTCACAAGAAAGGCATATCACAATTTAAAACTGGTTGGACTAGGTTTATTTTCTGATTATTGTTTTATAAAAATTAGGTTGACAAATGACAAATCAAAGATGACTCAAAAATTCCACTTAAACTTCATTATACATATTAAGGCTCAAAGGACTGAAATTGTAAAAAATAAAAGAGATGAAAAGCGATTGAGGGATAAAAATAAACGAGAAATGAAATACATATTCGGAAAAATTAAGATTTGATAGAAAAAATGCGTAAAATCCGTCAATTTTAAAATATCCTTCATTTTGTTTTTAGAGTTTCCGGTTTGTGAAATCGGGGACCAAGTGGAGGGATCAGACCCCCAGAATGATAAAAAGAAATACCCGTGGCTCAATTTCTTTATCGGAGACACTTTCCAACTATTGGACTCCAACCAGCTTCACTATATTGTAAAGGACTCCACAAATAAGGTGGGATTTTACTCAGGTTTAGACTTGGGTGTAAAAAACACTATACTATTTTTAGATTGTAGATAAGATAAGATAAAGTTTATTGCTAAAATAAATGTATCTGTATACAGAACGAGTTAACATTTACAAATTGATGATTATATTAACAGTACAAGTATAAAGCAATTAGGTGGAAATTCACAATTGAAATATATAGTAAGCTAAGATGATTGCATATTGGACATTTTGAAATCGCTATTAGAAAGTGTCATTTAATGGTCTGGAATGATTTCCATGATGCGTATATTTATGTTAAAACTTGTCTTAAAACTTGTAAACAAAATAAACCTGACATAAAACATTCTTCACTTTAAAGTAAAAAATAAATATAGATTAATCATTTAATTAACTATTTTCCTCGTTTTAGACATATGTCTGCTGGGCACTTTGCTAGTGATAATATTAGTTTTTCTGTTCCTCTCTGTTTTTTTGTAGTTAAATATTAATAATTACAATTCTCGCGGATTTCCCTTTTTTCATTGGTGGATTTAAGCAACAAAATGTATTCTAAAGGAACTGAGTTTTTGCCACAAATTCTGATTTTCTAATCCCAAAATCTTTGCAACCCATGGTCAAATACCTTTGATATTTCAAACTATAATTTCTGTAATATCAGATAATCTAAATTTGAAATATCAAAGGTTTACATCATCAGATTTAAAAGATAAAGGGATTAGAAAATTCGAGTTTGTGGCAAAGACTCATTTCCTTTGTCTAAGGAATCATTTTTAATGACGACAATGGCCATATTGGGTCATGTGTACAAAAAATCGACCCAAAAAAGACATTAAAAAGACATATTGTATTTGTGATTATTTAAAAATTATGATTTCTGAATAAATTTATATATTTCCATTTGATTAGATTGGTATAATCCAAAAGTCCAGGGTTTCTTTCTCTAATCCAACAAATCCTATTATACAGGTATTTAAAACATGTATATTCAATATACAGCTAGCAGGGTAGGATAGGAGGAACAAAATACTACAAATTCAGGGTATATATAGTATATACAATAAATTATTTTGGGAAATAAATGAAAAATTAATCATCAGTTGTCAATTTTTAATTTAATTTATTATACACCTAAAGACCTAAATTTCCCCCTATTTAGCTCAACAAAAATCAATAAAAAAATAGGGGAAAATAAAATTGTGAGGAGGAATGATATACACCCCTGGCCCTGTTTTATTTTGGCATAAGATCACAGAGTAAATATATTCATAGATAAGAATTAAGTCCAACAAAACTGAAACCGCCAATATAACTGCACTCTCCGCGTACTAAAAACGTAGTTTTTCAGTTGTCTTCCTCTCTCTATTTATTTTCTCTGTAATTAAACCCCAACTTGTCTGTAACAGGAGTCTATATTTTTAATAATTACCCAACACCCTGGGATGATTTTTAAACATCTGAGGGGAAATGTAATTTTTTAGGATTCATTTTAGAAATATAAAACGTTTTAAAGATCTATAATTACGGAGTTTGAGTGCAAAGTCGACGTTCAATATCATCAATTTGGGTGTGTAGGTTTTTTTAGAATCGGTTTTTTTAATTATTAAGTAACGACGACAAAAAATATGGTTTAAATTCTATAGTAATTCTAATTAGATGGTTAGGGACATATTTCTCAAAAGAAATTTGGCAATAAATCAATGCTAGAATCAATTTTTTCGTTTTCATCATTATATTGAATTTCTTATTTTCTTTAAATTTATTCGCAGATTTCTACAAATTCTTCAAATGTCGTCTTTTCAATAAAAATTCCAGAAAATCTGCAGAAAATCTTTCTGAAAAACTCACACCGCACCGACTCTTTGCTAAAACCCACCAATTCTTAGGTCAGTGTACTTCAAATCACTGCAGTACACACGGACAGCTTAGTTAGGGAGGCGCCAAACAAAATCCAAAATAGGATAATTAACATATTTTCTTGCTTTAGGAGGCTAAAAGCACTTTAAAAATCTGGATTCAAGCATATAAACAACTTTATTTACTCAGGTCAGCTAGACATTTTTTACAAACATTTGTGTTCCAAGCTTCATCATTAGAAATTTACTGTTTAATATATTATTAAGTTAATCAGAGAATGATTTAGATATTTATTTATGAAATTATCTATTTATATTTATTTATGAATTTATGTATCTTTCTAATTATATATTTATCTTCTCATCTGTTTGTTCAGATAAAAATCCAAATTTTATCATCGTTTAATCTATCTATCTACGGTGGTAGGAGATTTTATCAATATAATGAAGACTACTTTCGATTTAAATGTTATAATTTATTTAAAGATTTTAAACAGCATGGATACACAAAAATATTTAAACAAAGAGAAGCTATCAATTGAAAAATCTTCTCTTTAATTACTTGTAATCTTATAATTCGAAAAAAACTTGTTAACAATAAAAACTTTTTTTAAAGTCGTCTTCAGTATATTGATATAATCGCCTACCACCTTATCTACTTAAATAGATTGATAGGTGGGCGAACAGAATGATCTCCTACGATCTATTGACGAATTAATCTATCTTTCTATGGAGGTTGATGATCAGAATGATCTCCGACGATCTGTTGATGAATTGATCTATATTTCTAGGGAGGTTGATGATCAGAATGATCTCCGACGATCTATTGATGAATTGATCTATATTTCTAGGGAGGTTGATGATCAGAATGATCTCCGACGATCTATTGACGAATTAATCTATCTTTCTAGTTTCTAGGGAGGTTGATGATCAGAATGATCTCTGACGATCTATTGATGAATTGATCTATCTTTCTAGGGAGGTTGATGATCAGAATGATCTCCGACGATCTATTGATGAATTGATCTATCTTTCTAGGGAGGTTGATGATCAGAATGATCTCCGACGATCTATTGATGAATTGATCTACTGGAGTCAACAGATCATTTCCGGAGCTTTAACAAAGGAATTTTTTCAATTAAATATTTATTTTTCTAAATCTTTCCACTGCATGAATAATATGGTGTACCAGCTAAAATTTTAAAATTTTAATTTGAAGTGACCCTACAATAAAAGTGACATATCTGATTTGCAACAGTGCTCTTTAACGCATTGTCTGATCAAGGCTCAGTGAGCTATTCTAATTTTCCATGCTGAACATTGTTTTTTTCTATGATGGTTTCTCAATGATAGTGACTTGCGGATTATTCTGCAGAGACAAAGAAGAAAATTGTCGTAATTTTATTCTGCTCGGGTTTAAACGGTATCTTAATCGAACATGTCAATTTTCAAATGCAAATTATCTGAAATAAAGTCCTGTATGCTAAAATTATTCATTCTTTTCAAAAATGTGTTAATAAATAGCTTCTTATTGAACAATAAATGAATTTTTGATAAAACTGATATTGAAGGGGGAAGAGGTAGAGTTGATAAGTAAACTACAGAGAAGAATTGACGCTGTTAATAATCAGTTTGATCTTGAGGTAATCATGCAGTAAAGTACACAGACATACCATGCAGTACAGTTTGTAGAGCTCATACACATACATTGCAGTACAGTAAATAGGATATAACATAATGTTGTGCGTTAGGCTTAGCACATGCAACATAATAAAGAGCATATGGTTACACACACACAATGCAGTGCAGTATAGTTTATACACATCCAATACAGTACAGTACTAGAGGTTATACACATACAATATAGTGCAATACATATAATGCAGTACATTACATAGGTTTTACACTATACAGTATACACACACTTTACAGTTCAGTACATAAAACTACACATACAATTAATTATGTACTACAGCACATAGATGCTACATATGCAATGCAGTACAATACATAGGTTATACATAATACGTACATTATAGAAATAACCAAAGAAACTTTCTAAGATTTCATGAGTAGAAGAAATAACTTTTAATAATTAACCCGGGTTCATCACATTGTTTGAAATTGCGCTAATCTACAGCACTTTATCTTGATATCCTGCACTGGGGCATCAGACCTAGGGATAAATAAGTTTAATCCTTTACACAACATAAGGTTCTAAAAACACGGTTGGATCCTGTGATTTTCCCATGTTTTAATCTCTTGCTAGTTCATGCGTCTTTTTCACCCTGTCTGTAACACATGATGGGAGTGTAGTGGTAATTTTTATTAATCCTCCATGCACATTGCTCAATGGTTCCTTAAAAGCTTTGTTTGATCAAGTATAAATAAGAATAAGAATTTTGAACTGATTATTTTTAATTATGATTTCTGAATATAATATCAGATAATTCAATACAAGCCTAGAAAAACGACAATTTCTTCCACATTATCAATCATATGTAGGTTTACCGTTGTGAATTTAGCATTGTCATCTTTGCATGGAAACTAGAAACTATGTTAATATGTTATAGAAGGTGCCTAGAAGGATGGATGGAACTCGATTAAATCATAAAGACAGCTGTGTTAATCTGTACAATGCGTACACAAGAGCTTCTAGGTAAGCAGTATGTGCAGTTCTGCATGTACAATTTATCATCATAAAATCATTAATATTTGTATAACAAGTGGGGGGACTTTTTTATCTTTTTTTCTGATTTTTTTTATAGATGGAGATGTAAAGTTTTGATGCATACACAATCACTGATCAGTTATGCAATGAATTGTCATATTTGTCGATACATTCTCTACAAATATTAATAATGTTATTAACGGAAAAGCTTTTTTTCTGTTAATTGTTTATTTTTAATAAGGTGGAAGTCTCATTAACCCTATTAAAGCTGGGGGGTCTGAATCTATGTATAGCCTAGGGGGCGTCCGGGTCCCACGCCCCCCCCCCAGGCCTTAGAGAATATGTGTAGGGTTGAAATGCATGTTCATAGCCCAATTTTTCATGGCCAGCTCATTGAACAAAAATTAGACCGATAACTTTAATAGAGAGTTGAAAAATCAAAAAAGGGTTAAAAAACGTAAGAAATATATTTTTTCTGAGACAAATATGTGACACGTGTTTCTACATCTATTTTTCAAGGGCTTCTCAAAAATATAGCTTTTAGATCTGTATCATTAGTCACAAAATGGTTATGGGCTATTTTATATTTTTACAAGACTGGACTTGTTACCTCCCTGTAGCCTAACCTATTCATTAAAAAAAAAATTCTGTACAAAAATTCTTTAAAAGAATTGATTCTTTGTCACAAACTCAAATTTTCAAATCCCTATATCTTTGCAATTTTATGATGTAAACCTTTGATATTTCAAACTTAGATTATCTGATCTAACCGAATTCATAGTTTGATATATCTAAGGTCTACGACATTGGGTTGCAAAGATATAGGAATTAGAAAATCAGAGTTTGTGGCAAAGGCTCAATTCTTTCTTTTCGTTAAAAGTCGAGAAATTTTATGATAATAGTGTCAAAAATGAGAGTTCTAGGGCAAAAAAACTGGAGGGGGGGGCGTCCAACGCCCCCCCCCCTTCCCCTACCCTGTTTAGGGTTAAATGCCCCTGCAATCAAAAATCAATGATGTGAAAATTATCCTGGATATGTTTATTTTTCTAAATTAAGAAATAATTTCAACTCATTTCTTTAGTTTAGAAATCTGCAGGCAAACCAGAGGCTAAAACTAATGAATGCGCGAATTTTATGTTCGAGGTTAAAAGTTCTGTAAAATAATGAGTAGCTACTTAAATATTAAACTTTCTCAATTCCAAATTTGAATTTCTTGGGAAAAATCTAAACCAATCAGAGAAAAGGATTTACGGAGAATATTTCATAACCATCGCTAATCAGCTGTTATTACGTAACCGAAAACAAAACCTATTTCGAGTTACAACCGTTTTTTGGGTTTACATGCAAAAATTAATTTATCTAAAACGTGAAATTTCTTTAACAAGGTTTTCACTTTTAAATATATCGTAAAGTTGAATGCCGCTTTCTCAGCTGAATGATGATTGAATAATAGACAAATAGGATTTCAAGATTTTAACCCTGGGTTTAAATTTTAACTCGTCGATTTCGGCGAGTTAAATATTTAACCACAGGGTTAAATATTTAACCTCACGGTTAAAGTTCAGGTTTAAATTAAGTCAGAAGTGGCATTTAACCATGAACTTAAAATTTAAGTCAAAACTTTTCGTTCTTTAGTTTTAGACTCTGGTCATTATAATGTAGTCACGTAGAAGCACCAAGATGTATTTTTTTGTTTTTGAAGAGAGCTTGAGTTTGATTTTTAACAAATTGTTTTTAGGTCGTCAGTTGGCCCCACAGGGGGACGTGGGGACGACGGTAATCTTGGTAATCAACATCTTCATTCTGTCCTCGTGGAGGTGGGAGGACAAACTTGGATAGAGGACATCCTCATTTACTGTCAGGTAGTTAAAAAAAGCTGGCAAGGACATTCTCATTTAATTAAACTAATTTTTCTGGAACACTGTGGAAAAGATTTTCTTTGTTAATTCCTTAAGAAGATTTTCTTTGTTAACTAAATAAGTTGAATTTCACTTCACAATTAGGGTTTCCCGTAAACAAGGGAAAATCGTTTCGCGAAAATTATTTTTTCGCCGAGAATTTCGCATTTCGTTTGCTCGGGGAAACAAACTAGTTTCGCTTTTTTCGCCAAATTTTGCTTGAATCTGTTTCGCGAAAAAACAAGTGCGAAATGTTTTGCAGAGAGCAGAGAATTCCACAAATTTGTTTGCGTAATTAATTGTTGCAGCTACAAAACTTATGGTTCTCGCGGAATTTTTTTGCGAATTTTTTTTTGCCAAATACGAACGAAAATTTTCGTTCGCTGGAAACCCTATTCATAATGTGTTACACATTTTTCAATAATAATACTTTTGTGAATTGTTAATTGAACTCTTTGAGGCCAAAAAGTGTATCATGCTAAGACCATTTAATAAAAAAAAAATCTTTTTAACTACCTATTCATGTATTTTTAGTTGTACAGTGAAAGAAAAGGAGATTTTGTCTCTGAAAGATGGTTCGTTAATCATTCAAGGTAAAATTATTTCCTTTTGTTTAAAGATCTTCTTGGTCTATTTTTTTACGTATTTGTAACAAATGCCTTACTCCAATAGTTCTTAAAGTATGCATGAATCCAGATACAGCTATCTCTGTATTCTTAAGTATGTATCAATTCAGATACAACTATCTCTGTATTCTTAAGTCTGTATCAATTCAGATACAACTATCTCTGTATTCTTAAGTCTGTATCAATCCAGATACAACTCCCTCTGTATTCTTAATTCTGTATCAATCCAGATACAACTCCCTCTGTATTCTTAAGTCTGTATCAATCCAGATAAAACTATCTCTGTGTTCTTAAGTCTGTATCAATCCAGATACAACTGTTTCTGTATTCTTAAGTCTGTATCAATTCAGATACAACTATCTCTGTATTCTTAAGTCTGTATCAATCCAGATACAACTCTCTCTTTATTCTTAAGTATGTATCAATTCAAATACAACTATCTCTGTATTCTTAAGTATGTATCAATTCAGATACAACTATCTCTTTATTCTTAAGTCTGTATCAATTCAGATACAACTATCTCTGTATTCTTAAGTCTGTATCAATCCAGATACAACTCTCTCTTTATTCTTAAGTATGTATCAATTCAAATACAACTATCTCTGTATTCTTAAGTATGTATCAATTCAAATACAACTATCTCTGTATTCTTAAGTATGTATCAATTCAAATACAACTATCTCTGTATTCTTAAGTCTGTATCAATTCAGATACAACTATCTCTGTATTCTTAAGTCTGTATCAATCCAGATACAGCTATCTCTGTATTCTTAAGTATGTATCAATCCAGATACAACTATCTCTGTATTCTTAAGTATGTATCAATCCAGATACAACTATCTCTGTATTCTTAAGTCTGTATCAATCCAGATACAACTGTTTCTGTATTCTTAAGTCTGTATCAATCCAGATACAACTATCTCTGTATTCTTAAGTCTGTATCAATCCAGATACAACTATCTCTGTATTCTTAAGTCTTTATCAATCCAGATACAACTGTTTCTGTATTCTTAAGTCTGTATCAATCCAGATACAACTCCCTCAAACTCTACTCATTACCGAGAGCTAATACGTCTGACCGTAAGTCCATATTCAACCAACTCTATTTGAGTAGAAGATACAGATAAAGATAAAACTGACCGATAATACGGTCAGGTGATTATACCGTAATATATATACAGGTAGGTTCAGGTTTCCAAGATATGGGAATTATTACTATGTTTATTACATATTTACTGTCCAGGCCTAAACCGGGAGGGTTGTTTCTGGACCTAGGAGGTGTTGATCTTTGCTTAGACTTACATCTAGTTGTTCTGGTGAGTGCTAATGTAATCAACCATAAGACAGATAGTAAGCTTAAAAAAGAGTTTTTAAAAATCAGTCGAATTCAGGGGGTTAATGTGATGTACGGGGTTGAGTTAAAATTATGACCTAAGTTCAGGGAAGCTAGAAAGACCAATTAAGTTTATTTTTCCCTTTTAATACTGAACAGCCTATTTNAAAGGAAATGAGATTTTGCCACAAAATCAATTATTCTCATGCCTGTATCCTCGTAACCTAAAAATGTAAACCTTTGGCATTTCAAACTTAGATTATTTGATTTAACAAAATTTATAGTTTGAAATATTTAAGGTCTACAACATTGGGTAGCACAGGTAAAGGGATTAGAAAGTCAGAGTTTGTTGAAAAGACTCAATTCCTTTGACAATTAAAGACCATCCATACTACAGTAAATAAGAAATTCCTTATTTTTTAGGTGGGACAGTCTAACAATTATAATTTCCAACCTCAACAGAGGTTCTAGAGGTTCTACAAATAGTTTGGGCTTAATCGGTTTAGCAGTTTGATTGACTTAATTATTCAGGTTTACAGGGTTGGTAGAATCCTAAACCAGGAGGGAACTAAAAAGAGAGACCCAGGAATACGGTCTTTAACTCAGCAGGTAAAATATATCATCATAACTACAAGACATGTCTTAGGTCACTCTTTAAGTGATGTAATTTCAATAATGAGTTTGTAATTTGTAGCTGATTTATTTAAAAAATGCACATTAATCTTTAAGTGATGAAATTTCAATAATGAGTTTATTTATTGTGCTTAAAGTGCTTCTTTTAATGATCAAAAACACAACTTTTAACGACAAATGATTAGGTCAGTAAGTTAGAGTCCCTTGTTCTTAAGTACAAGGGACCTCATAAAATGTACTGCTTGATACATACATAGGGTGTGTTCATATTAGTATCTAAGACTAAAAGAACTGTACGTTAGGTGGGATGTATGTACAAAAGACCACTATCTGGAGGCGTACAATCATTGCAGAAATTCTTTTTAACCGAACGCAGATCCTTTAATACAAACCAGCCCCAGGTAAACGATAATAAATATTTTTTTAATACAGTCCCAATAAACATGGGAATTAAGAGAAGACTTGAAAATCGTCTTCGATTTCTGATAGGTAACAGATGACACACGTGAATCAAAAATCAGACTGAACGTCCCATAAGTTTTTGAAAATTTTAAGAATTAGAATCTGTCCAGATTTCTTAGGTTCTCCTTCTGCTAATATGGTAAATCACATTTTGGAATTTCCAAGACTTGTAGTTTTAATTATTAACTGTTTTAACTGAAATACTACAAAAATTGTAGTAATCTAGTGACAACATAGAAATCGTCACTTAATTCACATGTCTATTGGGACACCTTATACTTTTGTTTTTATTATTTTAGAGCATTCAAGTTAAACTCCTGAGTTGTGATGAGAGGGATTTTTTCCATCTACACTCACTAGCAATTAAAAACTCAAATAAACTCACGCCTGCGCAGACTGGACCTTCTTTTCTCACATTCCATTTAGGAATAGACGCCATTTTTTTCTCGAATTTAAATTAGACTTTTTTAATTTTAGATTCCCGCCATTTCAGTTGAAAATTGAAACCATTTTAATTCCCACCCACAATTTTAGTCTAGAATTCTCTCCATTTTCATTATTTCTCCCACCGTTTAAATCATTTTAAAAAAATCTGCCATTAAAGTTTGAAATTTCCGCCTTTTTAATTTAGAATTCCGGTCATTTTAATCAAAAATTCCGGCCATTTTGATTTAGTTTTCACGCCATTTTTGTTTAAAACTCCTCAATTTGAATTTTTAAAATATTTCTGGCAAGTTTTTATTCCAACTATAATTGTTGTCCTCTTATCCAATCCATCCGTGCAGAAAAGAGAAAAAAATATATTTTAATTCCGCAGAAACCCTCTCAGGATCAGCAGAAATTGTCCTTCAGCAAAACATGGCAAAATTGAAGGTCAGTTTTGGTTCAAAATTCAAATTTTAAACTAGATATATTTAAAGGGACACTGGACAGTTGAATTAACTTCAAGTCAAATCAATTCAAAACGGCCTTTACCGTTTAAACCTGTATGAGCATTAAATAATAGTTAGAAAGTTATTACCGTGTTTTTTTTTATGTTAAAAAGATATAAATTCTGACACTGCATTCCTTGTGTCTGCTGTTGAAATATCTGTATTTATCAGAATAAAAACAAGGACATAATTTTTTCTCATCAGAAGAGTACCCGTATGAGTAAGTCTCAATCCCTTTAAGCCCCGTTTACAAAAGAAAGTTCAATATCATTTTCTTTTTTGAAGATTTTAGAATTTTATTTTCAGGATTGTTCCTTAATTAAAAGACTTGGATTTCCTCCTGTAATTATGCCAGGTAATGCATTCAAAAATTAAACACAGCAAATTTGAAAACGAAATTTTTTTTTCGTTTCCCGAATTTATTTCAAAATATAAAATATTATTTAGATATATTTTAATTTCGCGGGAATATTTGTGAAAATTTTCTGTTTAACCTTATTTACGCCGACGTCTGGTTTCATGACATCTATGACATTTAATTCGTTTTTGGAAAGCATTTGGGCAAAAATTCAAATAATTATTGCAGAATCTAGTTATAAAGCAAAAATTTTGCAAATAAAAATTTCTCAATTTGCAACAAAATATACATTTTTGGAAAGCCCTTGACCCAGCGAATTCAAATCTGCAAAAACCCTTTCAAAATTTTAAAAACCTAAATGTGTATTCAAGAAAAACTGAAAATTTGCCAATTCCCTTTAAAGGCGTGTGTGCAAAAATTGTGCAATCTGCTTGCTTTTGTTAAAGGCTTTCTAAAGAACTATAAAATGTTTAAATCCAATAACTGGAGGTATGTATAGATATAGATTTAGTCTGGTATAGTTAAAATAAGGCATTTAGGCAGTATGCCGTTGGTATGAAAGAACAGCTTTTCCCCTTAAGTGATGGGCATGTGTCAGTTAGAAACATCAGAAAATGTGAGCTTTCTAGCTCAAATACTTTCTGAGTTATGGCAAAGAAATATAGGGAGGGGTCAAATTACCCCCCCCCCCCAGGCCAGACTCGGCTCAGGGTTAATAGGGTTAAAAAAGGACGTACTCATACTCCTCATACAGACACACTAATGTTGAAGAACTTCCCAGGCCAGGATACACAGAAAAGGACACAGTCTTGAGAATTCAATTATTAGGACAAATATTTATTGCATTTATTACATACATTGCATCAAAAATCTAAATCACAACTTGTTAAATAAAAAAGGAAGAGATGGCATTGTGAATTGGGAAGTATTTAATGGAACTTCATTT